GTGGGTGTGCCCACAATTCCCTTTTTGTTTTCAAAAACTTAAGTCAGCAACAGACTCCTTCATATGAATGGGTAGGAGACATATGGTGTCCCATCATATCTGATGTCATCTAAAAGTATATGGGAGGGCTGGGCCTGCCATGCCCGATGTAAAAACATTATGATTGCACAACTAGCCCATATTCAGGCCAGGTATGTTTCCATAGGATGTAAGCACTGGGTGGGTTTGGAATCCAACATGATGTCACCAGTTCCACAGGTTTTCTGTGACACTCTGACCATCAAATCCTTGATTTTGTAGGACAAGTTAAGGGGAAGTAATCTTCTCTCATTCCTTTGTTCCATTGCCAATGTCCCCATCACTTTGATATAGGAACCATCTTATTTAGAGTCTAGAGACTTTGCTAGACTAGATTAGAGATAGTGAGGTACCACAATCCTATGGTGGGATACAACATGGTCTCCTTTGACTCCCTGGCATTTAAGAGTCTATTACTCTATTACGTACAAATTCAGAGCATTGAACAGCTAAGTTTTCACATGAAACACATTAAATCCCACTTCTTTACAAGGAACTCTAATCCCCCCATAAAGGAATGGGGTAGGCTATCCAAAGCAGTGGAAGATAGATCTTATGGGAGATGCTGGGACCGAGTAGGCCACAGCTAAGGCATCCAAATGCACCTACCTACCTACTGCAACAGACATGAAGGCTACTCATGAATGGTGTCGAACACTGTCATGGTCCCTTCATATGGGCAACACAGATCTTACATGCATAATGGGAATGCCTTGTGGCAAAAAGTTAGATTAGTTTCAAGGGTGTTCATTATAAATGTACACATATTCCCCTGTACTTTCTTTTCCCAATAAAATGTAGAAAATGACTTCATTAAAGTCCTTTATTTGGTACAACTTTATAGAAGAACTAACAACATTATACTTTATAACAAAGGCATTAAAAAAGTACTCTTTTGCCAACAGAGCAATCAGCAACATCCATGAGCTGGTCCAATTGGCACACTACATCTCCTTGTCATTTGATGAAGTCTGGGATACAAGGTCTTTTCCAAACAAATGGTGATTGATGAAATAATATCTCATGCTTAGATACTCTTCCTTTTTCCATTTTCATTGAATGTGACGGCAGGTGAGAAACATTTGACCCATTTAGTCTGCCCACTAATTTTCCATTCTTCTCTCTCATTCTGCTTTATTGCTTTTCTCGCTCCCTCCTTTCCTTACATAATTGTGGATAGAGACTTTCATCCTCTATTTGGCATATACCAATATTGCTTTCCCATCCAGCAAGTGAGAACATGGCCTTGGCAATAGAACTTGGCCATGGCATTGGAATAAAAAGTAAGTTTTAGATAATAGAAACTGTATTTCCTCCTTTATGTGGGGTGATGGTCAGGCCTCTCTTATCTCAGAGGCCCTTTTGCTGTTGTTGTTTATTACAGAAAACATGATTTATATATTGAGAATGGTTTTGATTCTTATATATTTTAACATGAGAGGACTGGAGACTGTTTATGGAGACAAGAGTTCAAAAATATAATAATACTTGTATCCTAGAGATCCATTTTTTAAAACGAAGACTTTGGATTTAAAAATGTTTGCAAAAATAACAACAATAACAGCACGACATGATTGCCACTACTATGTTTATTGTCAATGTTTGGTTTGTATCTATGTCTTTTGGAATTGCATTGTCAATAATCAAATGCAAAAATAAAGAATTTTTATTTTTTTCCCTTCAATTTATAGGCTTTTACTTTAATAATGTAATATAGCATTCTATAATTATGTTTTATATCTATATTGCACAATGTTTTTATAAAATATATATTTATATTCTTGTGGTCCACCTAATGCCCATGAGAGGAGAGGAAGGGTATGTGTACAATGTCATGTCCACTCCCTTATTGTTTTAATTCCCCCAGTCTGAGATGCCCATGGGTGGGGAGGCAAGTTGTGGATACTTTCCATGTTCAACCCCCTATTCTATTTAGGACCCGAGATTGTAATTGGAAATTGTAGCATAAGATATCAAGAGGTGAGGATAAGAACTTTGTAACTTACATTTATTCATGCATCATTTTATACTATAGCCAAGTGTGCACAGGTCACAGCGTACAGACAAGGAATGGAGGATGCAAACATAACATTCTGCACCCAGAATGTTACCGAAGGCGCAACAGTTCAGGCCTTATATTATCCATGGGTACTTGCATTAACTTTCTCTGCTGATCGATATACTAAGTGCTATGAGTTGGCTTTTGGTGGCATATCCACTGGCAATGTAGAATATATCTACCTATTGAGTCCTTTGGCAATTCTATGAGTATCAATAGATAATGAAAACCTAGAGGATGCAATAAATATATCCTCCTAGTAGACAAATTATAAGGGAGTATGAGAAAGCACAATTTAAAGTATAAATACAAAAAGAGGTAAAAATACCCACTACAACTGGTAAATAGAAAAAGCCCCCACCCAAAGCTAAAAAATTGCAAATATAGTAGCAAGAGGGAAAAAAAAACCTTAACGCAGCGACAAGGAGTAGGTGAAAAAAAAAAAAAATATTATTAAAAAAAAATTAACATTAAAAGGGGGTTATCGGGGGCGGGGCCGGACCGCCATGCTGAGAGGTCGCATACAAGACGAGCTCCTGCAGAAAAGCGACATTAATGCCGGTCAAAAGCGAATAATATACCCATCTGCAGTGTAGAAGCAGCGGTCCTGCGGGCAAAGAGGCACTGGTGCTGAAGTCACTCTGACCACAAGCGTTCTAACCCCTGAGAAGGCACATCGGCATAGCTGCATCTGAGGCCTACCCGGGCGGTGAGTAAGGTGGACGGCCGCCGCCTTGCTATCCTGCCCTGTGGTTTCCCTTTGGAACTCTGATGCCACGCAATACAGGCCTCGTTTCCCCCCCCTTTGGACCGGTGGGGGTTATCCCGGTCCCAGGAGACTGTCCCCATGACCCGCAGCACCTAAGTCACAGAGGGCCCCCATAACCAAAATGGCGGTAGTCGAAGCCTCGAGGCTATACTGATGGTTGAAAAGCAAAAGGGCTCCTTAACACAGCTAAATCACCACTTACTGACCTACAAACATGTTGGATTTCAGGCTCCTGCGGCAAAGTACAGTCGAGACCTGCTACCCAGTCCCTCACCAAGCAACACTGATAACCCTGCCGACCTGCATGACACTCCTGCGTTCCAGCTGCCTCCCAGGGAGGAACGGGCAGAAGCAAGACATCACACACTGGGAGTGCACTCACCTCTCTCAGCACACATCATGCTGGACTCACTCCTGACATGCCACAGGTTTTGCAGATCGGGGGTTGGATAAGCCTGCACTGTCGGGAGGACTCTCTCAAAGTCTGGGCTGCATTCAGCGGAGATGGCTCCTGGCAGCCCTGCCATCTATACATCCTGATGTACTCTCTCTACACTCTAAGCAGTTAAAACTACTTGCATAGTTTAAGCTTTTTTCACCTACTCTCCTATTAATTTAGCTCAGCATTAAGTTTCTCATGTCATAAATCACTACAATTGTGCTGTTTATCATATATGCAAATCCAGCACTGCAACTGTTCTTGTTGCAGTGTAAGCATGCAGAAGCCAAACACAGAAATATTGGACACAGGTCTTCAGGAAGTAACAGGCCTTTATTCACATTACCGATCGGGTCTCAGATGAACTCCTGTTCCAACATTCTGAGAGACCAACACATAGTGTACATTCCTTATATAGCACTATAACTCCTCCCATTAATAGCTACACCCACATATACCTTTAACCAATCAATGAGCAGACTATAGACTTGTACATCTAGTCAAACCACATGGCTCATCCAAGACAAAGGAAATAAGTGCAATTTCAGTTCCTGCATTCCTGCACATGCTCAGTACACTGATGACAGTATCCTAGCTACGTGTAGCTATCTAACTGACACAACATACACATATGCCACATGGAGATTTTGGCCTACTAAATTTTGACCATGCTGGAAACCCATCACATTCCCCCCTTTGATGCCTCTGATATAACATTATTCCAGATGCATCACCAATCACAGTTTTACCTACATCTCTCAAGTAGCCATTGAACCAGAGTAGACCTTGTAAGCATCCTAAAAACTCCTTCAACATTCTTCATCCTGAATATATTCTCTTCGGGCTAGGGGATCATATCTTCCAGACAGCCATTACATGGGCAGCTGTCTTTCTCTCTATAGTACTCTCTATAATGCTACGTAGGGACCTTACCACTAGTGGAATTAGACAGGGCAGGAGGAGGCACAAAAAAAATAATAATAAATTCTACTCCTCCTACTAATGTCTTAATTCCTCCAAGCTGCTCATACCAACTTCCAAACCAACTACTTAGGTTATACCCATTCCAGACCTGAGTAGGTACATGCTCAAATTTAACCATGTGGCTTGTAAGTTCAGCCACTGCCTGCCCTTCATCATCTATGTGCAGACAACAGTTACTTAGATTAAACTTTCCGCATACACCTCCTTCTACTGCTAGTAAGTAATCAAGGGCTAGCCTATTCTGGTATATGGCTGATCACATCTTGGTATTTTGCCTAGCTAGAAGATTAAGCACTTGAGCTGTCTCATTAGTAATAATCTCAACTACCGCCTGTAGTCTAATAATGCGGTTGAGCATATATAATCGGAGTTCTATATCCATAAGTGCCATCTTCTGCCCAAGTAGCAGGTCCATAATAATTAATAATACGTTGAGGGGGCCACTCATTATCTTCCCAGCTACCTATATTCAAGGATGCTCTCTCCCTTTTATGATTTACATCGTAAACCTTAACTCCCAAGGTCTCTCCTGTTTCGATTGGCAACAAGAAGAAGGATGGCTTTGGCATACCTAATACACATGCCCCTTCCCAATCTTGTGGTAACTCCGAATAAGTTTTCTTACCACAAATCCAGTATAAATTTGCTGGGGCTTTCCAAGTAGATGTAGCCGATAAGTCAAACTATACCTCCTTTAAATGAGTGTAATTGGCAAACGGATTAGTAGGTTCCGAGACATTTGAAGCTGACCACCAAGTAGTATTTTTACTATTAACATTATAGGCTTTTTGTCCCAAGCACGTTAGCTCACCTACAGACGTGTTATACATTGTCCCTTTCCTGGCTATACAAACATGACCTATAATGGAGGTTTTTAACCACCATTCCAATTTACTTCTAGTACTTACTTGATGATCAGACTGGAAAGGTATCTGTTGTTCATATGTCTCAGAGCCAGGGTACCATATTTCCTTTGCCTCCCATGGCCACTGGTCTCCCATATTAGTACCTCCACACACATAGCAATTAGTTACATTAAGACTACCTGCAATACCCTCAGCCAAATCAATAAATAGGTTGTTAACATTATGGGGAATTTTATCCTCAATACTCATCTCCTCATAGAAGGAATGAGAAACCTGATGAGTTTGAGTTGCCACTGTCTCAGTTTCAAGACCTACATATATTATTGTTCCTGAATCTACTCCTGTGCCATATATTTGGAACCCAAACAGACCTCCAAACCTGTCAATAAAGTACTGCAGATTGGAAATGGTCATGTGAACGGGGTTACACACATAGTTTTACAGTATGGTGTGGTAGGCAACCTTTGGATAATCATATCTTGATCCACTGTTTTTCCCAGGTTGCCCAACCTACACATGACAAATAGGGGCAGAAGTTAGTCTCTATTTGGGCAATCAGGATCAGTAGATCTTTTACTGGGACATAAGTATTTATCATTAAACCCATAAGTTCGTTCCCATTTAAGATTACCACATACATTCCAAAGTCTTCCACTACCCGAAATCGCCTTACATGCATCAAATAGTAGAATACCCGTGGAATGTATGGTGCTTATCACAGTCCTATTTATTAATGTCCCCTGGGAGTTACTATTCCGAATTACCAACCAAATTGTACGGGGTTGGAAATGGGGATCAAAACATTTAGACTCTCCTGATATTGGCTTGCACACACTATAATCAATATCCAAATATCTACATTTAGATACAGATCCCTTACATTCATACTGTGAGTGCCAGATGAGAGTTTGGGATATTTGGTTACCTGTTTTAGTAGTCTTAATGCAACTATCGCAATTCGGTATGTCTGTACTCCTACCTTCCTGAAAAATCATAAAAATACTAAGACACATAATAATAAAACACATTATTCCTGAAATCCTCATTTTTCTTCAACCGTGCGATGGCCTCTCAGCTTCCCGATTGTGAGGGCTGCAAGGATGTTGTTCTTCTGATCCTCACTTTCCTTCACAGAGATCCCTTCAAGATACTCTGGCTATAACACGTAGGCAGGTGGTCAGGCTTTATTATGGCCGTCAAAACACCTACTTGATGATCTTTGTAAACTTAACTAGAATGTCTCGATATCCCCTCGTCACTCCGACTGAGTTGCACGCTTCAACCGGGTCCTGCAAGGATTCTCAGGATCTGGAGTAGCTTGCCAAGAGTCTGCCGCTGATTTAACCTTAGAATGATGAAACCAAGGAGTCACTTCCGCCACCTTTACAGCTGTTGGGGTAGATAAAAGAACAACATACAAAGGCTAACAGAATACACCCCGAGCTTTAACTCAATATGTATTGGTGGGATATTACGAGCAAGTCCTGGAGGATTATTTTCTTCCCATACTCCTGGAATGTCAAGTAAGGATTCATCACTCTTAGGGTTAACACTTGTCACTATGGAATAGAAGCGTCATTCTTCTTCCCTTGGCACCGATATCGCCATTATGCCTGGTAATCCCTTAAACTTCAGAGATGTTGATCCATTAGGTAAAAGGTTATCTGAGCTTGAAGCTTCGATAATAGATCTCGTCCTAAAAGTTGAATCGGACACTCTGGCATATATAGGAACTAATGCTTCACCACATGGCCTCCCAGAATACAAGTGCGACTCTTAAGAACCGGTCTAGCTGCACTTCTCCCAGTAGCTCCTATCACAGTTATAGTCTTCCCCGAAGGCGGAGCCACCATCTTAGTCACCACAGAATGTTCAGCACCTGTGTCGATCATGAAAGAACTTCTCTTTCCCCCTATTGCTACATCGACCATAGGCTCCGCTCGACCAAGTGGGATGGAGCCCAGTCGGTATCAATAGTCTTCCATGATAGTATCAGCCAGACCCGCAAAATCTCTATCCTCTCTTTCTCTAGGTCTCTGCGTGGGTGGATAGTATCTGTCTCCTTGAACACTTCCTCTACTATTCCCACCATTCCCTCTAAAACTTCCTCTTCCTCTATAACTACCACTATAACCTCCTCATACCCTTCTCTCTCCTTGTCTATCACCTTCATACTGCTCTCTCTGTGGACACTCACTCTTCCAATGTCCCTCCTTTCTACAATACGCACATTAATTCCTACTTAAAGTCCCTTGCTCAGCCTATTCTCGTCTCCTCTATTCACTTCCCTGTCTTTCTACACTTAAGATAGCTACCGCTAGCATATCTGCCTTTTTCCTCATTTTACGTTCTTGCTCCCACTTTACCTCTGTCTCCCTATTCATATATACTGTATTTGCAATCTCCATTAGCTGTAATATGGACATCCCTACAAATCCCTCTAATTTTTGTAATTTCCTTTTAATATCACCTTGGGCCTGGCTGACAAATGCTGAATTAGTCATCCTAGAATTCTCAGGAGCCTCTGGATTAAAGGGAGTATACAACCTATTTGACTCAAGCAGTCTCTAATATGGGACTTCGGCAAGGCTGCTCAATAATAGGTTACAGTCTAGGAGTAGTAAGATAGGTGTAAGGGGGTGAGCTAATTTTATTAGTCAGCATTTGGTGGATGAAAAAACGTTTTTTTTTTTTTTTTTTTAAAGTGTTAAACCAATAACCTACCAGTAGGTGTCACCAGAGGGTAATTGTATCAAAATAATCTTTATGGGTCTAATAAGAAAACTCAACTTTTAATATATTTATACATAAAATAAAACCTTATAGCAATAAATATATTAAAATAGGGTAAGCAATCCTACTTCTATCTGTTATAAACAATGTATTATCAATGTAACTCCCGAAGATGGCCAGTAGGTGGCTTAGAGTGCCTCCCTAAAGTCTAATGAAGCAAATAGACTTTAATTAATTATGTCCCTATTTTATTATTACTTATTTTAATCACTGTCCACCCTGATATCTAGGCCTGATTAAATCTTTAGTTCTAAGGTAAATTAAACATTTCAGTTTGTAGTTTAGTAAAAGGGGACATTTTGGACAAAGCTGGGAGGGGCCCATCCAGTAACTAAAAAAAACAATATACCATCTGATACCATTGATCATTGATTAGGGGGAGGGGTAGTACAGAAATACAAGAGTTTGAAACACAGGAACAGATAGGTATGTGGGTAGGCGGGGACAGTAGAGCAGGGGGAGTGCAAATACTGACTATATACCAGTTCTTAGCTTGGGAAGAAGAATAGGGGCGTGGCTAATCTGGCTCTGGAGGATGTTTGGGGGGTTGGTAATCAGATGCCAGGGGGGGAGGGGATATCCAAAGCAGTTGTAATCAAGGCCTTAGTTCTGACCACCATATGGCTACATTGTTTCCCATATGACACAGTTTAATTCACCAAGGCAGTTTTTCAACAATCAGTTTCCAACAGTCAATATATAGAAACTGATCATAGAATTCCGGCCTACTAGTTACAGCCACATGTACACCCTGCACTAATTTTAAGTGAAGACTGCTACATGGAGGCCATGCGGCCACCAGGACAGGCTACTCCCTACTCTTTTTTTTTTTTTTTTAAGACATACAAGACAAAAGACTAACAGCCTAGTGAATCAGAAGATTATTTCAACAGAACGTCTGATTCAAAAAGCTGTACAAATATACACACAGTTACAACAGTCACACCAATCTCCTTATCACCAGCAACACATTGCGCAGTCACTAGGCCCAAACACACACACAGGATCCTCACATGCTCAACAATATCACGACGTCGCACACACGAAATTAAATCAAAAACCCACCAAAGACTATACACTTATCAATGTAACTATTATTCAAACCATACAACTATCCACGCTATTAATCCATATAAACTAACCGATCACATAACATTTCAACAAATTCATCTCTACAATTATCCGTACTATAAATCAACTTTTGACTAACCAACTATATCACATTCTAGTAACCTCATCTTTACAGTCAGTGGTTATGGTACAGTTAGTAAGTGGTTATAATACAGTTTTAAAGTCACAGATCAGTTAGTAACAGTTATGGTATTATACATATAACATAAAACAGCAATTGTTAGTAATTTTTACACAATGTCAGTGGTTATGGTACATGTCAGTAGTTATGGAAACCCATCACATTCTAACATATCTTGAACATTAACGTTTTACCTACTCTGTGTTTTACTACTCATTCCTGTCGTTATTATACAAAAATGTATGTCACTCCCTTATGCACAATTAAGCACAATCATATTAATGCCTAGCTATTACTGCGATGATACTCTACATAATAAGCATAACATATATATTCACAAAGCATGTTAAACTTAAGAGTTATAGGACTAGCCAAGTATAATGCTACTAGCTGCTGAGACATAAAGGCTTTTCTGGTAACCTTAACTCTTCCTTTTTTTCTTTCTCAAAATGTGCAGTGTTCCTCATGTCACATAACTACTAAACTCTGTTTGATGTTGTGCATGTACCAGCTGTTGTGGCAGTGCATCCTTGTATATCTAACCTATGCACAAATAAAATAAAGAATTAAAAAAAAAAAAGGGGGGTTATCCACTAAACAGTGATTTTTAATTAAAATACAAATAAAATTATGCTACAACCAGATTAGCTAAAAGTCCAGATTAATGGTATAAGATCATGTCCATATTACACATAAAAGGATAATAAATTAAAATGGATGAGACACTGAATACAAGGGCTCCTGCTACAAAAACAGGAGACCTTTAGATTCTGCTGAGATACTATAGTATCAAACTTAGTTCCCAACTGTATATACTAGCACTGATACACAGATATCATAAAAGTAGGTAAAAGACTGGAGACAGGATTAGTATTCCAAAACTTCAATATCAAAATCGATCTATGAAGACAAAAACAGGGCCATAGTGCTCTCTGTAATGCTTTATTTTGAAAAGGATAAAACACACTCACAAAGGTGCAGGACAGTAAGGCACTTTATGCTCCTTCCTAGCAGGCTTGAAGGGGAGGAGAGGGGGTATAGGAAAAGTTCAATGTTTGCTGGTCTCACTGTTCTGCCGTGTGCATTCCACAGACGATCATGCGTTCCACTCGCTGCACTTTTCGGTGTCTCAAAGATAGATGCAGCCGCAGGGTTTAAGTCCTGCAGGAACGCGTGGGAACGGCGTTCCTGCTCTTTTTTTCACAGCAGGCACGCCATTCCCCCTGCAGGCACTAATCAAGGGGCGGCAAAAAAATGCCACCTGATGGACCCCCCCGGCGGACGGCTGTCTACCAGTCAGACGCGGCGAGGGAGCTGTGTTCTCCCAGCTCTGCTTCCTTGCACGCCATTTGCTGATGCCGGCATCAGTAGACAGCCTGTGCGGCGAGAGGGAGCAGAGCTGGGAGAACACAGCTCCCTCGCCGCGTCTGACTGGTAGACAGCCAGTCACCTCACAGAAGCCGCACTGGACCCCAGGGACAGGTCTACGCCAGCTCTCCAGGTAGGGAGGCTGGGTGGACATTTGCAAATGTTACAAATATAAATAATTTGAGTGTGTCTGTGAGTGAGTGTATGTGTGTCTGTGAGTGAGTGTATGTATGTGTCTGAGTATGTGTGTATGTGTGTCTGTGAGTGAGTGTATGTGTGTGTCTGAGTATGTGTGTGTCTGAGTATGTGTGTCTGTGAGTGTTTGTGTGTGTCTGTGAGTGTGTGTGTGTCTGTGAGTGAGTGTATGTGTGTGTGTGTCTGTGTGCGCGCATTTATATATGCATATGAGTGCATAATTTTTATTTGGTGGGGGGTGGATCTTCCCACACTTTTTTCCCCAAGACTTGACCCTTGTGCAGCCTAATTATTTTTTTTAGTATTTATTTATTTATTATTATATTTTTTATTTTATTTTCACCTACTCCTGATCGCTGCATTAGGTTTTCCTCTTGCTACTATATTTGCAATTCTTTATGAGTACGGTAAATACTCTATAGAGCAACGATGTCCAACCCGCAGCCTAGGACTGCTCAGGGCTGTCTTTCTCTATGTGCTGGGGCCGACAGGGGATATCATTTGATCTCCACTGCCAGCCCACGGAGAATCGTCTATGCTCACTTGCTTTGAGGCCACTATGGGCCAGTGGGGAGATCAGAGGCCCTTCGTTAGTGAGAGGTAGGATCTGGGAGGCAGTTCTCCTGCGAGCATGTTGGTCAGAGTGTTGCCACAGCAACGCTCTGACACAGCATTCTCCACGCAGGAGAAGTGAAGACAGCCTGCAGCTCCTCTGTCTGCAGGCTGTCTTCACTTCTCCAGTGAGCAAAATGCTGTTGGAGCATTGCCGTGGCAACACTCTGACCAGCATGCTCGCGGGAGGAACTGCCTCCCAGGTCCTACCTCCCACTAACGAAGGGCCTATTCATCACTACTCAGCACCGGACTACCAGGGCTGGCAGTGTCCCCCCCTCCTTCACCAAAGAAACTTTAAAAAAAAATTATTAAAAAAAAAAAAAAACCTTATCCCTACCCTATGCATCCTCCACCACACACACACACAGCACCTCTCACACAGACACACAGCACCCCTCACCCCCACCCTGTGTGTATGTCTGTGAATGTATATATATTTGTGGGGGTTTTTGGTCTGTGATAGTGTGTGTGTATGTATGTGATTGCTTGTATAGGTCAGTGATTGTATGTGTGTGGGTCTATGATTGTGTGTTCATTTGCGACTGTGTGTATAAGTCTGTGATCATACATGTGTGTGTGGGGGTCTGTGATCGTGTGTTTGAATTTGTGATTGTGTGTATAGGTCTGTGTGTCTGTAAGTATGTGTGTATAGATCTGTGACTGTGTGTGTGGTTATGTGTATATATGTGTTTAGTAGATAGCTCCCTAAGTTGGTATCCTCAAATATGGAAATCCCACGTAAGGATAGCAAATAAGGGAGTTATCTACTAAACAAATTTAGGAAAAGGACTTTTGAAGTTTTATGATATACATTATTTACGTTATAGATTTTATGTTTGGCCCAAGGCAATCCCTCTGTGCTTTATGCGGCCCAAGGAAGCCAAAAGGTTGAACACCCATGCTATAGAGCATGTGAGAGGCTGCTTGTCTAGTTTTGTGCATGTATCTGGATTGTCAGTGGTGTTGTGTTTGTGGGGTCTGTGTATGTGGGCTGTGTATATCTAGCTGTGTGGCTGGCTTCCCTGGGGTCTAGTGGCTTCAGGGCTTTCCGGGTAAAGGTCAAGGGCTGGAGCTGTGATAGCTGCTGTAGACTGCTCTACTCCAGTGTGGATTCTCATTCACAAGTGCTGGGAGGAAGTGATTTGAAATCCCTTCCTCTAAGTGCTGCAATGGGTAAATTGAGGATTTTCACTCACCACCTTTTTGCACTAGCAGATAACTGAAGCTCCACTGGGACTCCTGATAGGTCAGAGCATGTTTGGCACCTTGAGGGCAATGCAAGGTCTAGGTCCTAGGAGTATGAAAGTGGAGACTGCATCAATGGTAAAAGAATCACAACTTGTCCATATCTGCCATGTAAAGTCAGAACTTCTGTTCTCTTTTCATCTTTATCAAGGCAGGTATACCCCATAAGCAAACCAAAGACACGGTATGCCCTATACTAAATAAATAATACGTATTAGCGGTCCTTAGGGTGGCCGGGCATAATATGAATAAGTAAAAACACAGTTTAAAAATAGACAAAAGATAAACAGGGACAGGCCAAGGTCAAGGAGTACAGAGATACGCATAAATGAGAGACAAAGCCAAGGTCAGGATTCCAGAAAAAACAATAGTCAAATAACAGAGTCGAGTCAAAACCAGAAAATACACAGAATCACATAAAAAAATTGCCCACCACAGGGCAAAGAGAAATGGTCAAATGGCTTTAGATAGCCCTAGGTAGAATGCCATTGGCTTGCATCACCAATAACGCCAAAATATACACGACAAGTGTGACATGTGATTGATATTGATTGGCCCAGTGGCCAAAAAATTATGCAAGTTCTGAAACGTATAAACAGAGTATGCAGTAGAGCATTACGCGTCAGTATTAATGTCAGAATGACGTTCAGAGTCAGTGATAATGTCGGCATAAAAAATGACGCAGGAGTAATGCACAATGTCAATATGTGTATATACGGCCAGAGGATGCTGGAGTCATAACTGTCTTAGGAGTTTGTATCAATGCAAATTGGCCAATTAAATTGCATAAATAAATGGTTCTTTGATAATCATTTAACGCTCCTGCAACATCACCTCTTTTAAATGGTTTTAAAAGTGCCAGGCACTTAGAAACATTAATTAAAACACGAAAGAATCCAGATTCTCAACCAGTATCTTATTAATTACTGCCGTACCCACGTCCCTTATCTTCCTCTTTCCTGTGTCTGTCAAGCATCCACATACACATACTTATTACCCAGAAAGATTTTTATTTAGGATATTCTTGGAAAAAGGAAACAGTGTGAATGAATGCATCTATAACCAGCAGTCTAGTATTCTGAGTACCAAATACAACCATGCAATCATGTGTAAATGATAGATCCTCCGCTGACAAAGCATTGTGGGTGTTGTACAACAAATGAGGATCTACATTTTGGTCATCCTGGCAATAAGTGCTAAAACAATTCTTACACAAGGGTCCACTTTACATTAGTTCCACCACTGCCCTAATGCCTACCCACACCTAGATCTTCGCCTGGCACACATACACCTACCACCATGACCTCTTTAAATTACTGAATTGGTCATGGTGGTTGGAATAACCCATTAAGCTGCAACATGTGTTACTCTGCACTTCTTGCAGGTGGTATAGCTGACTATTCGTCTTGGCAAAATGCCTCCAGGTCATGCAAAGTCTTTGGTCATCTTGCATGAACCGCGCATTTGAGATCTCTCCGGAGTGGCTTGATCATATTAAGGTCAGGAGACTTTGATGGCCACTCAAGACCTTTTTCTTCTGTAACCACTGGAGGATCAACTTTGCCTTGTGCTTAGGGTCATTGTCATGATGGAAAGTCCAAGCACTCTCCATGCACAGCCTTCATGCAGAAGGATGCAAATTGTCTGTGAGTATTTTCTGAGAACATGCTGCATTTATCCTGCCATCAATTTTCACAAGATTCCCCGTACCTTTAGAGCTCCCACCCCCCAAACATTAGTGAGCCATCACCATGCTTCACAGTGGGGATGGTATTCTTTGCACTACATGCCTTGTTGATCACGCTTCAAACATAGCGCTTATGGTTGTGAATATAAAGCTCTATTTTGGTCTCGTCACTTCAAATTATAGTGTGCCAGAAGCTGAGTTGTGTCAAGGTGTTGTCGGGAATATTGTATCCGGGCTTTTTTGAGGCATTGGCGCAGTAAATGCTTCTTTCTGGCAACGTCATATTGTGCTCCTTGAAACAATCACATTGTCTTTTTCCAGAGCAGCCTGTATTTATTCTAAGGTTACCTGTGGGTTTTACTTTGTAAACCGAACAATTCTTTTGGCAGTTGTGGCTGAAATCATTCTTGGTCTTCCTGACCTTAGCTTGGTATCAAGAGATCCCCAAATTTTCCACTCTAAGTGATTGAACAGTACTGACTGGCATTTTCAAGGCTTTGGATATCTTTTTATATCATTTTCCATTTTTATAAAGTTCCATTACCTTGATATGCATGTCTTTTGACATTTCTTTTCTGCCCCCATGGCTCAGTGCATCTATGTGAGAGCTAACAGACTCATTGACTATTTATACAAAGACACTAATTGAAATTTAAAAAGCCACAGGTGTTGGAAATTAAGCTTTAATTGACATTTTAATCTGTGTGTGTCACCTTGTGTGTCTGTAACAAGATCAAACATTCAAGGGTATGTAAACTTTTGATCAGGGCTATTTGGGTGATTTCTGTTATCATTATGATTTAAAAAGGAGCAACTATGTGATAATAAATGCTTCATATGATCTTGATCACTATTCTTAAATAAAAGACATGTTTTTGCATGATCAATCATATTTTCAAAATCCATGCCAAAATTTCACAATTTCTGCCAGGGCATGCAAACGTTTTAGCACAACTGTATATATATAAAACCAAGAGGGTTGCATTCACTTTTGGGCAATTCATGCATGAAGCTTTAGTACAGCTACAGTTGGTTATATAAGGTTGAAACCATTCTACTACGACTCAGAAAATGTTCTAAATTTGAAAAATATGATAAATATGCTGTCTGTAATCTGAGGAGGCGATTAAATGAGCAGTTAACAAAACTGACAGATCAGTGAAACAAATCATGGGCATGAATAAAATAACTGAAAAATGTTTTTTAAAATAGTTAAAATTTGGTGAGTTGAAACATGTGCAGCACTCATAAGAGCCTAGAGCAGTGGTGGCGAACCTATGGCACGCGTGCCACAGGTGGCACGCCGAGCCCACTCTGTGGGCACGCGGCCATAGGTCGCCGGAGGGAGGGAGGGTGCGCTCCGCCGGCGCATCCATAAGGCGGCACAAGTGGCTGCCTTAGGGTGCACCGGCCCGGCGGGCGCAAAGCCGGAGTGACCGGCAGGAGGTGAGCGCAGAGCGCTCCCTCCTGCCAGGCACTCTGTGTAGCGTGGCCGAGCGCACCGCGGTACAGGAACTTATGTTTCCTGTACCCGGGCGGCCGGAAATGAAGTGCTCACAGAGCGAGCACTTCCTGTCCGCCGGGTACAGGAAACATAAGTTCCTGTACCGGGTGCGCTCGGCCACGCTACAAGGTAGGAGCTCAAGGAGAGGAGGGGACCTGAGTGGGAGAGAGATGGGGGGGGGGACTGAGGGAGAGCCTGGGGGACAGAGGAACCCGAGGGAGAGCCATGGGGAGGGAACCGAGGGAGAGCCATGGGGACTGAGGGAGAGCCATAGGGGGAACTGAGGGAGAGCCATGGGGAACTGAGGAGAGCCATGGGGAACCGAGGAGAGCTATGGGGGGAACCGAGGAGAGCCATGGGGGGACTGAGGGAGAGCCATGGGGGAACTGAGGGAGAGCTATGGGGAACCAGGAGAGCCATGGGGAACCCCGAGGGAGAGCTATGGAGGGGGGAACTGAGGGGAGAGCCATGGGAGGGGGAACTGAGGAGAGCCATGGAGGGGGACTGAGTGGGGAGAGAGATGGGGGAAACTGGAGGGAGGAGAGATGGGGCTAAACCGGAGGAGAGAGATGGTGGGGGCTAAACTGAGGAGAGAGAGATGGGGGCTAAACCGAGTGGGAGAGAGATGGGGAGGGCTAAACTGAGTGAGAGAGAGATGGGGGGGCTAAACTGAGTGGGAGAGAGATGGGGGGCTAAACTGAGTGGGAGAGAGATGGGGGGGGCTAAACTGAGTGGGAGAGAGATGGAGGGGGAACTGAGTGGGAGAGATGGGACGGAAACTGAGGGAGAGATGGGGGGGAACTGAGGGAGGTATAGGGGGAGAAAACTGAGTGTGGGACGGGGGTGAGGGGGGACGACATACACACAGCACCCCTGCCCTACACATATCACCCCACACAAAGACACCCACACATCACCCTACCCACATATCACCCCACCCACACACACACACAAACACATACAATGTACCCCTCAATGCAGTGTGTGTACACTCAGTCTGTCTGTGTGTGTACACTCAGCAGTCTGTCTGTGTGTGTACACTCAGCAATCTGTCTGTGTGTGTACACTCAGCAATCTGTCTGTGTGTGTACACTCAGCAGTCTGTCTGTGTGTGTACACTCAGCAGTCTGTCTGTGTGTGTACACTCAGCAGTCTGTCTGTGTGTGTACACTCAGCAGTCTGTCTGTGTGTGTACACTCAGCAGTCTGTCTGTGTGTGTACACTCAGCAGTCTGTGTGTGTGTGCGTGTGTATTTAGCAGTCTGTGTGTGTATTCAGCAGACTGTGTACTCAGCAGTCTGTGTGTGTATTCAGCAGTCTGCTAAGTGCATAGACAGACTGCTAAGTACACAGACAGACTGCTAAGTACACAGACAGAGATGTTAATTAGTTCGGACAACTGTATGAGTTGTTTTTTCGAAACTTAAACCTCAGTATTCAGGTTTAAATGCCGTTTTGGCACTTTGAGGGAAAAAAAATTGGCATGTATTACGGTTTGGGCACTCGGGCTCAAAAAGGTTCGCCATCACTGGCCTAGAGTCTCTGAAGCTCTAATAATCATGGATTATGCCATTGCCTACCCACCTTGTAACCTGTTTTGTAGACACTTTTTAGAAACATTGTTTACAATCCTAGAAGCTGTGTTACCTCTAACCACAACTGTTCTTGTTTTACAATTAAAGGGATAATCCATACTCCTAAATCACTTTACTTTATCTGCGAAGAGTATATCCTCTTTTTTCCATTTTACAAGTGCAGTTTTCAATAGAAATTAATATTTTTTTTAAAATAATAAACCGTGTTACAACCTCCTGGCTGTCAGACAACCTGATACTTCATGGTTGTTTATCTAAGTGAAGCTAAATTGAAGAGGCAGGCAACTGTCAAGAGCACGTGACTTGAAAGACTTCTCATTGAGATGCATTGGGAAGTCTGTGATGGACAGCCACAGAAAGTCTGGCTTGGGGAAAAAAGGTGGGGGCTTGACAAGTGTTCAGACATGAGAACTGCAGCTTTTACAAGCTGTTTTTAGATATACCCCAATAAAATGAATATTGAAATGTGGTACAGTCATGGGAATGCACCATGTAATCTGGTTTAGTAGCTAATGTATCTAGGATTAACATTAGTTAGTACTTCACAGTCATAACCCGCTGTTTCCTAAAACATAGCTCAATCAGGCTGGCAGCTAAAGCAAACTCCCACATGCACATATATTAGGTATGAAGTTCAGGAACATAAACAGGAATGCACAGGTCAGGTTATGAAGCACAGATTCTGAATTAAATACTTAAAAATCTATGGTCACAAGAACTGGCCTTACTGCACATCTCCTCACAACCACTATCTGCATACAAAAAATCTGTTCTGCGCCATCTACTGAACGCTGTCAAATCACTCATTCCAGTATACTGGAAGGATACAGACATCCCCACAAGAGAAGAGTGGATTCATAGGGTCGAAGATATTAGGGCGGCAGAGGCACTACAGGCAGAATTGACGGGCAGAGAGGCAAAATATGCGAATATCTGGGAGCCGTGGCTCACCTTCCGTGCGCGACAATAGGGGGGCGCTGGCGGGGGGGGCCGGGGGACGGCGCAGCCTTCTCGACAGACCCACTTCATACATTATGACCTGCGGCCGCCCAATGCCACTACTGTTAGCAGACACTACGCCTCATGCACCATCCACACCGCTCCGACTGGACAAGACACTACAAAGGACGACCTGAGCTAACAAAGACGCCCCTAAGCGGCCTACATAAATACACACAATTAACTGGCTAGTCGACACTCACATACCGCCCCTAACTAGACAGCACGATACAGCGACGGACTATGAGCCCTCACAGGCAAAGGCAGCGGTCTCCGGACCTCCACCGTCCCTACGAAGGGGAAGGGACAAAATGAGACAGACCTAACACTGCACGATATCCACACCCAACCAGATGATAGACGTCAGACGCATCAACCTGACCCCCATGGGGACCCTGGTCATACACCATACGACAAAACAGGCTGACTGGGACCTGACCGGACAGACGAACCATCCGAGGGACTGGGTGTTGCAGAACACAACGACCTTCACATGTAGGGACCCTACGCCCTCAACCCCCCTTACTTATGACGACGATACACTTTCGCACTCACGGGGCATCATGGCCAACTTGTACCTCACACCTCCATCAACACAAGACACCTGATACGACACTTCCAACGCACGCCTACTGCGACATGCACAACCCGATCATACAAGCCAGACATGGAACACAACACGGTCAGGCAACAGGCCGACCAAGCTTTGGGAAATCCCATGACACAGCTGGGCCCTCCCGCAATGACCCTTCTGCACCAAATGCGGGCAGTTGAGGGAAGAATGAGAACACCTCGATTAAACATTCACATCGTTGGAGGGACTCTCTCATGCTATCGTGCCCTCTTCTCGAACCAACACCATCCTCTTCCCATCCCACTTACAATAATTGTGTAATGCCACACATCGTTATTGCCAACACTCAACACCGGCCTACCTGCGGGCTAAGACACACCCTAATCCAATACATCACACCCCACTTCCACACTTCTCGACGAGAAGACTTGACACACGAACCATTAGTATTCGTACGACTATAAGACGCCGATACATACCAATTACCCCGCACCGCCCTAGCCCTCAGGGGACTGATCTGAATAACTGTGATTATCACGAGCTGTAGCTAAGTACCCCTGGGAGAGGGACACGGTAACGACTACCATTAACGATCTCGTGTTACCTAATATTGCAACGGTAATAGACTCTAACCACACATATTTATACTGTTTGGATATCTGATGCTTTTATTATGTAACTTTGTATTCTACTATTAACGCGGGCCTGCGAGCCCAAATTTATCTACTGACTGGCTTCAATAAAAACTGATTAACCAAAAAAAAAAATACTTAAAAATCTAAACAAAAAACCCCAAAGGCATAATGGAACAGAGAATTAATTACCTGGGGACAGAGTGTCCTGCCTACAGCAAAACAAATTTGTACAAAATGGTATGATGTTTTAATTTTTTTTTTATTCTTTATTTTTGGAGTGCATGAAAATATAACAATAGGGCTCTTCATGCCCCAACAGCATTGACAAGTATATAACCAGACATATGTTAACAGTTGGTCAGCATGTGGAAAGATCAGCACAATTTTTATATAACAACATAAACAGATTTAGCGTTCCTGTCTAACCGATCAATGCATAACATGCTTGTTGTCAGGAACTTTTCTAGACCTGCTGGGTGAAAGATTGCGGTCCAATAGAGAGTGAGTGCTTACTACGGAAAAGGTAGGTTATTTAGTGTGAGATGCCTCTCTACGTGTAATACCTATTGAGAAATAGTAAAATAATAGAAAATTAAACAAGCTTACATCTAAGCAAGTTAGGTACACAAAATGCTATGATGCTTGGTAAATTAAGTTAGTGTTTCTGCAATATGTGAGCATGTTGTGCCATGTTTTTTAGACAGCCAGGATATGAGACTAGTCGATTGAGAGAAATTAGTTAAGCTTAATACAGTTCTAACATTAATGTATGCATACAATGATGACTGTATAGACAGGCTAGTACATGTTGCTGATGAATAAAAAGAGTAAACAGGTACATCCGTTTTTGCAGTGTCCCGATAGCATATGCAATTGTTATGGTTAGAAACATTGACTTCTTAGGGCATAGCAATATAAATACAGTGCACGTTTGTTTTTGTTTTTAACATTTGCACATTTTTGTATATATATATATATATATATATATATATATAAAAAAAATTTATAAGAAGTGCTAAACTTAAACTGTTTTTCTTTCCCTTTCTCTTTTTTTTCTATTCTTTATTTTTTCGTGCATTCAATAAACAAGTGAGTTTGTGCTGCCCCAACAGCTAGTACAAACTGGGCATTAAATATAGTATGACATTTATGTGGACATTCAAGTGAGTACAGTGCACATTTTATGAATAAAAGTAGGCTGTGTTAGTCTAAGGTCACCGATTGAAGAAAAAGTAATAATGAAAAAATAAAAAATAAGTGGGGGGTTGGAGGGGTTATGTCTCTCTATAGGCTCATGTAGAAGAATACTGTACACCAGCATAACAAAGGAGTGGGACACCTAACCATCTTAACTGCTGTGCATAGTAGCCCCATCTTCTATTGTATTGTTCATGGTAAGGGTAGAGTTGTCGATACGCACATGCGTGGTAGGCACATCTGTGCTTTTAAGTGGTCTTAGCTCGTTGGTTGGAAGCATGGGGATCTTTGTGTTCTAGACGTTGAGTCTTTTGGTTAAAGGCTGTCCAGGAGAGCGAGGCAGGGTTTAATGCTGCTTAGTGCTCTATTATCAGTGGGTGCTCGGGGGAAGGGTTTGTGCCTGAGACTAAGGCACTGCTTGTGTACTGGTCTGGGATGGGGGGTGGGTTCATGTATGCATGTTCCGAGACTAGGTGAGAGGATCGCCCACCTCCTTGGTAGGAGTGGGTTGGCAGTCTTAGGAGCCACGATTTATTGGCTGTATGAGTGGGCATCGGCCATAACGGTAGTTATGATGGGGCGCTAAGTAGTGGTTTTTGTGGCGTGTACCATCAAGCCTTCCTGGTTATGAGAGGAGGGTGGCTTGCTGCCGTGCCTTCCCTAACCTATAGGTTGCGCTTTTCGTAATGGGGGGCGGGGGTTGGAGTGCTCTCTGCAGCGGCAAGAGGGGCATGGGAGTCTGTTCTGCGTGCAGGGTACGATAGTTGTAAGAAACACCCAACAATTTCACAAAATACAAGGAAAACAAAACAAGTCAAGAACAAAAGTTAAGAATAGAAAAATAAAAAACTCTGTGACCAGGTGTCATGTGGTCTGTTGGAGTCCGGTGGCTCCTTAGCCAGGTGGTTCTATCCTGCATGTCCCTGTGTTTCAGCCTGTGGCAGCAGCGGAGCGCGGCACAAATGGGACTATGTTGGGGACGTCCCAGGAGCAGTTAGGAGTCGGGTTGGAGGAGTCTATTGCTTTAAGTCCTAATTTACCGAGGAAAGTTTCTGCGTTTTCTGTCGACGTCAGTCGATAAGTTGCTGCTCCCTTTGTAACTAATAGCATTGATGGGCCCCATCGGTACCTGATTCCAGCCGCTCTGAGGGTCGTGGTGACTCGCTGCACGGACCATCTCCAGGTCAGAGTAGCTCTGCAAAGGTCCTGCAGGAAGGTGAACTGCATGCCCTCGAAGTGGTATGGGCTCTGGCCGCTGAGCGCCGCCATCACTGCCATTTTGTCCCGGGTAGACTGTAAGCGGAGAAGGACGTCGCGGGAGGCCTCCGTTGGGGCTCTTGGCAACTTGGGGAGTCTGTGTACGCCCTCCACTAGCACAGTCTTCGCCTGCTTAGAGTTGAGAATTGTGGCTAAGAGGCGTCGGGTAAGTTGTGGCAATTCATTGTCGTCTATGGAGTCGGCAATGCCTCTGATTTTTATGTTGGAGCGGCGTCTTGCGTAGTCTAGGCCATCAAGCCATGCCTGTAATGCCTGGTGTGAGGACTGGAGGTGTGTTAGCTTCTCCTCCGTTGCTTGCTGGCGTTCTGTCATAGCAGTTAAGTCTTCCTTGGCAATCCTCACTCTGCCAGTGACGGCGGTCACTTCCTCCTGCAAAATCGCCATGTCTGAGTGGAATAGGTTCTGCAGTATATTCAGGATGTCACCCTTGGTGGCCGGAGCTCTCAGGTCACCCATTGCTAGGCTCGAGATGGGGTCTGTAGCCTCTGGTATGGGATCTGGAGCATCCAGTGTTTCCTCATCCGAGGATGAGCTTTGGGGATCTGGGGTCGCCGCCATTTTAGGTTTAGGCCTCGTCAGGAAAAGATCACCTATTTTCCCTGGATCCGTCCTCAGGGTGAGTTTTTAACTTTTTATTTCTTTTCCCCATAGTGTCGTTGAGTGTGGGGGCTGAGAAGTAGTCGGATTGTCTTCGTGTGGATCGATTAATCTGCATGTATCTCCGTTATTGCTTGGGAGCTCCGCAGGCATGCGACTGCTCTCGGTGCGATCCAGACCACGCCCCACCATGATGTTTTAATTTTTAACATAGGACATATGAAATTTCCAAATAACCAGAGTAGGTATCTGTCTATCGGCAACCTAAAAAAAAAAAAAGAAACCTGTCAGTTTATATACGCATTGATTAAAAGTGTCTTATGTTTTCCTTTTTTAATGCTAGACACCCCTGCATGTATAATAACGACAGCTCTCTTTAGTGGCAATGGGGTTGGTCGGTGAGAGGGGCATGGAAATATCAGCAGCACTGGCTTGCATTAATGAGTCGGTAGGAGTCGGCTCTTTTCCACCCTCTGAGCCTATGTCACTATGCACCGCAAGAATATATCCTCCACTGATCTATGCACCTTGTGATGTGAGCAAGTGCACGTCAAAATGGTTTCTTATGTTACTTATTGAAGGACCACTATCGTGCCAGGAAAACAAACTCGTTTTCCTTGCACTATAGGGTCATTAGGTGCCCCCCACCCTCAGAGGCCCCCTCCCGCTGGGCTGGAGTGGTTAAAACCCCTTCAGCCACTTACCTTTCTCCAGTGCTGGGTTCCCTCTGGGGAACTGTCTACCCCCTGCCGATGTCAGATTCCGAATGTGCATGCGCGGCAAGAGCCGTGCGCATTCAAACCACCCATAGGAAAGCATTACTCAAGGCTTTCCTATGGACGTCCAGCGTCTTCTTACTGTGATTTTCACAGTGAGAATCGCGGAAAGCTCCTCTAGCGGCTGTCAGTAAGACAGCCACTAGAGGCTGGATTAACCCTCAGGTTTGAGCTGAAGTGGTCTGGGGACCTATAGTGGTCCTTTAAGTAAGATGCCTAATGAGCTGCCAATCACGCACTGACCACGTGTAGAGCTAGATCTCCTAGCTACTTCTGCCTCTGCTGCTTCTGTTTGATGGTGAAATTATTAAATCATGGCAATATACTAAAATATTTGTAAGAGCTGTGTGCCAGGAGCTGAAGTACTATACACTGGCACTGCACACGTAAATAAGAGATATGTACCTGTTACTTAAAAAAGGCGGACAATTATTTTAATTATTTTTTTAACATATGAGTGCCAATGGCATTTCTGGTTCATATAACTGACTTCTAAGTGCAGCAGTGGCCTTCTGCTATTGCTCACATATTTCAAATGCATGTGAGAAGTAAATCATGTATCACAAGGCAATCTCCAAAGAAAAACAACATGTGCAACAAGGCCACTGGCAGTATCACACAAATAAATAATAAACATTTTATGTAGTAATGTGTGGCATTGCCAGTGACCTTCAAGTGTTCATTCTGTGTGTGTCTCTGCCAGTGGTTGTCTGGTATTCCTCAACAGTAAAAAACAAACAAACATTTCCTCAACTTTTATTCCATATTTTTCAAATACCAGTAAGTGGGACACTTGCTAACAAATCATGTACCAAACATCTCCTTTTTCTAGACGCAAATAGTTTCTCAGTTTGTTCCCTATTAAATGTGTTTGAGTGATTTTAAACCACCATGGTGACTGTAATACATTTATTCACTAAATAGCGAATGTTGATGTATTGCAAAAAGTAGTCTAAATTCAGTTGAATTTAGGGAAGCCACCTGAAGCATTTGTTGTATTTGAGCTATTTAAATTACTTTAGTTTGATTTGTTCATTGCAAACAGCTGATGTTTGTACACTTTGACAATAAATCAGATTTTTAATGATTTTGATTACGACTGTAAAACATCTTCAAGAAGTGGATGGTGTATTTTTGTTTATTGAAGATAGTCTTAAAAGCACCAAATACTAACGCATAAGGATTTATCCCAGTGGGATAAACTCCTGGAAGATGATGTCAATTTTAAGGTTTGTAACCATTGAGTTAAGGAAAATGATTTTTCATGGTCATTTTGTCACCTGATCATATATGGAAGTTTATTTCCTCCTACATTAAAGCATAATGAAAGAGTCTTTATTACCCTTATTACCACTGGTACACCATTTCCCAAATGGAGTAATCAGTGATCAGAGGCGTAACTAGAAACTATGGTGCCCCCCCCCATACGTCTACCCCCGCCATTCCCCCATACTTCTATGCTCCCACTCCCATACGTTCCCCCCGCCACACCTCTATCCTCCCCCACATACGTTCCCTCCCCACACATGCAGACACACACATACAGACATATAGACAGACATATACACACACACACACACACACACACAGACATACATACAGTCACACACACAAACACATATACAAAATATTTTGACCTTACTGGGGTCCAGTGGTGGCTCAGCCTGATGGGAGTCAGAGTTCCCACTCTGACTCCCTCCTCTCAGGCAGGCTCTGTGTGATTGCTGGGAGGAGTGACCAGGGCTGTCGCTTCCTCCCAGCGGCGGACATCATCTCAGGGGACCCGGTCACGCTGTTAAAGCAATGCAGCACTGACAAGGCCCCCTGGATATTCATTGTTATCGGGTGGCCCTAACAGAATGGCCCACTTGATGAGTCCCTTAACATGCGGCCCCGGTGGTTCTACCGCGCAGGCCGGAGTCGCAACACATGGCGGCGGGCACCCGGTCGCAGGGGTCCACAGTGCGGCCAGACCCCTAGAGTGGCACACATGGTGCTGAGCTGACAAAAGCACTGCACCTTTTTTGTCTGCTGCCTCATTCTTCCAGTACTCAGCCAGCAGATATCTCAATATACCTCCTGACATTTTATTTCAGAGAACAGTAGTGTGTGGCTGAAGCCCACATCACCATTGCCAGCTTTGACATGCGAGTGGCATGGGGAGCGGGAATTAGCCGCCTTTCCTTCTTGCCAGGACTCACATGGCTCTTACTTGTTTTAAAAGAACATTGGACACCATACTAAATTTATCCGAATGAAGTTGTTACGGTGCAAGGAGCTCCTGGGCACAATCTTACCATAAGGGGTTAAGTGTTAGAAATTGTTTAACCCCAAAGTTGTGAAGCTGGTTCTCATCAGCTCGTGCCACTGTCCTGTGGTCCTTTGTTGAGGAAACATCAGCAATTGCCGCACTTGCACGGTCTCTATGGACAGACATTAAATTGTCTGAGATCACCTCACTCCCACCCACATTGTGCTCCCTACGAAAGCCTCAGTGGATTGTTTTTTGAAAGAACCCTCCTCTAGTCGGCCGTAGCAAGTGTTTGTGATCTGAGCCAGCAAAGTGGAGAAGCCTGTGATTTGCCTGCATGCTGCCTCTGTTATGTTGGAAGGAGGCGCAATAGTCAGCACCAGTAGGTTTTGGTTTCTAGGTGAGTAATGATGATCTAAACAACGGTCCCTGAGCAGTGCCACAGGAACAATGGCAAGAAGAGGGAAGAAAGATAGGTAATACTCTTTGTGAATGAATGAGTTCCTGTCTTACAAGAAATTGCAGCCCTAGAAAAAACATTTATACCAATCCTATCATGCATTACACTAGTAGAGTGTCTATTTATTATTATTGGTATTTATATAGTGCCAGCTTATTTTGCAGCACTTTACAATAAGAGGGGGATTTACCAAATGAGACAATAACAAAATGTAACAGGAACAATAGGTAGTTGAGGACCCTGCTCAAACGAACTTATAGTCTAGAGGAAGTGGAGTATAAAAACACAATAGGAAGGGTATTGAGGGAGTCAGCAAGTAGACATGGTTGGACAGTAGCAGAACTGGAGGTGAGAGTGCAGTGTGGCCCTTTAGGATAGAGCAAGAGGCTGGTTTGAGAGATAGAAGTTACTCTTGGAGGCCATAAGCAATCCTGAAAAGATGGGTTTTGAGGGACTTCTTAAAAGAATTGAAGACTAGGGGAGAGTCTGAAAGGGGTAGGCAGGCTGTTCCAAAGTAAAGGAGCCGTCCGTGAAGTCTTTCAGGCGGGAATTTGCAGTAAGAGTGCGAGCAGCAGACAGGAGGTGGTCACTAGTGGAGCAGATAGACTGAGAGGGGGCATACCTATGAATCAGTGAAGAAATGTAAGAGGAGCTAGAGTTGGTTAGAGCTTTAAAGGTAAGGGTTAGTATTTTAAATTGACACCTGTAGGGTACAGGAAGCCAGTGTAAGGGTCGACAGAGGGGTGTGGTGTGAGAGGAGCAACAGGAAAGAAAGATCAGCCTGGCAGCAGCATTCATCACATATTGTAAGGGGGCAGTACGAGCAATTAGGAGAGAGTTACAGTAATTGATGCAAGAGATTACTAGAGCACGAACAAGCTCCTTGGCAGCATCTTGTGTAAGAAAGGGGCGGATGTGGCAATGTTTTTAAGCTGGAATCGACAGGTTTTAGCAACAGATTGGATATGAGGTGCAAAGTATAGCCAGGATCAAAAGTGACACCAATACAGCGAGCTTGAAAGGATGGGGTGAGGGAGGTGCCCTCAACCTGCAGGGAAAGTGAAGAAGGATCAGTGTTATGAGGAGGAAAAATAAGAAACTCAGTTTTAGAGAGATTGAGTTTCAGAAAGTGGGAGGACATCCAATCAGAGATAGAAAAAAGGCAGTTTGTGAAAAGTTGTAGGATAGCAGTGGAGAGATCAGGGGGAGAGAGGTATATCTAGGTGACGTTAGCATACAGGTGGTAGTGGAATCCAAATGAATTAATGAGTTTGCTAAAAGAGGCAGTATAGAGAGAGAACAACAGGAGACCGAGAACTGAACCTTGAGCGACTCCGACTGAGACAGGACGAGGAGAGGTGGTGATGTTGGAAAAAGAGACACTGAAGGAGCATTGGGAGAGATAGGAGAAGAACCATAAGAGGGCTGTGTCACAGAGACCAAGAGATTGAAGAGTTAGAAGAAGGAGGCCTTGATCAACAGCAGAGAGGTCAAGAAGAATTAGTGTGTAGGTACACTCATAGGGTTCCATCAGCCCATTTGGTAATGCAGCCCTGCTGGCAGGAAGTAAGGTCCTTCAAACAAAACAGCATTGCTGTGGCTTTGTGATTTAACATCTTAACAGAGAACCCATGCTGTGCGCCTGTATCCAGGATTCTGGCATAACAATATATGTACCTTACAGGAACTCCCTCTTTGGATCAAACAGACAAGTCCACATCAGGAATCTAAATAAACCAGTTATCATAAACTGGTCATGTGGTTAGGAGGGGCTGGAAACAGAGAAAGACTTATGGGATTCGTATTCAACTCTAAGTTATAATAGAATGGAACAATTGTAAAACAAAACATTGCAACAAAGAAAAAAATGAAAAGTCTGCATACCCTTAGTTGTTAATACTGTGTATTGTCCCCTTTAGCATCAATGACAGTGTGCAGTGTTTTGTGATAGTTATCTATGAGGCCCCTAATTCTTGCAGGTGGTATAGCTGCCCATTCGTCTTGGCCAAATGCCTCCAAATCATGCAAAGTCTGTGGACGTCTTGCATGAACCGCACATTTGAGATCTCCCCAGAGTAGCTTGATGATATTAAGGTCAGGAGACTTTGATGGCCACTCCAGAACCTTTACCTTTTTTTGCTGTAAGGGTCAACTTGGCCTTTTGCTTAGGGTCAATGTCATACTGGATAGTCCAAGAGCAAACTATGCACAGCCTTCGTGCTGAAGAATGCAAATCATCTGTCTGTATTTTCTGATAACATGCTGCATTCATCTTGCCATCAATTGTCACAAGATTGCCCAGTACCTTTAGAGCTCACACACCCTCCAAAAACATCAGTGAGCCACCACCATGCGTCACAGTGGAGATTGTATTCTTTTCTCTATAGGCCTTATTGACCCCCCTCCAAACATAGCACTTTTGGTTGTGACCATAAAGCTCTATTGTGGTCTGGTCACTCCAAATGATAGTGTGCCAGAATATGTGAGGCGTGTCAAGGTGTTGTCGGGAATATTGTATCTGGTCTTTTTTTTGGCATTGACTCAATAAAGTCTTCTTTCCGGCAACTCGACCATGCAGCTCATTTTTGTTCAAGTATCGTCGTATTGTGCTCCTTGAAACAACCACACCTTTTTTTCAGAGCAGCATGTATTTCTTCTGAGGTTACCAGTGTGCTTTTCTTTGTATCCTGAACAATTCTTCTGGCAGTTGCGGCTGAAATCTTTTTTGATCTACCTGACCTTGGCTTGATTTCAAGAGATCCCCGAATTTACCACTTCTTAATAAGTGATTGAACAGTACTGACTGGCATTTTCAAGGCACTGGATACCTTTTTTATCCTTTTCCATCCTTATAAAGTTCCATTACCTTGTTGCACAGGTCTTTTGACAGTTCTTTTCTGCTTCCCATGGCTCAGTATCTAGTCTGCTCAGTGCATCCATGTGTGTTCTCACAAACCCATTGACTATTTATACACTAATTGCAATTTAAAAAGCCACAGATATGGAAAATTTACTTTTCATTGCCATTTAACCTGTATGTGTCATCTTGAGTGGCTGTCACAAGTCCAAACATTCAAGGGTATGTAAACTTTTGATCAGGGCCATTTGGATGATTTCTGTTATCATTATGATTTAAAAAGGAGCTAAACAACTATGTGATAATAAATTGCTTCATATGATCACTATCCTTCATTAAAATACATTTTTGTGCATGATCATTCACATTTTCAAAATCAATGCCAAAATTTCACATTACACAGAATAACAGAATATATACAGAGATCATAGGTGGAGAATTTGTACGTGCGTAACAGACACAGACTCTGCCTCACTCAAAAATAGGGACTGTCCCACCAAAAGCAGTATAGTTTGGAGCACTGTAAGATGTCTCTCGGACCAGTTGTTGGTCTAAAGCTCCGATAACTGTCTGCCAAACCAAGATGAAACTTGTTGCACACCCACCCACAGCTATAGCACATGGAAGCAGCTACTTCAGCCGAGGTATCCTTTGAGCATTATCTGACATCTTAGCGATACAACCGATATGAAATAAAATACCTTTCCATAGGTGGAAAACATGCACAATATCAAGAATTAACAGGTAAAATCCACCCGACAAGTCTGCTGGTACTGTGAAAGTTCTGTGAAAATGTTTTTGTTCATACAGATTTATTTTGAAGCCAGCATTTTTTTGACAGATAAAACTCACACGTGACCCTTCAAGGAATGATTTAGCTCCACCAGCTTGCTACTTTCCCACAGAAGTATTTCTGTCTGATTAAACAACATTAAGTGCATCAAAGCTCTAGTCTGAATACTCTTATCTGTCCTGTCCATCACATAGATTATTCATTGCATTGTTTGAAAGTCTGTGACCTTAGAATCACGAGGCGAATTACTTCACAGAAGACAATTTGTCATATGACCACTAGATGTCGACATGCACCAGAAAAAAACCCTGTAACATAGTTGTTTTGAGATGTAAACACAGTCACTACTGTTGTGCAATTAACAATTGAAAGCCAGTTATTAAGCTTGTTTATTGGCATGAACTATGATTTATTTATAACTACGACATAAATCAAGAGTAGTCAACATGTATATTTCAACCTATTAGCAAACTACAGCTCCCACGATTCACAGCCATCATAAACCAATGTGAAAATTTGTGGAAGATAATGTAAGTTATAAACAACTGGGGGAGTGCAGACTAGTACACTGTGCCTTAACTTGACGTAAAGCCCCTCTTCATACATCGTAAACAACATTTTTGTCCAGCATGTTTTGAAATGACAAGTTTATTCGCTAAACACCTTTTAAAACGTACATTTCTCTTTCTCATAAAATTCATCATGTTTCTGCTTACTGCAGTAGTTGCACACAGAACAAGCACATAACCATACATTTGGTCACCTTAAAGGAACAGTAAATATAGTATTAGGAATGCAAATGTGTCCTCCAAGTGTCACCTCCTTAGCATCTCATCTAATCCAATGCTTCTCATTGAGAAGCATTAGGGATCAGCATTTGATGACATTCAATGCCGAACTTCACATAACTTGAGTCACACTTGTGTTTAATCCTGCAATGAAAACATTGTTGTATCAAATAATAGGGATTGTTTTCGATTGCAGGACCAACAGATTCCATACCGTTTTACAATATTATGAGAGGGGGGATTTAACTATAAATAGGACAATTACAAGAAAACTTACAGGAACGATAGGTTGAAGAAGACCACGCTCAAACGAGCTTACAGTCTATAGGAGGTGGGGTATAAAACACATAAGAACAGGAAATAGCAATCAAATAAGGTGGGAGTGAAACAGAGCTGGAGGAGAGAGCAGAGTGCTGCCCTTTAGGAGACAGCAAGAGACAGGTATGTGAGGTAGAGGTTACTCTGGGAGGCCATAAGCTTTCCTAAAAAGATGGATTTTAAGGCACTTCTTAAATGAGTGAAGACTAGGGGAGAGTCTGATGGTGGTAGGCAGGCTATTCCATAGGTAGGGAGCCGCCCACGAGAAGTCCTGCAAGCGTGAGTTGGCCATACGGGTGCGAGCAGCAGACAGGAGACGGTCACGGGCAGAGCGGAGAGACCGAGAAGGGACATACCTATGGATCTGTGATGAGATATAAGAGAGGCTGGAATTGTACAGTGCTTCATAAGTATGGGTTAGCACTTTGGACTCCTATAGGATACAGGAAGCCAATGTAAGGACTGACAGAGGGGTGAAGTGTGAGAGGACCGACTAGTGAGGAAAATCAGTCTGGCAGCAGCATTCATTACAGACTGTAGCGGGGCAATACAGCTTTTGGTAAGACCAATTTGAAAGGGTTAATGCTGTTCTGGACTCAACTCCCCTCGATTCTCAGGTCACCATAATCAATGTTGATTGAGAATCATTGTTAGCAATAAAGACATGGACACCACAAATGTGCTTTAACAAGATTCTCAAATGAGTGTATTTTCAGGGCTAGCATTTATACACAGTTTGTCACGCAAGCAGCGAGATTTATCACTTCCTTATAGTTAATAGTACATACTTGTCTGACATTAAAAGATAAGCATTTGAATAAAGACTGGACAGGAACATACTGAGGGTGAGCAAGGTCGCACATCCTCTAGAAGGAAGACCTTGGTACAAAATACATCTGCCAAGGTCATAAATACAATACATACAATAGGTGGATCACACTTCTTAAAATATCTAAAAAGGAATAAAAACAGCAATATGGTGTAATATTGTCAGCAAATGGATATCCAAGATATGAATGAAGGTAGTCAGGTACTCACAAACCAAGAGCCAAACAAGAACATGTGGCTCTCATGGAAACAGCACTGGGACCATTAATAGGATGTCCCTTTCCTTCTGTGGATCTTCTGTTAGCCAAAAGAAATGGAGCTGGAAACACTTACTTAAAAAGTAAAGTGTTTATTAATCCCAATATTGGAAGTATAGATAAAAATAAGGAGAATATTTCCAATAAAACATATACAGTATAATAAAATAAAATAAAAGAGTCCAAATAAAGAGTCTCTCTGGTACCGAAACGTGTTTCGCCCCGTGCCAGGGGCTTCCTCAGTCGGTGATGCTGCCTTTCTGCTTTATTGTCCTTTTATATCAGTGTTTGGCCGGTATTTGGAACACAGAAATTCTCGCGGTGGAACGCACTTCCGGTTTCGTCACCTCCGGGTTACGGCGTCACCTCGTTCTAGACGTCAGCCCGGTTTCAGGCGTGAAAGCGTCATGTTGGCATGGAAACAAGCCGGCTGGAACGCACACTGTGTAACGTCGGAACATCGATAGTACAGAATAGGAAAGCATGAGTACGCAGCAAAAACATAATAGCTATATCAAATAATTATTCTATTACCCCAAACCATTTACAGGGTGACATAGTGTTAAATAAAGTGCTCATATATTGTGGATTTTCATCAGGGTCAATCAATGTCATGATATTTAAAAGTGCCTGTACTAATATTCATAACTTATCTAAATTCTATTTTACTCAATTCCATAGTTGATAGTAGTGAACAAAGTGCTTCTATATTGGAAATTAGTAAATCTTATAATGTTTAAAGTGCCAATGCCTATATTAAGATTTTTAATGACAAATTTATTGTTATTCATTATTGATACCTCAAAGTAAACATCTTTCACTGATCTTCTTGTGCAAATAAGACTTTTTAATATATATATATATTTTTTTTTATATTTAAGTATTAAATTTAGATTTTAAAAAAAAATTTATTTAAAAGAAATGACATGTTTCAAAATCAGAATTCAAGCCGTGTAGTATTAAAATTAAAAATGAATTTCAGCTCCTCTAATCCTATTTTTTTAATATAATCACCTCCTCTCCAGTCATGTGTGACTATTTTTAGAGGGCAAAAAAATAATTGGTCAGGGTTTTGGTTGTGGTGGGTCTTAAAATGGTTGGAGACACTATGGGTTTCCAAACCTTTTCTGATGTTCCGTATCTGTTCGGAAATTCTGACATGAAGACATCTGATGGTTCTGCCAATATATAATAAATTACAAGGACATTTTAAGATATAAATTACGCCTTTGCAGAAACAAGTTAATTTATCTTTAATAACGAAATCTTTGTCAATAAATTCTCGAAGGTCACTTAAATGTCTTTTCTTACTATTCGTAGATTTACATGCCTGACAGTTTCCACAACCATAATACCCGTTTTGTAATCCTGGGAAATGGTTTGTTTTAATTGGACTTTCACTGCTTTTTACAAGAATCTTTTTCAAATTTTTTGCCCCTCTATAGATGATATGGGGTTGTGCGGGGAGAATTTTTCCTAAAACTGGGTAACACATGCCAATATTTCTTTATAACTTTTCTGATGTTTTTATGATTCCCATTATAATTACAAATAAGTGGTACTCTGTTGTCGGTTTGAGGGAGAGTCTTTTTAGGTTTATAGGTGAGTAGTTTTTTTCATGATAGAATCCTTGTATTTTCCATTGTTTCAGCTAAATTTTTCGCCTGGTACCCTTTCTCTAAAAAGTGTTGTTTTATTCGTGTGGCTTGTTGGATGTAGTCATCATCTTTAGTGCAATTATGTCTAATTCGCATAAATTGGCCTTTTGGGGCATTATGTAACCATGGTTTATGATGACAACTGTTACTCTCGATGTATCCGTTTGCATCGACTGTTTTGAAAAAGTTTTTAGTAAATATTTGTTGGTCCTGAATAAAAATATGTAAATCTAAAAATTGAATGTCTGTGGGGCTGTAAGAAGTTGTTAAAGTGATGCCCCATTCATTTCCGTTTAAAAATAATAAAAACATTTCTAAAAGCTGGATAGTCCCATTCCAAATAAAAAAGATGTCATCGATATACCGGCGATAGGACACCAAATTTGACACTCAGGGGTGGGATGAAAAGATAAAATGCTCCTCCCAGTACACCATGAACAAATTGGCGTAACTGGGCGCAAACTTGGTGCCCATCGCCGTCCCCTTAATTTGTAGGTAAAATGTGTTGTTAAACCAAAAGAAATTGTTCGTGAGAATAAGAAAAATGCCTTCTAAAATAAATTCAATTTGCTCTTGTTTAAAATCCGCTTTAGTTAAAAAATATTGGACTGCTTGAATCCCTATATCGTACGGGATAATTGTGTAGAGAGACGTGACATCACTCGTGACCAGATGGTATGAGAAATTCCATTGGATAGAGTTCTATCCAAGGTCAGCATAATTATTTCAAACATTATTTTAAAGCATATAAAGCAAAAAGAGTTTAACTTTTTCATATCCTTACAGTCAGCACTAATGATTATAAACCTTATCTAAGCATAAAATACATATGAACAAGAAAAGTTAACTACTTCATATTCTTACATTCCCCTCTTTGAGCAAAAACTTGCTCATATTATCTGTTAACATTCTCCCAGGACAGGGAAATTTCCACATTACGGCATTCCTAAGCAATCATGTGGTCTATAAGAAACAGAAACTCAGCAGGAATAAAGACACTTAATACTTTTGCAGACAGATATATAGAAAATGGATGTTTAAGACAACATGAAACTTGGGCTTCTAGCAAATATATTATTGCAAATAGCTGACATGTTAACCAATTTTAAACAGACTAACCAGCCGGTCATTTGTTTCATAAGCCCTGGGTGAATATGGGCAAAGTGTATTATTCCCAAGAGTTGTTTTCCTCCTTCGTCCACGGAAGTGGGCGCATATAGTCAAAGTGGGAATAATACCTATCCCCCGTCCAAGGACCGGGGTCTAGGATTACCAGTCCACCCGATGATCTGGGGCCAGGCAAAAAAATCCAGTGGCAAAAACCCATATTTGAGGAAAAGGCACATCTAGGGAAAACCTGAGTGGGGGCCGCGATCGTGTTAGACATGTCATCCCATCACAGTTGACACCACTTGTGACTTATAATACCTGCACCTGTGAGTACATAGCTCGGGTATCGGGAGGAATTGGGAAACACTTCTTACATATTAATTCATGAGATAAATTATAATCTAGCTTGAAATTCTGACAATAATCACAACCAGGACCTTGCGTTCTATATCTTTTAACCATTTCCCTATTCCAAAGGTCCAGTCAAAACCATATCCTCCTGGACAGCTCACTAAGAATGCAGCTTCACAATGAACGTAAAATGGATACTGTCCAGGAGGTGGGAGGGTCTGGGAGGGAGGGTTTGCTGCTGATTGGCTGGAATGTGTCTGCTGACTGTGAGGTACAGGGTCAAAGTTTATGTTTATGTTCGCCGTCCGTGGCGAACCGTTCGGGACATCACTAATCTTGTCCATTCAATCCTTTTTATCAGTAAAAGAATGACTTTCAGGATTAATTAATTTGCAAATGGAAACATGGATCCACGATTTGAACAGCAGAAGTTTGCGGGGCCCCTTTCACGTGGGATGTAACAATCGCTTTTCTTGCTCCAGGAGCAATAGCATACAATTGTTTCATTCTAGCCGGCTGGACAGCATTTCACCTTTTGTAAAAACACTAAATGCTTGCGTTAATGGTATGCAAATCACTCTGCTAGTTAAACTCCTACACAATGGACAATAAAATACATGAAACACATAACACACCAATTCATTTAAAACCATATAACTCATACTCAGCATCCAATGTAATATTACATGTCATCTCACAAAACAGACATCTCACAAAACAGACATCTCACAAAACAGACGTAGTAGAAAACACATAATGGATACGCAGCAGATATGCCAATACAGAAAACACATTCATGGGCACGCAACTACAGACTCTGAAACACCTCCATGAAAACACGGGTAGACACAATATGAAAGCAGTCTTAAACTAACACCTCCAAATCTCCATTCCCATATAACCTCTATCTATATGATGCCTCTATCCAGACAAAAAGGCACCTTAATAAAATAACCCAAAACATAACCCAAAACATGCATTCATACACCAGTAAATCTCACATATCATATCACCAGATAGCTCAAAATGTCAGCTGTATACAGTTTTAAAAGCGCACTAATTCTCTGTGGGTTGTAGGATAGTCTACATTTGATCAGCCATGGCAATAGCCCAATTACATTTATGGAGCTACAAGCTTAAGCATCCCTCTCCCCTAGAGATTTTATCAATTTATGCAAATCAGTGACTATGCTACTATGTTGATGTTAAAAAGACAACACTGTCTACGCTGACGCATATCTGAGGAGATATGGGAGGCATGTTCTAGGTTTTCTACATGTATCATGATGCAGGACCAATCTTTCAAGGCACTTTTTAGGTGGTATACCACACCAGTGCAACTATATCATATGAAGAAGGTGCCCACAGATACCTGCTAGCGCTTATGTGGGAAAAAAGGGCACATATTTGTACACATGGTGGTTCTATTTAAAGATTGATTTTGGGTTGGGCTATTTTATGAAGAATGGGGACTATGTGACAGGGTCTGGGCACTGTGCAATCATCTCACAAACTCACCATTCACTTGAGCTGTGCCACGGGCAGATATTTTGTTTCTTGTTTAAATAATTGAAAGCATAAGAGGGGCCGCATGCCCCTATGTGGTGTTCTCAGTACAAAGAGCATGTCGTTCTATGATAGGGAGATGGGGAATTTTATGGGAAGTGAGTCCACTAGCAGAAATGCAAGTATGAAGGTAGGCAGCCATCCGCTCCACCTACCTGTTTAGAGTAGCTGCATGCCGTCCTGTCTCAGCAGCTACCTTGTAAAGTGGCCAAGCTGCAGAGAGCATTTGTATGGGCTTTTTTTTTTTTTTTTTTTAAAGGCGCTGTCACCTTTAAGGGTGTTTCTGAAAAGATTCCTGAAGGTGATATGCTTGCTTTGGGTGTAGTTGCCCAGTAGTGCAGAGGTAAGTAGATATATTTACTTGAAGCTGTCCCCCACTGCACCACCACCTTTCTTCAACTCTTCCTCTTCCAATGTGTGATATAAAAGCAGACTTTTTCAGTTTCAGCTATAAGGTCATGGTATTATAACTTGACATATATCTAATAGTCATAGTCTTTTCATATATATTTTGAGAAGTACCTGTTGGGTGTAGTCCTTCGTGACTCTTATATGTCAAACCCCATACCAGACTGCGATATGTAACGCTCACAGAGAAGTAAAATTATTTGAAATCCTTCTCACATTGTCAGCAGGGAGTTGACAAAATAGCAATATGCAGCTATGTACCGCCTCAATATTTATGTTAATGTATGTTATACAAGAGGATGTATCTTTAGATAATGGAGATATTCGGTTTACAAGGTTGTTATTTATTCCTACAAACTCAGAATACAGTGTCCCAGTGGTGTTTATGCAAAATATAGCCATTGCAGTCCACATAAATGAGGGACTATTTGCTCATTAAATACAAAATAATTATTTGTAAACATTAAAAGCAATAATTAGACAAGTCATTATTACACATTCCAAATGACGTGCCTTTGGTTAAACAGAACCAAACAGCATGTTGAGATAATTATCCTCACAATTTTCCCTCTTGACTGCAGTTTTACAGATTTAAGGTGTTATTATGGGATTAATAAGCACAATTAGTTCATTTTGGAGGGGAAGACTGCATTCACATTCACTCTATGGATCATGTTTAGTTCAATGCAAGAGAACACACAAAACGTGCTTAAAACCTCAGTTAATTTTTCTTTGCTTGTTGACTATTTCTTCTCTACAGTCCGTCGTGCGTCTTCTCTTTTTGTTTTCCAACCGTGTCCTTAAAACAACATATGAATCATCCTCAGGTGAGATGGAGCCTTTCCTATCAAGACGGCCATTTACGATTTTTCCATTTGAAAGGCTGTGTGTATCTGTGCATTCACTGGTGTAGTCTGATATACACTCCTGCAACTAGATAGATGAATGTTAAAGTGAAAAAAAACGGTATAGGATTACTAACATAATTCAAATAAAATAATTGGTGTTCTGTTTTGTTGTCAACAAATTATTTTAAAAAAATTAACAAAACCAAAAAAAGGCTGAATATTAAAATCTACATTTTTTTTTTATTTTTTAAACTTGCTAAAGTGAAACAGGATAGCTATAATTTTCACCAACTGCTGAATTCCTCTTACATTCTCAGTTTTTAATGTATTATTATATGTACAAATCAACAAAATACAAGCTAATTAGAGGGAACAGAATGTGTCTAATATACCGGTAAAATGTAGTTAGATCTATAATGCTGATATACTATATGTACATACTCATGTGCTATTATCTAATTATGTGAAATATTATTGCTACTGAATAGACATTAAATCCCAACATTACCCCAGTGTTTGAGTGACCAATGGTTGTGTTGACAGACGGCATTACTTCAATATGTCAATATAAATAAAACTGAAACAATCTCCAATCTATATGTAAATTATTGAAATTTTCTATTATCCATTAGGTAGACGTGATTCAGAAAGGGAAAAGAGACAATGTGATCCATGTGAAACCAGTGTATGTTCTGACTGACTGTTCAGTATTTTCAGCCAGATAGAATTAGCATTTATTTCATGGCACACAATGCCTAGATGGGAAATCATGCAGCATTAACAGCACAAACAGGCACGGACAAGTTTCATACATTTCACATATATGTTTTAACATGTGATCTTTTAAATAAACTGAAATCTTATATAAAATGTTTAATGTTTGCTTTTTTTAATGTAACAATTTAAAATGGAAATACAGCCTAAACATAGTTAAAAATGGCAGATTTTAAGTTTTCTTTTTCCTTCAGGTTAAAAACTTAAATATTTCTGTAAGCCTTTAGGAAAAAGCACACAATATAAATGCAAATACTTTAAAGCAGGGGTGGCGAGGAAGGCAGGGAGCCCTTTACATTCTGTGCTCCGCCTGGACAGCTTCCTCATACGCCCTGCAGTGAGCCGACCGCCAAGATATGACATAATCCCAGCTTCGGCATCACTGCTGGGTGCACTGTGAATTGTTTATAGTGTGGATTCCTGTGACATTGTCAATCCATTGAGTGTTAAACCATTTTCAAGCAGTTTAACACTGAATACTGCATATTAATCTCCCTTAACTCAGCCCCTAATGGAGCTGTGGCTTAAACAGTGATTACAGACTTCCTTCTAGTCATACCAAGTCATACCTCGAATGGGTGCTGTGGTAAACTGAAAGCGGTCATTAGCTCTCTTGCAGAGACACCCAAAACCCTTAAAGATCCCATTTTAGCTTGCTAAATTCCTTTACGTGCAAAGAATGTCTTTTTTTTTCCACTGTAGAAAATGTGTAGATTTCAATAGAAATTGACACTTTTATAAATTAACTATACATCCCCCCTGGCTTTTAAGCAAGTAAGATCCTATTACTTCCTAGTTTGGTTAGCTCCGTGTTGCTAAACTCAAGAGGCAGCAAATGCTCAGAGCACCTGCGTTGCAAAGACTTCTCATTGAGCTGAATTGGGAAGTCTGTGATTGGACAACCACAGAAAGTCTGGGTGGGGTTAGAAGATGAGGGCTTGCAAAGGCAGCAAACAAGATAACTAAAGCTTTTTCAAACTGTATAAACCTATACCCCCAAATGATAAAAATGCATAATTAAATGCACGCCAGGTTTCATTGGGGATACATCTACTAAACCGTGATTTTTATTTATGTATTTTCTCTATTTTGCCACTGGAGCATCCCTTTAATGTAGAAGGACAACATCCAGACACTACAACTACTTCAACGAGAGGAAACAGGTACAGTGTCTACTATGTCCTTTTAACAATTCTCCTCTTTAATATTTCAACAAGTGACACACTGACAATACTTACCGCTGGAGTCTCTCCAAGCTGAATCTTTAACCAGATGTTAATTCTCTGACTCCAGTCACCTGGAGGGTCCACTTCCCACATTCGATCTTGTTCTTCGGGATGATCCCTTAAGAATTTGCTGCATACTGTAATTAGAAATGGAAGGGTGTATTTTTGTGGTGTACACTGCAGTCAACAAATATATTATGATGTAAGATATATAACAATGCATGGAGCACCCACTGGCTGACTTCAAAATTAAGCATCTTTCACAAAGCCCAATATGGTAGGAGTGTTCAAACAGTATTGTATCTTTTGTATTTATTTGAGTGCCTATTTTGTTAAATTAACACTCTAAGCACCACAACTACTCCAGCACATTGTAGTGGTTATGGTTGCAGGAGTTCACTGGCAAACCCTCTGATGTAAGTAGTAAGACCATTTCAGAACAGTTTGACTTCTTACCTGAGGTCTGCCAGGCACCACTCCCTGAAGCCTAAAACGGTTCAACTACTTCCATAAGGGGTTGCCAGGGTATGGCACTGTAGTGGTTATGGTGCTTGTAGTGTTCCTTTTTTTTTTTTTTTGTGAATATAGTTTTTATTTATTTAGATTATTCAAGATTTTGAGATTTGCAGGTCTCCAAGGTGAGTTATCATAAGATAAGAAAACACTGATATTTAGTTGGGCTCGCAGGCCCACAATGTTGACGGGCTTGCAAGTCCCTTTTATCAAGTTTCACGAATATCCTCAATTACATTTTTTATCTGCAACTTGGCCTATTGAGCAAGCCGTATGTATATGGTTTATACATTTTCGTGTACAGCAGTTGTGATTTGTGTTTAGAATGTGCTGAGGCTCGGAGGCCTCTCATCCAACCTCTATTGTTAGGAGACCCACAGGTCTCTTCATCTTGGGTTGTGTATTGTGTCCTGAGTGGATTCGTGCGTTTCTCCTCTCAGTGTCCTGAGTGTCGTGTGTGTGGGTAAGGGTGCGTCCGTATTGTGGGGTTTGTGTTCCATAATTTCGGGAGGGCGTGAGTGTATTTTGGTGTTGCCCTCGGGCTGTCCGAAAAATTATCATGTCTGTTCGTTGTGTGTGCCATGGGGGTGGTGTCCCTTGTAGGTCGGGAGATATACCTGGATCCATATGAGTTTTATGTTCAGGGCTCAGGTGTCTCCTCTTATTGGTATGTGTATCTGCTTGGGTTGTTGTCTCGTGTGGGTCCTTAGAAGGGGGGAGGAAAGTCAGGGTTGTGGTGGGGGTGTTAGGATAGTCAGTTGTCTGTCATCATCTGTCATCCAGTGTGTGTTTCCTAAGTCCTATCTGTCTGTGGTGTGGCGTTCGTCGGATCTGAGTTCCATTTGGAATCCTTCCTTCGCCGTCTCTAGGATCCAATATGTCCATATGTCCATGTAGGTCGTTGGGGTAGCATTAGTCGTCAAGGTCAGTTCCTCTATTGTCCTGAGTTCCTCCATTTGGCTGAACCAGGTCTTAAGTGGGGGTGTTATGCTCTGTTTCCAGAATTGGGGGAGCACTCGTTTGGCTACATTCGAATGGTCATAGACCTTTTGTATTTGGAGTGGGGAACAGAAGTGTAATGCAGGAGCATCGCTGCCAGTTCCAGGGGGGGTGGCTCATCCGTGAATTTCTCTAGCATTTTGTGTATATTCCGCCAATATGGTTTGATCTTTGCGCAGTCCCACCAGATGTGTGTTATACTGCCTTCCTCTTGTTGGCATCTCCAGCATAGGCCGGATTGGTCTGGGTCTATCTGGTGGAGGAGGTGTGGTGTCCTGTACCAGTGTGTTAGTAATTAGTAGGCTGTCTCTTGCGTTTTGCTATGGGTAGAGCAGTGGTGTGTGAGGTAGCAAATGGACTCCCACTCCGTGTCTGTCAGTGTGTATCCGAGGGCAGCCTCCCATTTCCCCATAAATAGGGGTGTCTTGGTTGGGATGTCCGTTTGTAGCATGGTGTATAGGAAGGACACTCTATGTGGGAGCGGGTCTGGGTGCATGCAGACCACTTCTAGTGTGGTATGTTCTTTAGTGAGCGCTGGTCCATGTGGTAGAGTATGGACGAAGTTGATTAGTTGGGTATATCTAAAGTGATGCATAAAGGTTGGGGGCATCTCTCCCATCATGTCTGTCAGTTTTTTGCATTTCCCCCCCTGCAGGGCATGGTGTAAGCATGGGTGTGAGTCTGGGAGGATGTCTTTGAGGGCTCTTGGGTCTAGTCCCGGGGGGAAGTCGTTGTTGTGCGTCAGTGGTAAGAGAGGAGAAGGGTATGGCGACATGTTCCCCTTCCCCGCTGCCCTCCTCCATACTTTCAGAGTGTGTTTTGTGTAGATGGACATTTCGCCCCATTTTGCCGTGTCTCGGCCCCAGGGTAGTCCCGAGAGCGGCCTACCCGTCTCTGTCTCTTCCACCGTCTTCCATAATTTGTGCACTCCGTCTTTTGACCACTCCACAATTCTCTGTAGGTGTGTGGCCACGTAGTATAGGTGGAAGTCTGGGAGGGCTAATCCTCCTTTGTCCTTAGGTCGCGTCAGGGTGGAGAATTTCACCCTGGGTCTCCCCCCGTTCCACACGTATCTGGTCATTTCTGTTCTAAGAGTGTTAAAAAAGGGGCACGGGATCTCGATGGGGATGGCTTGGAGGAGGTATAGGAGGCATGGGAGGAAGTTCATTTTTATAACCTGTACTCTCCCTAACCATGAGATGTGAGGATATGACCATTCCCGCATGTCTTTTTGGAACGTCTGGAGTGTATCTGTGAAATTTTCCCTAAACATATTCCCACTCTGTTTGGTCAGCCAGACTCCCAAATATCTAATTTTGTGTTCGGCCCATTGGAAGGGGAAGCTTTGTCGGAGGGGGTCTGCCCGTGCAGTAGGGACGTTAAGTAGTATTCCTTTAAGCTTGTATCTCGTTTTGTACACTGGACAAAAATTATTATTTTATTGAAATACTCTGTGGACTGCATTGGTCTTTACATGATGTATATTTAGTTTCCAAGTGGTGACTGTCTTCAAGTGTTAGAAACACACATTCGGCAGATCTAGAAAATGTTTTACAGATTATTTAAAATACTTGGAAGGTTTTCACAGAATTGCCATGTATTCCCAAGTATCTCTTTAATCATGATTTAATGATTAATTATTGTGATCTCATGTATCCTTCCCAAGTAATCTTACCTCGATACATAGCAGGAGAAATAGGGCAACTGACACCCAAAGCAAGCTCCCTTGCAAAGGTTTGGCAATAATCTTGTAACATTCGTGTTCCCAAGCCATGTCTTCGCCATCTCTTTCTAACAAACAATGTGTCTAGAACAGGTAGCAGGTAACAATGGCTGCTTCTGTCATTATACAAGCTTCCTGTGGCATTAAACAAGACACAAAAGGAGAGAACTATAACATTTACCCCAAGTTAAGGCATAATATTTATTCCATTCAAACAGGTACAATGTTGCATTGAAAAAGCGTATCAATTGATTAGCATTATACAAACATTTATGAGCTCAACATCTCTCTAGTTACCGGTTTATTAACTGTATTGTACACAGAGCAAAGATGCCATTCATTGATACTTGAAAAAAAAGGAAATTTCACCAGCAACAAATGGAAGTGTTCTTCACAGTAAGAGCAATAAAGACAGGGCACTGTGTTGTATCAAATTCAATACATGGCATTAAAAGAGTCGGAATGTGTTTTGGCAAAGCTGGATAGTAAAGGCTATAATAGTGAATCTCAATCTTATTAACGTATTGTTGACTGCCACTTCACATTCAACTAAAAGTAATTCAAATACAGCAGGTATTCAAATAATTTTTTTATTTTTTGGGGGGTGACGGGTGTATGCATTAGAATGACTGGGTTTATGAGCTTGACGACAGATGCAGTTCATGTGTTATTAGTTTGCCTAATTTTATTTCGAATATGATCATTTGTTCCAAACTGTAATGATTTTTGTTCACCATAAACACTTAGAAAAAGTAAAGGCTCGAGTATTTGGTATTTGCTTTTTAATTTGTTGTAAGCAATTGGAAAGCTGTCGTTGTCAGATTATCTGGTGCTTGTGAAAAAATTGATAATGAGCACTGAGTCTATATGGGGTATAAAATGTAACCTATGAAAATAATATATTCCCGCAACTTTATTTTCTTTAGTTTTCCTACCTGTGCATTAATTGAACACACATACAATGATTTACCTGTAGTCTCTCCAACACAGCAGTGATTACTGAACAGTTTTCTCAATATGTATTAGCGTGAAAGCAAACGGATATGTGTAAGAATTCATTTAGGTCAAACTTCTAAAAGTGTGAATGTGCAGGAGATTATTTTCCCAAATGATAGGTTAATTTTTCCACATCTGCACTCACATTTGATACACAATTCCCTTGTAACATAATGTAAACCTTTCATCAATGGTGCATAATAATTAAACTTCTCTGTCCTAATTTAGAACATATGAACGATGTAGACTGGATGAAAACAAGTCCAATATTACCGTACATATTTGGACCCACCGGATATAACGATAGAGGCTCCAGAGAAGCCAAAACACTTCTGGTTAATGTAAGGCAAATGATATTCTGTTCCTATGATCTGTGTATAACCTAGTTACTGTGTTTAAAAAAAAAAAAAAAAAAAAAGGCAATGTAAGAATACAGCCAGAGGCTTAAAAAGAGTGGGTGGAGCTAGTGAGTCATGCTTTGTATAGCCAGCAAGTCAGCAGACTGAGGGTATTGTCAAAACACACAGCGGATGCCGTCACCTCAGCCTGATGAGACAGTCAACAGGAGGTAATTATTTCTGTTGCCTTAAGCTGGTCTTGGCACAGAGAGGCCAGGAACGACCTCGCTGCCAAAAATGACCCTGTTTGTTAAAATCTCTGACACCACCAGGCAAACACAGACTGCTCACAAACAATGTGCTGTAAAAAATCATCTAGCTACAGAGCAGGGTAAACATGGCATAATTGGACAACAGAGGTCTCTTAAAACACCATTAAAGGAACACTCCAAGTACATAACCACTACAGCCAACTGCAGTGATTATGGAGCCAGAAGTGCCCTTGCGCAATCCCAATGTAGTTTATAAAATTATTTTAGAATGGACTGACAACTTGCCTGGGTTCCACTGGATACAACTGGCTGCATATCCTGAGCTACACAGGGACATGCAGGGCTGCACTCAGTGACTGAGTATGGGAGCCGAGCACTCCCAGCCAGTGAGCAGAGTATTGGCCCTGCTTAGGGTAAGCAGGAGAAGCCTGGAGGTGGCATGGCTTCCTAGAGGACCCGGGTAAGTTGTCAAATCTGTCTAAAACATTAAAGAGGTGCTAGTGGCTACGGTGGTTGAAGTTTTTATTTAAAGGGACACTATAGTCACCTGAACAACTTTAGCTTAATGAAGCAGTTTTGGTGTATAGAACATGCCCCTGTCGCCTCACTGCTCAATCATCTGCCATTTAGAAGTTAAATCCCTTTGTTTATGAACCCTAGTCACACCTCCCTGCATGTGACTTGCACAGCCTTCCATAAACACTTCCTGTAAAGAGAGCCCTATTTAGGCTTTCTTTATTGCAAGTTCTGTTTAATTAAGATTTTCTTATCCCCTGCTATGTTAATAGCTTGCTAGACCCTGCAAGAGCCTCCTGTATGTGATTAAAGTTCAATTTAGAGATTGAGATACAATTATTTAAGGTAAATTACATCTGTTTGAAAGTGAAACCAGTTTTTTTTTCATGCAGGCTCTGTCAATCATAGCCAGGGGAGGTGTGGCTAGGGCTGCATAAACAGAAACAAAGTGATTTAACTCCTAAATGACAGTGAATTGAGCAGTGAAATTGCAGGGGAATGATCTATACACTAAAACTGCTTTATTTAGCTAAAGTAATTTAGGTGACTATAGTGTTCCTTTAAAACCAGCAAAGAAAAAAATGAACTTACTGCAAATCGCCCTGATATACATTGAATACATCATATGTCACAAAGATACATGCTGTATTCAATGTAAAATATCAAGATATACTCACCTCACCTATGCTATTTTCACCGCTTTGTGGGTGTTACTTTTTATGTAGCACTCACCCCTAGTCCATCCTCCAGACTGAGGGACAAAGGCAGAGGGAGGAAGAGCGAGACAGAGAAATAGGCATTTACCTTTGATTTTGTATGTGTAGAATGCTACTGCCTCTCCATGGTGCCAGAGGATCTTGGCTAGCTCTCCTGCAGAGTGTGGAAGAAAGCAGACTCCATCCTCCGACTCACCACCCTCCGTAAACCCACACACTAAGCAGTTAAGGACAAAGAGGCCAATCCGTTCTCCAAATGTCTGGACCTACATAACAATAGCAGTAAGTAGTCAAAAGCTAAACTGGTTCTTGAACATAACCAAGATATCAGATCATGATCACATCTAATAGCATATCTGCGATTATATATATTTATTGGAGGGCACCATATCTGGCAACCTGTTAGGTTTATCCTGGAGTCTCTCAATGTTATTCACTAAAATTAGAATTCAAAGTGAATTCTACATTTAAGGCCAAGTAGATGAACTGGAAGGATAGAGGACTTACAGATTTTTTTACAGTGCAGCTATTGTGCCTTAAATTTGAAATTCACAAGAGAATAACCCTGCATGTGCTTGGAAAATGCTGAGGTACCACGTCAATTCTTTAATCTCTAAATTTCCATCCCTTTCCTGACCAAACTTAGCCTGCTAAATTTCAGTCTAACTTAAAGGTAAACTATAGTGTCAGGAATACAAACACGTTAGTCCTGTCACTATAGCTGTGTAAACATAGTTTAGGTGGCCGACCCCCCATCAGAAAAGTAAAAGAAGCTTTTAATCACCTTTATCAAAACGCTGCGTGGATCTCCTTTCGGATGGCCCCACACCCGCTCCACCTCAAACTTGAGGATCTCAGCCAATCTGATGCTTTCCCATAGGAAATCATGGGGAGGCTATTGCGCATGCTTGGCAAAAGGCCACCATGGCAAATCAGAATCTCCTCATAGAGATGCACTGAATCAATGCATCTCTATGAGGAACGTTCTCCATGAAACGCGTGGAGGCGCTGAACACCAGGAAGCACCTCTAGTGGCCGTGTGAGTCACAGCCACTAGAGGTGCTCCTAGGCAGTAATGTAAACACTGTCTTTTCTCTGAAAAGGCAGTGTTTGCAGTGTTCAGCCTGCAGGAATAGGCTACAGACACCAGAACCAGTACAGCTGTAGTTGTTCTGGTGACTATAGTGTCCCTTTAAGGTTGGTGCTACTACTTTTGACAGAACATCCGATTACTTTTAGAACAAAAATACATCTTTTGAAGTGTGACTAACCCAATAACGGAAGAACTCATGTCAACTCAGGCAGCTCTAGACTTTATGAGGCATTAGGCGAAACTCAAACATGAGGCCCCACTAACAAAAAAGTGTCACATATACATACTGATGCACAGTTTACCTGTGTATGTGCCTGAGAGAGTTTTTCTGACAGAGAGTATCCTTGTGTGTGAATGTATGTCTCTGTGAGCATGTTTGCATTTTTGTCTGAGACCCTATGTGTATGGGGTAGCTGCTTGAAGTGTGTTGTGTGTATGGGGGGGTGATGGTGAGAAGGAGAGGTGGGTGATGGTGAGAGGAAGAGGCAGGTGATGGTGACATGGAGAGGTGAGGTGTGTGGGGGTGATAGGAGAGGGGGTGATAGGGAGAGGAGGAGATGATGGTAATGTGGAGGAAAGCAGAGGGGGGTGGGTAATGTGGAGTGAGAGGGGGGTAAATGTGAGAGGGGGGGGGTGATGTGAGAGGGAGGGGTGATGGAGAAGGAGGGGTTGATGAGAAGGAGGGGGGTGATGGTGAGGTGGGGAGGGTTGACAGGAGGGGAGGGGGTTGATGGTGAGGGTGTTGATGATGAGGGGGGGTGGTTGTGAGGGAGGGTGATGCTGAGGGTGAGTGATGCTGAGGCAGTGGTGGGGGTGATGCTGAGGGGGTGATGCTGAGGGTGGGTGGAGATGGTGGGGGAGGGGGGGTGGGGATATATAAAGGCTGAGGGGTGATGCTGAGGGTGGTGGGGTGTTGATAGTGAGGGGGGTGGTGGTGAGGGAGGGTGATGCTGAGGGTGGTGAGGGAGGGTGATGCTGAGGGTGGTGAGGGACGGTGATGCCGAGGGTGGTGAGGGAGGGTGATGCTGAGGATGGTGAGGTGATGGTGAGGGGGGTGATGGTGAGGGTGGGTGATGCAGAGGTGGGTGATGTGGAGGGTGGATGCGTGGGAGGGTGGGTGATGTGGGAGGGTGGGTGATGCTGAGGGTGTGTGATGCTGAGGGCGGGTGATGCTGAGGGTGGGTGATGCTGAGGGTGGGTGATGGTGGTGATGCTGAGGGGGTGGTGTGGGGAGTGGAGAGGCTGAGGTGTGGGGAGGAGAGGATGAGGGTGGTGGGGGGGAGTGAAGCCGAGAGTGGTGGGGGTGATGCCGCTGGGAGGGTGGTGTGGGGGTGGTGAGGGGGTGATGCTGAGGGTGGTGTGGGGTGGTGGGGTGTGATGCTGAGGGTGGTATGGGGGTGATGCTGAGGGGTGGTGGGGGGAGCGGAAGCTGAGGGTGGTCAGTGATGCTGAGGGTGGTGAGGGAAGCTGATGCTGAGGGTGGTGAGGGAGGGTGATGCTGAGGGTGGTGATGGAGGGTGATGCTGAGGGTGGTGAGGGAGGGTGATGCTGAGAGTGGTGAGGGAAGATGATGCTGAGAGTGGTGAGGGAAGATGATGCTGAGGGTGGTGTGGGGTGGTGAGGCAGAGGGTGGTGAGGGAGGGTGATGCTGAGGGTGGTGAGGGAGGGTGATGCTGAGGGTGGTGAGGGAGGGTGATGCTGAGGGAGGTGTGGGGAGGAGAGGCTGAGGTGGTGGGGAGGAAGCTGGAAGGAGGTGGGGGTGATGCTGAGGGTGGGGTGGGTGAGGCTGAGGGTGGTGGTGGTGATACTGAGGGTGGTGTGGGGTGGCGGCAGAGGGTGGTGGGTGGCGCAGGCTGAGTGTGGGGAGGGAAGATGATGCTGAGGGTGGTGAGGGAAGATGATGCTGAGGTGTGGGTGATGCTGAGGGTGGTGGGGGATGCTTAGAGGTGGTGATGCAGGAGGCGGGTGGTGGGGATGGTGACTGGAGGGTGGTGGGTGGTGAGGGGGGATGCTGAGGGGTGGGTGATGAGGGGGTGATGCTGAGGGTGGTGGGGGGTGACGCTGAGCGCGATGAGGGGGGGTGATGCTGAGGGTGGTGGGGGGTGAGGCTGAGGGTGGTGGGGTGGTGAGGCTGAGGGGAGTGAGAGTGAACTTACCTTTACTTCCTGGTAGTCCTTGCTTCCGGTCTGCATCTCTGCAGTGAGCAGAGCTGCAGACCATGTAACCCGCGGCAACGCTCTGATTGGTCAGTTCTCGCAAGACACATGGTCTGCAGCTCTACTCACTGAGGAGCTGCAGACCGGTGTCTGCAGTGGCTGGCCAGGCAGCCAGGAGGGGCCTCGCACCCGGCGGCATACCGGGCAAGCCGCCGGGCCCCTTCCTCGTGTCAGGTCCTCGGTCCTCGGACCTGACACAGTCTGCCCCCAGGTGGTTTAGGCGGCCGCAAGGCCCCAGCCAGTGCGAGTCCTTAGGTGGCCACCTAATTAGAGAGCCGCCTCTGCATGTTAGACTAGAGTAGAGGTTGTCGGGTATGGGGCAGGGCACAAGAACAACAGTTTTAGAAGAATACAACCCCTATACTGAACTAGCCATGAGAAAATATTTTATAATCTGAGAAACCTGTAGGAATGTCAGGGACAGCTGTATATAATAATCTCTGATAAGTAATCTTAACAAAATACTTACAGGGGTCGGTTCACAAACCATGATGCACGATATGCTTTTGAAATTTACAATCTCCAAGCTTCCCTCTGTTGAGCACCCACTGACGTAAACAGACTTGAGCTAACAATGTTTTTCCCTAGATTAATTAACTTTGGGAAACTCTAAGTGCACTTAGCAATGAGCTTGTGTTTAGCAATGTTCAAAGCTGGCTGCAAGGACTGAAGGTAAGTAAAACATCTTAATTTTTTAATTACTTGAGGGCCCTGAATCTACGTAGATAGAACACTTTATTGCTTGAAATACAAATTTGTGTATTTAACATAAGGAGTGTGCCTTTAAATTATGTGCCAATTATTTATATATTAAACTGGAAGGGTTTATAAAATAAAATGTTTTATGAATACCCATTCTCCAAGTGTCCTTTTAAATTGCTTCATTATGTTAGTATCCCTTTAAATGGATTAGGGAATGGAAGTTTATGTATTTGAATGAATTTATGCCGCGTTCTTTCTTGAAAAAGCATACATTTAGCTCCCGAAACATATTTAAATGTCCAATGTTAATGGACTTTGTCCCTGGTGTCACGATATGTATACCCAATCAAGCAGGAAGAGGGTATCACTACAGAAGAGACAGAGATAAATGAATTTTATCACATGACAGGAGGCTTCCTATTTTGCATAACTCTCTTTACTAAACTCCATAGCAGTAAAGAAAGATAACCTTTAACCAATCAAAAATGCAGTAGGGAGTATGACATTCCCAGTAAATAGGCTCCTCCCCCTCTTTCTTTACTGCCCCATTGCAGACAGGTCAGAGTATTTTGGCTCTTCCCTTTATTTACATTTGTCAAGTTTTTTGTCAAGTAATTACTTCATGTTTTCATCTATTTTCATCTATATTTCATCTATTTTCTTTTAGAACTTATTTACTGTACAGGTCTTTCCTGTTTTTTCGTTTCTATCCTATCCTACCTGTGTATAACTTTTATTGCTACTTGTATTGCACACTTTGGGCCGCCCGCCCTCGGGCAGCGCCCCCATTCAGGCAGGTTATTTTACCGCCAATATTCCCTCACATCCCGGGTCCGCCTCCTTCCCCTCCATTATGCCACTGGCAACAGCGCGCGGGGCGGCCATCTTGGTTCACGCTTATCGCGAGATTTCGCCGCCATCTTAAAACACCCGCGAGTACCTGTCCCACACAGTGGTACTCAGCTCCGTCGGCGGAACAAGAAGACCCTCTCCTTCCTATCCGAATCTGAGGTCAGTCAGGCAGTTTATAAAAAGCTGTATTTTGCACACAGGTTTTTCATTAACCAGTGCTCTGCCGGGGTGCTGCCCCTCTATTTGCTGCTACTGGAGGTCGCCCTGTGGCCACCTCTAATTGTCTCTGGGTGAGGCCCAGTACCTTATAAAACATATATATATATATATATATATATTATTTAAATCCCAATACTGTGGTTTTTTTCTTCCCCTGCCCTGCTGGGGCAAACTGACAAAGCTATTTCTGCAAGGCATATATACCCTGCTGGGGTTCTAGCCATCACTATAACCACAAGGATACCCTGCTGGGGTACTGCATATGATATACCCTGCTGGGGATATATATATTTTTACGTGTTGCTTGACCCACACGTTACATAAACCCTGCTGGGGTTACAAGGGTGTCGCCCTGTTAGTCACTCCAGTGACTTCTCATACAGCTTTACTGACCTCTACACTGTGCCACACCTGTTCAATTATATTTATATATATTTTTTTTCCAAATTTACATGATGGAAGCCTCTCAAACAACTGACTTCCAAACCATGATAAATGAGGCAGTAGCCGCCTCCATGGAGAAAGCTCTCTCCAAGATGATGGCCTCTAACTCTGAGAAGAGAAAACCATCAAAATCCCACCAATCCCGACACGATTCAGATTCGGAAGCCCCAGAATCTCACATGAGCCAAGAACCCCCTACTGGCAAGCGCCATTGGAAAGGGGAGAAAGGGCACCAAAACCCGACTAAGGGTAAGGCCCCTGCCAAACGGCACAAACTCTCTATGGTCGCCACCCCGACCGCACAATACGTAGACTCTTCGGACGAAGATGACACCCACACAAAGTCCATGGCCATCCTGGACGAATGGCAAGCAGAGGGGTCAGACTCAGAGGATGACTCATGGGGCTCGAACGCTGGACCCCAATCCGGTTTTCTATTAAACACCTTGCCGGAAGACACCCTAGACCCAGATACCGCGGAGATCCCGCAAGACGACGAGGAGGCCGTCTATGATCCATCGGGCCAGAAGTTATTTGACCCGAGAAACATACGGCACCCACGCTCAGGGGACTGGACACCCCCAGACCATCTTGCAAAATTTATGCATCTCTGGTTACGAAAATCCTTAGACAAGACCGTTCGCAACCGGCTGCGGTCAGAATACCCACGACCCTCGCTACCGGATCATGTAGCAGAAACACCCGAGTTCGATCAGGTGATGACCACCTTTATGTCTCGGGGTGGCCGCGACCCCCGTAAAGGGGTGGAAAAAGGCTTTAGAGGGGTACAGGACAAACTACTGGACTCAGTGGGACCACTAGCCAGAATCATGTATGTAGCTGATGATGCCCTTGCCAGAGCAGACCAATTTGATGCAACCATGGTGCATGAATGGGCTCATGATGTACGGGAGTGGGCACAAAGATGCTTTTGCTTTGTGGGTAACACAAACGTCGCCCTCTCATCCGAGCGGCGCAAAGCAGCACTTCTCCGTATTGACGGAAAATTGGTGGAATTGGGCACCAAAGAACTAGGTCCGCTGGCACAGGGTAAATTATTTGGAGACCCGTTCCTCAAAGATTTAAACAGACACGTAAACGTGTTTACCTCATTGAATAAGGCTCAATCCTCGATGAGGAGAGTCTTCTGACAAAATCCCACCAGAGGTGTTTTTGGAAGGACTGGCCGCCAACGGGGCCGTGCTGTCAGCCGTTTCTGGCCCTCAGGCCCCCGCACTTCAAGACCCCAGCCTTTCTATCCAGAAGTGGGATATCGTCAACCCTTCTCCTACACCCGGGGTGCAGACAGAGGACGAGGACCACGTACCAGAGGCAGAGCACGTTTCTCTACCGGTAAGCAAACACCTAACACATGTTTCTCTCCCACAACATATAGCAGGTCGCATTTCTCTGTTTTTTCAGGAATGGATGACCATATCCACGGACGCATGGATCCTACAAACAATACAGGGCTACATCATCGACTTCGTAGACCATCCACGTCAAAGGCACCCTCCACATCCCTTCAACTGTCCTATGGAGGACCGTGCACTCATACACAACGAGTTGCTAGAACTTTATCGGAAAGGGGCAATCGAACCCGCCTCCCACCCCGGAGGTTTCTTCAGCAACATATTCTTGGTGAAGAAGAAAACGGGAGAATTTCGACCTGTCATAAACTTGAAACAACTCAACGAATACGTCACATACAGGCACTTCAAGATGGAAGGCATACATCTCCTGAGAGATGATTGGTTCACAAGGTTGGACCTAAAGGATGCATATCAGTACCCATCCACCACTCCTGCCGACAATTCCTACGCTTCCTCTAGCAAGACCTTCCCTGGCAGTTCACGTGCTTCCCCTTCGGCCTCAGTTCAGCCCCATGGTGCTTCACCAAATTAATGAAGCCTGTGGTCGCTCATCTTCGAACACAAGGCATTCGCTGCATTATATACCTGGACGACCTCCTACTGTTCTGCTCCGACAGGTCCAGACTAATAAAACACACACAATATACCACGGATCTCCTATCATCCCTGGGCTTCATCGTGAACTTCCAAAAATCAGCCACCCATCCATCTCAAACAGTTCAATTTTTAGGATTCGAGATAGACTCCACCACCAGCACGTTACGACTCCCAGCGTCAAAGATCTCGGCCATTCGCAAAGAACTACGCAGGGCCATTCGGTCCCATACCATTCCACTCCGCACCCTCGCTCGACTGGTGGGACTCCTCTTGGCTTCCATACAAGCCATCTTTAATGGGCCACTCCACTACAGGGCAATGCAACGACTCAAGGCATCCTGCCTCAGACAAAATCCCTCCGACGACCAACCGGTCCCCATTACAGAGGAAGTGAAAGACGAACTCAGATGGTGGCTAGACAGCATGGAGGCATGGAATGGTTGGGCCATTTTCGGCAACACACCCGACATAATCCTGGAATCGGACGCCAGCCTCTGGGGATGGGGCGCGACAAACGGAGACACGTCGACAGGGGGCACCTGATCCTCCCAAGACCTCAATATGCACATAAATGGCTTAGAACTTCTGGCAGGATCCTTCGCCATTCGCAGCCTGGCAAAGGACAAGTCGGACTGCTGCATCCTTCTCAGGATGGACAACATCTCCGCAGTCCGCTATATCAACCGCCTAGGCGGAGCCCGATCCCATCTCCTGTCAGAAATAATAAAGGAGATTTTCGACTTCTGTCTACCCCGCAACATCTCCCTCAAAGCGGAATCCCTCCCAGGGGAGACGAACCTCACGGCAGACTGGTTCTCACGCCACTGGCGAGACACAAGCAATTGGAGGCTAGATCCTCAGATCTTCAATCGCTTAACGGAAATCCGGGGCCCACTCCACCTGGACCTGTTTGCATCACGCAACAACAGGCAAACACGAATGTATTTCAGCTGGATCCCAGACCCAGAGAGCGAAGCGGTAGATGCATTCCTACAACCGTGGCCGAACACGGGAGCTTACGCTTTTCCCCCCTTCGCCATGATAGCAAGGACCATACACTACCTGAAAAGTCAACAAGTATCGATACTACTCATCACCCCCTTATGGAAGGGACAACCATGGTTCCCGGATCTCCTGGCCTTGTCATACAGGGACCCTCTCCTACTGCCTCACCACCTATACCTCCTCACGGATCCGAAAGGCAACCCTCACCCACTGATTATGGACAATCGACTCAACCTGGTGGCCTGGACTCTTTCCAGGGTGCCTGGCAAGTCGGCGAACTATCGCAGGCTGCTAGGGACCTCCTATGGGACTCATGGGCCCCAGGAACCAGAAGATGCTACCTATCCGCTTGGAATTCCTGGTCCACTTGGTGCATGGAACGGAACCTTGATCTGTTTACAGCCGCTATTCCTGTCGTCTTGAATTTTCTATCTCACCTTTTCACCACAGGTCGATCATACAGATCACTTAACGTAGTCCGCTCCGCTATCTCAGCAGCCCACGTACCGGTACTGGGGATACCGGTGGGGAAAGATCCACTGGTATGTTGACTCCTAAGGGGCATCAGGCTGCAACATCCCCCAGGTCCCAAATACTCGCGACTCTGGGACGTGGACATGGTTCTCCGTTTTCTGAGAGACTGGCCGACGAACGACAGATTATCCCTTAGACAACTTTCAGCAAAACTTACGGTTCTGCTCTGCCTAGTTTCCTTCCGCAGAGTTTCGGACGTTCAGGCATTCGACATAGACGCCTTTTCAGTATCTCCGGAGGGAGTCACGTTCCGGATATCTCGTCGCACGAAATCGGACTCTACTTCGGTTTTCTATCCCTTCTTTGCCTCAGATCCACAACTCTGTGTTGTCTCCACTTTACAACGGTACGTGGAAGTTACTTTACCAATTCGGACCCCGTCCTCGGGCCAACTCCTCGTTTCATACGTTAGACCTCACGTCCCCATCTCAACGACCACCCTAGCCAGATGGGTACGCTGGATACTGTCTCTGGCAGGTGTCGACGCTTCCTTCGGGGCCCACTCAGTACGCGGCGCGGCAGCATCCACGGCTTTCACGGCGGGCGCATCCCTATCAGACATCCTACGTTCGGCAGACTGGTCAAGAGAATCCACGTTCCGCACTTTCTACTTCCGCCCGAACTCAGGTGCGGCTTTGTCGCTCATACAACAGCATTAAAAATGCAAAATAGGAAGCCTCCTGTCATGTGATAAAATTGAAGATTATGCTAGCGTTAGTGTACTTATAATCTTAATTTTAATAATGACAGGAGGCGAGTATTTTCCCACCCTTTCCCACCCGGGGAAGAGGGGAATCTCCCTATCACTATACTATTCTCGTTTTTCTGGTTTAGCACTATTCACGTTTTTCTTGTTTATAGCACTAGTCTAGACAATGTACCTATTTACCACTTCACTTAACTACAGTCATACAAATGTTTCATGATGTATCCAATCAGTATAACAATGTCATATTATTAGGCCAAGGGCCGCTACCATTGCTACAACCAGTTTGGAGACCAAAGTCTAACCCATTTCACATTCTCTTTCAGTGTAACCTCGCAAGAGCATGGGATAACTGCAGGAAACTAATCGGATTACTGCTCAACCCATGAACACCACCGTCCTCATTGGACCTTTTTTCCTACCGTTGATGTCGGTTAACGATCACCCTCAGAATCATTGTTATTTTGGAACCTTCCTCTATTGTTACTGATTTCAGACTTTTATATTGAACTTCTTCCCTGTTTACGATGCCGCTTCTGAAAGAGGGGGAGGAGCCTATTTACTGGGAATGTCATACTCCCTACTGCATTTTTGATTGGTTAAAGGTTATCTTTCTTTACTGCTATGGAGTTTAGTAAAGAGAGTTATGCAAAATACTCGCCTCCTGTCATTATTAAAATTATTAGTACACTAACGCTAGCATAATCTTCAATTATCTGGTCTTGGAATGGCCAGACTTAACTTATACAATAGATAAGTATAGAGTCAGAAAACTAGTCAAGTTCAGGGTCATAGATGAACAGATAAACAGAATAAACTAGTCAGGTTAGAATATACAGAAAAGCAATAATTGGGTCAGGGATAAAGACGTACTCAAAATTCTTATAAACTAGCCATGTCAAAACTAGATAATAAACAGAAAAGGCTTAAGGAAAGCACCTATTGGGATTTAGGATAGAAACCATAATTGGGCACAGAACAAACCAGGATTAAATATTCTGATTGGAACATGTCACCCCTGTGACCTCAAGAAGTTCTGATTTGCTAGGCAGATGAGATAATCAGGATAATGCTAGTTGTGCACTAATGAGGCTGGGTAACAACCGGAAAACCAATTGTGGGTTTGCCTTAACATGGCATGTTGTGTGAGATATGCCTCAAAATGTGTAAGGATTTTTAATTATTTAAATTTTTGGTGAATAGATTTGCAGTGTTATGATATGGATCCTCTGATTTCCTTTTAGGGCAAAACCCTATCAAGTGTGGTGTTGCTACATACTAATATTGATGTAAAAGATCACCTTGCTATCTACAACTGACTACTATCACAAAAGATTACAGTACCAATATTATCGATAAACAGAGAGAGTAATAGAGGCTCACTATAATATTTATCAAGGGATGCAAAGCAGGCAGCAGTAAACAGTACAAGGATTCAAAGACCTTGATGATACATACAGTGCAAAAAAGAGAGAGTAAACTGCACCCAAGATATATATACAAATAGTTATATTTAGATAGGTATATAGGTATCCAGATGTTTTATACAATGGACCTAAAAACCCCAAAGATAAAATAATAGTGCAATACAGTAGATATATCGTATATGTGGTGGATAAATAAGTTACTTCAGAGCTCTGCTGTTTTACACATGGACGGAACAATCCCCGTCTAAGGATATATGATGATATGGTCACCACGAGTACTTCGGGTAAGGTGCAATTTGCAGGGCATATGTGAAAGCAAATATAAGTAATATTTGTAATCCTTGACAAGGTATATGTGGAGAGAACCAGAGAAGAAATAGTGTAGTATGAGGATACCCCGAAGAATTACCTCTGCACTTAATCCATAGGTGGTGATTATTCCGCCAAGGCGCATAGACTGGAGCTGTATTGAAGCTCCAGGAAAGTGTGAGTGCAGTATTTTACCTATCATCACTACAGTTGTAAATACTACACTATTATTTATTCTCTGGTTCTCGCCACATATACCTTGTCAAGTATTACTGAAGCGCTGCACCTACCTCCCTGTTTTTATCCAGTTTTCTGATCAAGAAAAATAGACTCTGTATTAGTGTTCAACTTGTTTTAAGACTATTATCACTTTCGTTCTGCGCTGAATTTATTTTTGTGTGATTAAGTAAAAAATTATACTCACATTTACTAGAGTAGAACTTGCTCTAGTGTGAACAGCATGGGTGGTATAATCCCCCTTTGAGTGGCGAAACACATCAAGTGGGACTCATTAGTATCTACTATTGTTTTTATTATCCAATTTATATTTGTTTGGCAAATTCAAGTTTATCTTTTTATATGTACAACTTTCTTTTGCATCCATCAACTGCTTCCTGGTATCAACATATCCTTAGGTAGGGATTATACCACCCATGTTGTTCACACTAGAGCAAGTTCTGTTCTAGTAAATGCGAGTATAATTTTTTACTTACCAATTTGACACATCTACCTGTACCTACTTCACCATTGGAGTTCTTTTCTGTATTTGCTTTCACATATGCCCTGCACATTGCACCTACCCGATGTACTCGTGGTGACCATATCATCATATATTCTTAGACGGGATTGTTCCGTCCATGCGCAAAACAACAGAGCTCTGAAGTAGCTCATAAGAATGTGAGTGGTAGAGACATGTATTTATCCACCACATATATGCTATGTCTACTGTATTGCACTATTATTTTGTTATTTTTTTTTTTTTTAGGTCCATTGTATATAACATCTGGATACCCATATACCTATAACCGTTTGTATATATATATATCTTGGGCTCGGTTTACTCTGTCTCTTTTTGCACTGTAAATATTATAGATTGTTATTACTATTGTGGATGGAAATAGATAAATTACAACTTTTAATTCTTCTACGGTTTTTATATCATTTCAATTGACATTTCTTTTTGTGTCAACTCAATAAGAATTATTTTGCCTCATCATTAAAAATGTTCAACCCCTATGCCTACCAATATTTTAAGTGTCTTGCAGGATACTTATATTTGTTGAGACAAGGGATTTTCTGATAATTCAGAGGTGACTCAATGACAATATACTGAATTAGTAATTTATATATAGTTCAAGGAGTAACAGTATTATTTACAAACATTTACGCACAGAGTAAACATTTTAACCTCATACAAAATAGGAACATCATGGAAGAAATCAGAGTAGGATTAAACTAAAAGTGATCCTATGCAGCTACCTACGGCCCAAGGGTTAGACAGGCGCTCCGGATCCATGATATGGAATATTTGAGTCACACAAATGAAATGTGCCTCAACCAAATAAACACCTAAAGAGCATGCTTAAATAACACTCATGTTATATGATTTAAACAAAATACTACTTTCACTTTACATCACTTCAAATTTGTGTTCAAAACATCTACAGAAGTTAGGCACCATAGTGGGATTTTTTGAGTTTCAGAAAATGCTGATGAATGTTTTAGTTTTATTACCAATGTGTATAATCTGACACTAAACAATATGAGAGGCAGGTAACAAAGTTACAAACCAGCACCAGGACACACAAGGATCACCTGTATCAGACCTTCTCGGCCGGGAACAGACGATCGTAAGATCTCGTCTACAGGCCACCAGCGTCCGTTTAAATATATTGCCAAAACTGAGAAGACAGACAGTGTATAAATACACTGCAGACACAGGGCATATATATATATATATAAATAAAAAAATAAAATAAAAAAATTAAGGTTTTAATTTAAAAAGGGAACTGAAACAAATTAGAAGGTAAGGGGGCAAATTGTTGAAGAAGTAGTTCAAGATAGATTCAGAATACCCTCCACCGATTTATAAAAGGAAAAATAATTCCACTATTTAAATGCATTGAGAAGTAGCTTCTTAATATATTAAACAGATATTGAGGTTTTCAAGCAAGGAGAGAAAAGTCAGGTGATTAAAAAGAACAAATCATTTTGTTTAGTAATTGTAATATAAACGGAAACATTGAATTGCAACATCAATGAAAATATGACATGTGTGCACTTTAAAACTCAGACAATGTCATGTTTGGCTAACCACATGTCCAGCTCACATATTCTGTTTAAACTATTGACATACAGATATGCTCACTTACAATGCCACCTAGGATGACAGGCATATCTAAATTGAAGTGCAAGGATACACTGCATGCAGACACATTGTTCAAGGCTAACAAATCAGACTTCATAAAAACACACATTCATGAAAGACTGAGGATTCATTTTTGTTTGCAATTTTCAATTTTATTAATGACACAGAGGCTCCTCTCTCTTTTTTACTTTATTCCTCAGCAGCAAAGAGAAAATATAACTGAAAGAGAAAAAAATGTATAATATGAATAATATATAACAGATACAACCAGATCTGCCTAGTAACAGGGCAGCCAATCAGCTTATAGGAACAGTCCATAAATGTCTTGCTGTGTACTTCCACTTCCTCTTTCTTTGCGGCTGTCCTCAGACCAGCTAAGTATAATTTTTACCTCCTGTATATTTCATCTGTATTATTGCTGTCAGGGTTGTTTACCCTGTTTACATTTATTGGTTTTGTATTCAGTCTATACTTATGGTTTTGTGTTTGTTTGAATTTAATTTCATTGTATTTTGTGGTTTTTTTCTTGCCCTGTGCACGGTTTCCCTGCCTGTGCTGTACATTTGATAGCACAGGCCGGGATCCGCGGCTACCAGGGGAGGATTCCTCCTGGAGCTTCATTGCTCCCTGGTCATCCCTCCCTCCCCTCTGCCGACCCGATCAGTCTCTCCTCGCACCCACTGGTGCGAGGGAGTTCCCGGCCACGTGTATTCCACGCGCTCCCCGGCCACTGGTGGGGGAGGAGCTCTGGGTAGCCCGTGGCGAGCTCTGCATGCGGCGGCCATTTTCCGCACTGCCAGCACTCACGTGGCTGGGACTACTAGACGGCTCCCTTTATCTCTCCCTTTCCGTTTTAGTCATTTTGTCAGTGGGTTAATCAACTCCTCTTTGGTTATAGTGTTATTAAGCCCCTTTTTTTCTTCTCAAATTTTTTCTGTTGGGATCCTTTATATTTGCCCCTGCATCTTCCCCTGTGGGTATATTTATAGAATATATTTTGTTGCTTATACTTGGGTTTCTCCTCCCTGCACCTATTATGCAGGCTAGAGGTAAGGGCTCTGACAGCCCCAATTACCCCATTATGGATCCCCCCATCTTCGTCCCTGTCTCATACTATTCAGCAGGCGTTGACTCAACACCTGGCCCCTTTTATGATGCCCAACCCCCAGCCTGCGCTACAGCCTCAGGCGAGTCGCAAGGCGCATGCTAAAACGAAACATGTCTCTTCCAATGTGACACAGGTGTTACCTGCCCTGACTGACGTGCCTATGGCAGTCCAAGATGGCATGTTACTGCGCAAGAGAGCTGCTGGCCAGGCAAAATCGGCCCGAAAGTGGAAAAGGGCGTGTGCCTATGTTAACGAAGGATCAGATTCCGATCTGAGTGGGGAGACTGACTTGGACGCCCCTGATTACGCCTCTTATGAGGAAGGAGGCTCCGACGCTGAGGCGGGGTCTGACGCTTTGGCGCTACCTCCGGGTGGGGGGCAAGGCATATGTGATCCGCAGGGTTACCCTCTGGTCGATCCTGATGACCTTCGCCATCCTCGCTTGGCGGAATGCGATCCGTCCGAGCACATAGCTAGCTACCTAGCTCTACGTATGCACACTCCTCTGTCCAAGGAGGGGCGCAGCAAATTACGGGCTGAATGCCCAAGGCCCTCAGTGCCTGATGCGGCGTGCAAGACGCCAGAGGTCGACCCCAAATTACGCAGTTCCTGGCAAAAACGGGCTGGAAACCCAGAAAGGGACTGGAGTTCTCACTCCACAATTGCCAGGACAAAATTTTGGACACCTTGGGTCCCGCTGCCAAGCTTTATGAGCTCATGGAGGCGGCTAAGGCAGGGGACACCCCCCTTTAATTTCGATGAAACGATCGGATGGGTCCAAAGACTGATTTGCCTTCTCGGCAACGCTAACACAGCTATGTTGGCTGAACGCCGCAAGGCGATCTTGCTCAAGATTGAGCCAAAATTGGTAAACCTAGCGGTGAAGGAACCGGGTGCTGCCGCTAAAGGCATGCTCTTCGGTGAGTCCTTTGTTAAAGGATCACTCTAGGCACCCAGACCACTTCAGCTTAATGAAGTGGTCTGGGTGCCAGGTCCCGCTAGGGTTAACCCATTTTTTAATAAACATAGCAGTTTCAGAGAAACGGTATGGTCTTTTTAATAGTATATATGGTATAATCGATATTTTCTATATATTGTTATACATGCCGAATTGTTATGATATGTTACATACAGATCCGGAGTTTGGATTTTACCACCTATTTCTCTGTTTTTACAGCCTGATTTCGTTGTGATGATATTTATCTTGTTGACGATTGTTTTGTTCCTGATGTGGATGTTTCTTCGGTTGTTGGGTCTTCAGTTCAGAAGGCAAAGAAGAGGAAGTGGAAGTACACAGCAAGACATTTATGGACTGTTCCTATAAGCTGATTGGCTGCCCTTTTACTAGGCAGATCTGGTTGTATCTGTTATATATTATTCATATTATAAATTTTTTCTCTTTCAGTTATATTTTCTCTTTGCTGCTGAGGAATAAAGTAAGAAAGAGATAGCATAATACTTGCCTCCGTGTCATTAATAAAATCATGACTTTACGTCATGTAAATAGTAAAATCTGGGGATTAAGTGACTCTGTTACCAGAATATTTTTTTTTTATTTCAGACTGATGAATCAGACAATACTATAAAGGAGAAAAGTAATTATTCTGGAAAATACACAATTGAATAAAACTTGGAGGATTAAGTTACATGCCCACTAGAGGCACCCTGGCCACTTCACCTTAATGAAGTGATTTGGGTGCAGAGGCCCTTTAGTTTTAACCCTGCAAATCTAAAACATTGTTGTTTAGCAGATAACATAAATGTTATGACTGCAGGGTTAAAGGACCACTCCACTGCGTAAATACAAAAAAGTAAAAAAATAATAATCAATATTAATAGATTTATCCAAATGAATATAGCTGGAAACAGCTTACAAAAGCTGCATTTCTCCTGTCTGCAGCTTTTCCAAGCCCTCCTATTCCTCCCTACCAAGACTTTCTGTGGCTGTCCAATCATAGACCTCCCAATGCAGCTCAATTAAGTCTTTTTGAGGCAAGTGCTCTAGGCATTTGCCTACATCTTGAGTTTAGTTCCATTGAGGTTAACAACCAGGTTATCTGACTGACAGTCGGGGTGGGGGGAAGTGGAGGTGTAACAAAGGCAATTTATAAATATGCCATTTTGTATTGAATATGCTATAAGGTGAGTAAACTGACTTTTTTTTGTGCAAACACTAACACTATAGTGTTTATTTAACTTTTCTTTTATTTATAAATATATATATATATTTATTTTTAAATTCATTATTTTTTCTGTGCACAAAGTAACACAAGATCTTACGATGCCACGACAGCAAGCAATAATATCAATGTAGAACATATACATGGCATGAGAAAGTGGCACAGTTTTTTAAGTATAATAATAAACAGGTTAGTCGTAGTTGTCTATATAGAAGTCACAGGAGTAGAAGTAGATGCAGGCATGAAACAAGTAAAACGATAAAGACTTCGCTTAATAGGTGTTAGCATGGCAAACAGCTCTGTATTATACAAGAGGATTGTAAGCATAGCTATATAAAACTGCTGAACTGTATAACTGAAGAAAATTTCAATAGGCATATGCCACTAGGTATGTGTAGACCAGTGGCGTACATACCGGGGTCGCGGATGCGACCGGGTCCGGCCCATCAGGGGGCCCAGCTGCCCCTGCGACCCGGTATGTACCCACTGTGGCCAGCCTCTTCTACTGGGAGGCCCAAGAGCTGGCCACCTCAGGGCCCCCCGAGACCAGCCCTGGTATCACTCTTCAGCTCCATCGCGCACTGCATTGATACCGAAGCCGGCAGATGGAGTCATCTTCCGGCTCCAGCATCAGTACGCGGCGCGCGAGGGAGCTGAAGAGGAAGCACTCAGGGGAGAGTGCTCCCTCACGCGCCCGCCAGCCTGCCAGGCACCCAGGAGCCCAGCAGCACCACTGGACCCCAGGGAATCCCCTCATCACTCCAAAAGGTAAGGAGGCTGGGGGATTACATTTTTTTTAAAAACCATGTGCGTTAGTGTATGAGTGTTAGTGTGTGAGTGTTAGAGTGGGCTATTTTCACCCTTATACCTCTGGGCGAGCATGAAAGGGTAAAAAACCTATTAGCCTCCAGGGGCACAGCCCCCCACTTTACTCTAATACACTGCCCCCACCACTCTAATACACTGCTACCTCCCACCACTCTAATACACTGCCCTCTCCCTCCCCTCCAATGTAATACATTGCCCTTCCTCCCCCAATTTAATACACTGCCCCTCTTCCACCACTCTAATACACTTTCGCCCTGCTTCCCCCCAATTTAATACATTGCCCCACCTACCTCCTTCCAATTTAATACATTGCCCTCCCACCACTCTAATACACTCCCCCTCTCAACACCCCCCCTCATTTAATACACCACACTACAGTCTCATACTATTCAGCAGGCGTTGACTCAACACCTGGCCCCTTTTATGATGCCCAACCCCCAGCCTGCGCTACAGCCTCAGGCGAGTCGCAAGGCGCATGCTAAAACGAAACATGTCTCTTCCAATGTGACACAGGTGTTACCTGCCCTGACTGACGTGCCTATGGCAGTCCAAGATGGCATGTTACTGCGCAAGAGAGCTGCTGGCCAGGCAAAATCGGCCCGAAAGTGGAAAAGGGCGTGTGCCTATGTTAACGAAGGATCAGATTCCGATCTGAGTGGGGAGACTGACTTGGACGCCCCTGATTACGCCTCTTATGAGGAAGGAGGCTCCGACGCTGAGGCGGGGTCTGACGCTTTGGCGCTACCTCCGGGTGGGGGGCAAGGCATATGTGATCCGCAGGGTTACCCTCTGGTCGATCCTGATGACCTTCGCCATCCTCGCTCGGCGGAATGCGATCCGTCCGAGCACATAGCTAGCTACCTAGCTCTACGTATGCACACTCCTCTGTCCAAGGAGGGGCGCAGCAAATTACGGGCTGAATGCCCAAGGCCCTCAGTGCCTGATGCGGCGTGCAAGACGCCAGAGGTCGACCCCAAATTACGCAGTTCCTGGCAAAAACGGGCTGGAAACCCAGAAAGGGACTGGAGTTCTCACTCCACAATTGCCAGGACAAAATTTTGGACACCTTGGGTCCCGCTGCCAAGCTTTATGAGCTCATGGAGGCGGCTAAGGCAGGGGACACCCCCCTTTAATTTCGATGAAACGATCGGATGGGTCCAAAGACTGATTTGCCTTCTCGGCAACGCTAACACAGCTATGTTGGCTGAACGCCGCAAGGCGATCTTGCTCAAGATTGAGCCAAAATTGGTAAACCTAGCGGTGAAGGAACCGGGTGCTGCCGCTAAAGGCATGCTCTTCGGTGAGTCCTTTGTTAAAGGATCACTCTAGGCACCCAGACCACTTCAGCTTAATGAAGTGGTCTGGGTGCCAGGTCCCGCTAGGGTTAACCCATTTTTTAATAAACATAGCAGTTTCAGAGAAACGGTATGGTCTTTTTAATAGTATATATGGTATAATCGATATTTTCTATATATTGTTATACATGCCGAATTGTTATGATATGTTACATACAGATCCGGAGTTTGGATTTTACCACCTATTTCTCTGTTTTTACAGCCTGATTTCGTTGTGATGATATTTATCTTGTTGACGATTGTTTTGTTCCTGATGTGGATGTTTCTTCGGTTGTTGGGTCTTCAGTTCAGAAGGCAAAGAAGAGGAAGTGGAAGTACACAGCAAGACATTTATGGACTGTTCCTATAAGCTGATTGGCTGCCCTTTTACTAGGCAGATCTGGTTGTATCTGTTATATATTATTCATATTATAAATTTTTTCTCTTTCAGTTATATTTTCTCTTTGCTGCTGAGGAATAAAGTAAGAAAGAGATAGCATAATACTTGCCTCCGTGTCATTAATAAAATCATGACTTTACGTCATGTAAATAGTAAAATCTGGGAATTAAGTGACTCTGTTACCAGAATATTTTTTTTTTATTTCAGACTGATGAATCAGACAATACTATAAAGGAGAAAAGTAATTATTCTGGAAAATACACAATTGAATAAAACTTGGAGGATTAAGTTACATGCCCACTAGAGGCACCCTGGCCACTTCACCTTAATGAAGTGATTTGGGTGCAGAGGCCCTTTAGTTTTAACCCTGCAAATCTAAAACATTGTTGTTTAGCAGATAACATAAATGTTATGACTGCAGGGTTAAAGGACCACTCCACTGCGTAAATACAAAAAAGTAAAAAAATAATAATCAATATTAATAGATTTATCCAAATGAATATAGCTGGAAACAGCTTACAAAAGCTGCATTTCTCCTGTCTGCAGCTTTTCCAAGCCCTCCTATTCCTCCCTACCAAGACTTTCTGTGGCTGTCCAATCATAGACCTCCCAATGCAGCTCAATTAAGTCTTTTTGAGGCAAGTGCTCTAGGCATTTGCCTACATCTTGAGTTTAGTTCCATTGAGGTTAACAACCAGGTTATCTGACTGACAGTCGGGGTGGGGGGAAGTGGAGGTGTAACAAAGGCAATTTATAAATATGCCATTTTGTATTGAATATGCTATAAGGTGAGTAAACTGACTTTTTTTTGTGCAAACACTAACACTATAGTGTTTATTTAACTTTTCTTTTATTTATAAATATATATATATATTTATTTTTAAATTCATTATTTTTTCTGTGCACAAAGTAACACAAGATCTTACGATGCCACGACAGCAAGCAATAATATCAATGTAGAACATATACATGGCATGAGAAAGTGGCACAGTTTTTTAAGTATAATAATAAACAGGTTAGTCGTAGTTGTCTATATAGAAGTCACAGGAGTAGAAGTAGATGCAGGCATGAAACAAGTAAAACGATAAAGACTTCGCTTAATAGGTGTTAGCATGGCAAACAGCTCTGTATTATACAAGAGGATTGTAAGCATAGCTATATAAAACTGCTGAACTGTATAACTGAAGAAAATTTCAATAGGCATATGCCACTAGGTATGTGTAGACCAGTGGCGTACATACCGGGGTCGCGGATGCGACCGGGTCCGGCCCATCAGGGGGCCCAGCTGCCCCTGCGACCCGGTATGTACCCACTGTGGCCAGCCTCTTCTACTGGGAGGCCCAAGAGCTGGCCACCTCAGGGCCCCCCGAGACCAGCCCTGGTATCACTCTTCAGCTCCATCGCGCACTGCATTGATACCGAAGCCGGCAGATGGAGTCATCTTCCGGCTCCAGCATCAGTACGCGGCGCGCGAGGGAGCTGAAGAGGAAGCACTCAGGGGAGAGTGCTCCCTCACGCGCCCGCCAGCCTGCCAGGCACCCAGGAGCCCAGCAGCACCACTGGACCCCAGGGAATCCCCTCATCACTCCAAAAGGTAAGGAGGCTGGGGGATTACATTTTTTTAAAAAACCATGTGCGTTAGTGTATGAGTGTTAGTGTGTGAGTGTTAGAGTGGGCTATTTTCACCCTTATACCTCTGGGCGAGCATGAAAGGGTAAAAAACCTATTAGCCTCCAGGGGCACAGCCCCCCACTTTACTCTAATACACTGCCCCCACCACTCTAATACACTGCTACCTCCCACCACTCTAATACACTGCCCTCTCCCTCCCCTCCAATGTAATACATTGCCCTTCCTCCCCCAATTTAATACACTGCCCCTCTTCCACCACTCTAATACACTTTCGCCCTGCTTCCCCCCAATTTAATACATTGCCCCACCTACCTCCTTCCAATTTAATACATTGCCCTCCCACCACTCTAATACACTCCCCCTCTCAACACCCCCCCTCATTTAATACACCACACTACAGGACGGGTCCCCCAAGTCCCTCTTTCCCTACCTTAAGCCATCTTCCAGTCCAGCTCTGCATGATCGTATCTGCTCAAGCTGGCCACATGCTCCTCTGGCACTGCGAGCAGCAGTGAAGAGAAGTGGCTGGCCTGCTCTACACGCAGCCAGCCACTCTGAACACTGTAGGCCTGCTGCGCAGCCGCCAGACATGACTCCATACGCTGTATGCGCATATCTGGCGGCCAGCGTGGAAGAATGTGTATGTGCTCTTGTGGCCCCTGGTCAGTTGCAGAAGCACGCAATCAGCTGCAGCCCACGGGAGGACCACAGCACAAGTGGCCTCAGGGCAGGTGGCCTACCGGTATCTTGGTAGGCTGGTACTGCCATGGGCCGCAAAGATAATCATTGTGGGTGGCCTATGGGCCGCATGTTTGACATGCTTGCACTAGAGTTTTCCATAGGAAAGTATTGAATCATTGCTTTCCGATGGGGATTTAGAAGAAGCTGGATGTCCTCATTCAAAGAGTGATAAAGTCCAATGTCATTACAGTGTGTTAAACTCTGTAGGAATCCAGAAAGAAACTCTAGTAGCTGTCTGGCAGACATCCACTAGAGGTTGTCTTATCCCTGCAACGTTTTCACTAGCAGGGTTAAGGGGACAGGGCCAGTGCTCCCAGATTACTTCAATGAGCCTATAGTCTAAGAGCCTATAGGTCCCTTTAAATAGTTTAGCCCTCAGTCACAGCTCTACAATTCATGTAGGATGAATGGAACTGCTGAATACGGTGATAGCAGCCATACCATGGCTATGATTAGCCTATTTACAGCTGATTCACAGTTCTGCAGTAATCTCACAAGCTGCTGACCACACACAGAGAGATGTGTGTCCTAGCGCCATATGGACACATAGGATGGATCTTGTTCATCGTGATAGGAGAAAGAAAAATTATTTTTTATAGTCATTAAACCAGCAGCATATGATGCACAAGGACCCCTTAGTTTTTATCTATTGTTGTATTAATTATTTGGGGATTCTGTATGATGGGGCAATCCTGTCAGTATGTCAGTATGTTTATGTCTAAGTAACTCATAGAGCAGCTTCCCAGTAGTAATTGCCTTTGTCAAATACAATTATATAACTTAACAGCTGAAGAAAAAAAATCCCTTCTACAAGCGGAGTGAGCATGTCTTGCAGTTCTGACTGCCTCTCCCCTTCCCTTTACATGCAACCTCTCAGTGTGCCAAATAGAATAGGCAGCTTCATGTACCAATAGCTGGTTGGCATTATCTCCATCTGGTTTCTGCAGCTTTGCACAAGCAGGGTGTCATAAGCCAGCAGGAGAGGAGGCCCTGTGCCCATCGGGACATAGGTAAAAGGGCAAACAGTTTCAAGACCTTTTGCCCCATTACCAGGGTGTGGTGTAAGGGTACTCCTAACATCATAAACACTACAGCAGGCTGGAGTAACCCTTTTATATATATTATATTAGTTGGGAATTATGTTACAATCAGATTTATAAATAAAATAAAAAAATTCAGGTGACAGAGCCTCTTTAATAAGTGAAAGTTGAGGAATCTCAGATATTCCTGATAAAAGACTGCATGGACTCTCGATCTGCCTAATTCTAACCTGTCAGAAACAAAACAATTCAACCTGTTAGTGGGCAGTTCTTTAGTCATAAAGAAAGTCAAGTAGGCATCAGAAAAATAAATTACTATATTTTTTTTAATATAAAGGAAACTATCCTAATATTTAGAATTGCTGAAGATGGAAAATTACATATAATATAGCTTTTTTATGTATTATGTTGTAATGACAAATAATTATTAACTATTGTTAGTGCATCTCGTTGCATTCACTTGCTCCATAAGAGCAGACATCTTTACTCCACTTTGATCAGAAGCACCACTTCGATGGGCAATTTGAAAATCTGAATCCCATTATTTCTTAGATGCTGGGGACTTACGCATGATATCAGAATTAATGAACACACACTAGCTCTAAATTAGAATTGTACAGTTTTTGGTCAATAAGCTGTACTGCCGACCAAAGAGGACTTAAGATGGTCCTTCTAGATCAAGGCTAAGCCAGGGGATGAAATGAAAAGAGATGTTTACTTATGTTTGCATTACAGAATGATATGCACAAAGGCTATAATAAATGTAATCTTATTTTTTTTTTTTATAATACACAAGTAGGACAGTTTTACTTTAATAGTCAGCAAATTAACAATCCCTAATGGCAAATTCTGAAGAATCTGTCCTGCTAATATGTAATAATAACAACACTTAGTAGGCAACCAGTTCCATTTAAACATTGTACTTGTCAAATTGCTTGACCTAAAGGGACAGTCTAAGCACCAAATTCCGAGAGAGAGCCATTTGGGTCTTCAACCTAAAATTGATTAAATTATTGAATCTATTTGATGTCCTGTGTCAGCATGCAAAGTATTGGAGCTGAGTGCGTTCAATGCTTTTCATGCATTTGATATGCTGTGTATCTTCAATACTTCTTGATAAAAAAAAAAAAAAAAAATCTGATGGAAAAAGAAAAGTCATCAATCTTGATGAGTGGAGGATTGGACAATTGAGCATTGAGTTTGCGTGTTATCTTGCAAAATTGCTGAGTACAGTATTTACCAATACATTCTATGTGGTCACTCAGTACACACTATTGTATTTTACATACTGCAGGGCAGCACAGAGCTACCCCTTGCACTAACTACGAAGCAAATTTCAGTTAAGTAAAGGGGTACCACAAGATGATGTTTACACCCCTGCCAATTATTTAAATGGCCACTTCGAGAAGCAATACCACCACAGCATTCTGTACAAGTATTATTTTTGCTTAAGGTCCCCTGATTTCATATCACTATATAACTATTTAGAACATGCAGTTCACCACTTGCTGTTTGTTTCTCTCATGAATACATATGAATGATGCTAAACTGCAAGTTAATTTATGTCACATTGCAGTTTCTGTTAGCTTTCCAAGTAGCTTTATTCATGCCTCCTCCCCTATGAAATTGAAGTTAACCCCACGAGAATCCACAGTAAGATCTTTCACATAATGTTCCATAGGATGCCCCTGGTATGTGCACTCCACACAAGAACTTACTCTGCATTGTTTGGAAACGTGGAGATGTTTGCTGTGTAAACTACAGAGGTGCTCAGGATGTATTAAGTGTCCCTTTATATATTCAAAAGTAATTTCACTAGCACAATGTACAATGGTTAAATTGTAGAATTTATCCAAGCCATCACTGCAGTTAATGGAAGACAAATACATTTTAATTATAATGCATTTTCATACTCATTTGTGGAGCAGTGATTGGGTTGGTACAGGAAAAATATTGATTACTACAAATTTTTCAGCCATCTTAATGATCCAGCAGTTAAATGTTTTATTGTAAGTAAATTAAAAGAATGAATAACAAAAATCACAGGGTTTCAAATATTAGACTTTTAACCTTGTATTTCTCAGCCCCCAAGTTAATTTTTCATTGAATGTCATGTACACATCTAGCTACGCAATGCATAAATGATTTTACTGTACCTGATTCTCTTCTCCTGGGGTTTACCAAAATCAGCATTTTCCCACAGCCCTCCTCCCGATGCAGCTGTATCTGAAGAACACTAGATCCATCTATTTTTATCTGGAACAATGCATTGTAGAGAAAACAGACAGAAATATTAAATGATTAGATTTTGTCATATCTGCTGTTCACAGTTTGTGCACAACAAAAACCATTTAAAAGATTTAAAAAGGTAATTGTGTCAGCATGTTATTTAATAAAAATGTCACTAAACAGAATTTGTTGAGCCAGGGTTAAAAACAACAACAATTGTTACTCATGAATGTTCATGAATATATGAATACAGTGGCTGAAACACTATGTAGAATTATATTCAGTAAAGTATAGAAGCATTTGCAATCCCGCAAGACAAATTTATCCTCAAAATGGAGAGGTTTTTTTCACCTTACAAATTAAAGGGGCACTCTATATACCATAACCAAAACAGGGCACTGTTGTGGTTATAGTGCAAAGAAGAGGCCCTTGGTGCTGTGTTATTGGTAAGATTTAAATTGATTTCCAACAGTTTGATAACTACCTGAGACTCAAGGGTACCCTGGTAAGTGTTAAAACGTTCAAAATCAATTTGTTTCTCACTAGTTGGATGTTGCCCGGTTTCTCCTGGCATCATACCTACGACTGTGTAAGCTCACAAGCTGGGTCCTATGTTCCTTTTATATCAGTAAGTGTTCGTTATTTGTGTGTATTCCATCAATTATACAAGGCTGAGGTTTATGTTGGTGCTACATAAATATCAAGTAAAAATAGTAGTAGTCCCCTTTTAGAGTCATTTATTTATAATTTTATCAGGAAAAAGAATTGGCATGTATCCACAAAAAATGAATATGAAAATAAATCTAAAAGTTCCTTTACTTTATAAACTTGGTCTCAGTCACAAGAAGTCCTGTTTGCAGCATTTTCTATGGCTATTCATTATGTAAAAATACAGAACGATCATATGTTAGAGATGGAGATCAGACTTATTTCACTATACAATATAATTATAGGAACACAGTGGAAAAAGGCTACTTTGCCATTCTGAAACTATTTATCTTTACTAGAGTTTCACTTACATCTTTTTCTAACCTTGTGCCTCTTTTTTACAAGCTTAGAATATTATAAGCATGAATGTATTTACAAGCTTAGAATATTATAAGCATGAATGTATCACAGAGCTCATAGACCATAAAAGCTATAAAGACATATTTCACTGGCTAAACAGTTTAATAAAGTGCTATAAGTTGGTCACCTAAATATTTTGGTATTATTCCACTTATTCCTGCTCTCTTTAAATATAATATTCCTTGCTTATACACAAATGTTCCGCTGTTCATATGTGCAGTTCATCAATATCATTTACCCTTAATATACATGCATTTATTACTAAAATAAATTTTTATAGGTTCTATTTGCATGTAAGTGACCCCATTATAAGTGCAACACATCCTCCTTAGCCACTCCAACTGGTGCCACAGTGTTCTGATTTACTGGCTTACAATATGAAATTGGCCTTTAATAATTAGTAGCTATGCTTGTGGCAGGTCTTCAACCTCCCTTTGAAGCCTCCGGGCATGGATTTTGGAAATATAAACTAATTGGCTGAGGGCAAGATGGCACAATGGTTAACCATGCTTTTTTAATTGTAAAAAATAAATAAAAATAAATACAAAAGCTGATGTGGGTCAGTATGACCCCCATATTACTATAAGCTTACTATTACATTCTTATGCCTCCATCTGCATACTACATCAAAAGCTATCTACTGGGCAGCTGCCCTGTTGCTAGAAGGGCCCCATCCCATATTTTAAAGGAACATTGTAGACACTTTAATAACTTTATCTAGTTGTTATAGTGCCTACAGTACGTCCTTACTACTAAGGCTCCCAAAAAATGTTATATTAAAAATTACATGGCTTTAACCCCTTAAAGACCAAACTTCTGGAATAAAAGGGAATCAAGACATGTCACATGTGTCCTTAAGGGGTTAAACCCACACCTCCAAGCCATCTGGATAGAAGAAGCTGTTGCTTCCCAGTTCTCATACCAAGGCATACCACAACTACTGTCACAGTCTATCACAGAGAATAATTGCATGCACAATGGTTACATTATAGAATTCTAGGATAGAATCAATGACGGATCAGAGTAAGCAATGTGCATGCGCTTAAGATTCCCAGTGCTCCTGTATAAGGAGCATTGAACTGGACTATCATCTAGGAGACACGCTTCCTACATGACATCATACGATGAAGATTGGGCAGCAATACCACGGGAGACTTGGTACTGGATAAAAGGTGAGTAAAATAATTTAATTAAATTTTTTTAAATGTGTGGAGAGTCTAAAAATAAATAACTATGTAGCGTTAGGAATACAGATTTGTATTCTTAAAGCTATTGCATCCCTCTAACAGAGCACTCTAACAGGCAAGAGTCACTTCACTTGAGACTTGCCATGGAGATACAAGACAACCAATCAGAATGCTCTAATTCAATTCAATGCATAGGAAAGCCTTTATAAAACCTTTCCTTATTATTATTCTGTGTAGAGCGAAGATGGGTCTATTTTGTGGCGTACTAAGGGGAGGGCGGCAGGGGTGCCACTCACTAGGGGGGTGCCCGGGGCGCACTTTCACAGGGGCGACATTTCGCATAGCGAGAACAGAGGACCCTGCTGCTTCTGCTGGATGGGAAACGAGCGTGCAGAGTTCTGGGCCCCTCTTCACTGCCCATCTAAAGCTGTGCCACCAGACCACCAGGACCAGGTAAGTGTCAGGGAGGGGCAAACCATACACTGCTCACCTTCCCAGCACTTATTCCACACAACACACACAAGCTGCATACACTATACACACACTGCACACACTGCATACACTATACACACACTCCATACACTATACAAATGCACACACTGCATTCACTATGCATAAACACACTTATACATGTGTATCTGTATGTCTGTGTATTTGTATGTGTATTTGTATGTGTGTCTGTGTTTGTTTCGGTGTGTCTGTATCTGTATGTGTGCCTGTGTGTCTCTCTCTGTGTGCTTGTATGTGTATTTTATGTGTATGTGTGTCAGTATTGGTCTGTAGGGGGGGGTGGGGCAAGCTTAAGAAGGGAAGATTTTATAAATAGTTTTTCACACGTTCATAGATTTATTGGGCCATCTGTCACACTTATTATTACGTGAGAGGGTAGGTAGGTTATGTTATTCAGAGAGAAGATGACTATGTGCGTTAGAAAACTAGTCATGGTGTGTGTGTGGAGGGGTGAGGACTAGGTCTCCCCCGAGTATAAAATTAGTATCCTCCAACCCACCTCTCATGAGTGCAGAGGGAGGTTTAAATTCTCTATTATATTAATGCGGTGGTCACATTGATCCCATATGATTATTATTTATTTTTCCTTACATTTTAAAGTGGCAGATGGCTAGCAAATCTGGCCAGCTGCCACATGTTTAACCCTCACACCGTCAAACATGTTAAAAAAATATATATCCTTTTGCCCATTAACTAGATAGGAAAACAACTTTAGCTTAATGAAGTGCTTTTGAAGATCATTCCCCTGCGCTCTCAATGCACTCTCAATGCTCAATTTGCTGTCAGTTGCCTATTTCGCAGACCCCTCTCTTTCAATGGGAAGTCTGTCCCTCTGTGCCATCTGTTCATTTCCAGAATGTGAGCAGGAAAGATTGGCAGGTATGATGTTTACCAGTCAAGTCACTTTCTTTATGCAGCCCTAGCCACAATGACCTTGGCTGCCACACAAGTTCCCTGCAAGGCTTCCATCAGGGCATGACAATTATCTTGGGCCTAGCGTTCCTGAGGGGCCCGGACTGCTGAGGGAGTCCTGGGCCCCACATTCTCTATTCTCCACAAATATATATATATATATATATATATATTAATCGATAATCGCTATATGTGCACCTGCAGGCCCCCAGCTCCCTGTACCTTGCAGAAGGGGCCCAGCACACACCGGCATCTTCACGTTACAGCAGCTCCTCTCTCTCACTCTCTAACTCTTGCGAGCCCCGCAGCTGTCAGCACATTGCCATCTTTGGGAATTGGACCTCAAATGTGTATAGTTGTTATAAGCCATTCATGCAGCAATTCGATTTAACAAAGTGTTTCAAACCCTGTAAAGGAGTTCTTAGCGATTGTTTTAACCTTAGGAAAGTCATGTATTTGCATAAATAAAAAACAATCCCTAGTGGAAAGAGAGTATATATTTTCTCAAATGTAATTGGATGGCTAGTTGTGCTGCTAGATAAAGTATAGATGTGATAATCCTAAACCTCCTACTGGTTTTGGCCTATAAAGCAAAACTTAAGCTATCTACGATTTCAGTTTTGCCATATAAAAGTATCTAATGCTCAAGGCAGGTGCACTAAATCTTTTTTTTGTTTGTTTTTAATTCTTTATTCTTGGTGTGCAAAGACTCACAAATATGCTTGTCTGGCCACGATAGCTGCAACAAGCAGTTCAACCAATATACAATACATTTTCATGGCACTTTATATACATTGCACAATTTTAAGTGTTATGGTAATAGTAGCGAGGATTCAGGGGATAGGGTCATAAACTAGATGCGACATCTACCGTAGACTAGTCCCCTGAGGGTAGGGACTCGGGTGCTTGGGGTAGGTTTTCAGGTGTACTGAGCATATGAATACATATGTTGGGTCTGTCAGTGCGAATTTCCTTTATGCGAAGGGGACTGCTTTCGCCCTGCGTGAGTAAAAGAGACATCTAGTATGTGGTAGCATGACTTGTGATACGAATTAGATAGCTACTGTTCCTAGTGAGTAGGTCTGGAGGTAGCTTACTAAGAAGTGATTACGCATCACTTTGAAATAGAGGTGGTATCGATCTAACGGCCACTGAGTGGAGGCAGGTGGGTGGGATGAATCGTCCTTATGGGATGCTCGGTGCGTTATAAACATTTACCTACGAAACAGAAAGTATTAAACCAAAAGAATTGCTACAGAGAAAGGTAAACCGTTCCGCCTGTCAAGGCATGGAATCCCTATGCTAACAGGTCCGTGTGCTAAATCGTTTTTTGTTACCCATATTGGGAGTACTTAAGAAAGAAATAGTATTATTGAAAGCATACTCCTTTTAACCACATGTGTGTGGTCTGTTCAGGAAATAGATTTATCTGTTAATTTGTCTTAGTCCCTAATCAAGTTGCGTATTAGCGTTGTATAATGCTGAGAAAATAGAAGTAGTCTGCTGTGATGTTGATACCAAGATATTTAAATTGTTCCTTGGCTACTTGAAACTCATGTACATCCTTTACATGCGATGTATCTGCAGCCAACAGGTTCAGCTGCATAGTCACTTCTTTATCCAGATTAACTCTAAACCCTGATATGTTGCTGAAAGTCTGCACAACATAGGGCAACTGTTGCATGGATGATCTTGTGTTTGTTAATGTAAGGAGGAGGTCACCCGTGTATGTGGATTCCTTAAAAGACTCGAGAGCTATGTTCACTCCCTCTATTCCCAGGAGTTCTCATATGTAGTTTAACAGAGGCTCCAGAGAAATGGCAAATAAAACGGGTGACAAAGGACACCCCTGTCTGGTGCCGTTCCGCAGGGTGAAAGGGTGATTAGAAGATCCCGAGATAAACGCTCTTAGAGCTGTGTACATTGTTCTAGCAATGAAGGGCTCTAGGAACTCCAGGTATCTTAGTAACTCGAATGAGAATGGCCATTCGACTCTGTCGTATAACTTCTTCACGTCCAATGGCAAGACCAGAGAAAGCATTGAAGAATCCACTAGTTTCCAAATCAGTTTCTTCTTGTGTTTTATATAACTGACAATCTGGTTTAAAACCCACCTGGTTTGGGTGAATTATGGAGCTTAAAAAATAATTTAATCTATTGGCCAGTATCTTGGCTAATATTTAGTCAATAAGTGATATTGATCAGTAGTTTTGTGTAACAGGACAACATTTGCCAAAGTAATCTCTGGTGCTGGAGCCCGCCTTGTACAAAAACGTTAAATTGTATATCTAGATGGGGTGATACCACTACCATGAAGCCCGTCCCGACCCGGGGCTCTGTTGCCTTTAAGGCTCGATATGGGCAGGCTTATTTCATCTGTAATAATAGGTAGGCTCAGGTCCTCTATGGCTAACCCTATTAATTTTGGCATTTGAGAGTACCCAAGAACCTATGAATGTCCCCCATATAGGTGGTACTGTCAACTGTGCTTAGGGGAGTGGTTTCATGATGATGAATAAAATGCAGTAAAGGCACTGTTAATAACTTCTGGTAATGTGGAAAAAAAACCTCCGCAGTTCTAATGGTCACTATCAATTTGTGTCCTGCTCTTGGCCGCAAACTCTAGCTAATAAAGTGTACATTTTGTTGGACTTTTCGTAAAATAGTCATTTAGACCATACCATTGCACGGACAAAGTCCTTAAGAAACACTTTTTTTCCCCTTTTTTATTCTTTATTTTAGACATTACACATGTGGTACATCATTGGCACCTATAGTTACATTTCAATCGTTATGTTATACAGCATTGTATCGTCATCATATGAGAGCATGTGGAATGGGTTTCTATATATAACCTGTTCCAAATTATTCCAAATAGAATTTGTTCCAAATTCTATTTAAGTGTCACAAAGATTAAATATTTTGTTTTTCAGTTTAACTCATGGATGGCATTGTGTCTCAGGGCTCTTTTGATTACTGAAAACAATCTCGGACACCTGTGACAATTAGATTGCCAGGTGAGCCCAATTTAAGGAAAAACTACTAAACGAGGGTGTTCCACATTATTAAGCAGAGCACCATTTTCATGCAATATGGGGAAGAAAAAGGATCTCTCTGCTGCCGAAAAGAGTGAAATAGTTCAATGCCTTGGATGAGGTATGAAAACATTAGAGATTTCACGAAAACTTAAGTGTGATCATCGCACTATTAAGAGATTTGTGGCTGATTACGAGCACAGACGGGTTCGTGCAGATAAAGGCACATTGAGGAAGATTTCTGCCAGATCCATGCATTGGATCAAGAGAGCAGCTGCTAAAATACCATTATATAGCAGCAAACATATTTGAAGCTGCTGGTGCCTCTGGAGTCCCACTGACATCAAGGTGTAGAGTCCTGCAGAGTCTTGCAACTGTGCATAAACCTTCTATTCGGCCACCACTAACCAATGCTCACAAGCAGAAACTGCTGCATTAGGCAGAAAAATACATGACTAATTTTCAAACAGCCCGTTCACTGATGAGTGCCGTGCAACCCTGGACGGTCCAGATGTATGGAGTAGTGGATGGTTGGTGGACGGTCATCCTGTTCCAAAAAGGCTGTGACGTCAGCAAGGCGGTGATGGAGTCATGTTTTGGGCCGGAATCATGGGAAGAGAACTGGTCGGCCCCTTTAGGGTCCCCGAAGGTGTAAAGATGACCTCTGCAAAGTATGTGGAGTTTCTGACTGACCACTTTCTTCCCTGGTACAGAAGGAAGAACTATGCTTTCCGTAATAAAATCATCTTCATGCATGACAATGCACCATCACATGCTGCAAAGAATACATCTGTATCAATGGCTGCTATGGGGATAAAAGGAGAGAAAGTCATGGTGTGGCCTCCATCCTCCCCTGACCTCAATCCTATTTAGAACCTTTGGAGCATCCTCAAGCAAAAGGGCAGGCTATTTTAGCTGCTGTCCGTTCTCAGAATACTCTTGCGACCCGTTTTTTGCTCTCCATTAGTTTAAAGGGTAATCCAGACGTGGACCCCTTGCTCACGGTGCCTAGAGAGATATCAGCTATGCCTCACTGATGATGCCTTACAAGGCTGAAACGATCGTCTGGGGTTGCTGTATCTCTCGTGCAGAGAGAACTTGCTGGCATTTGGGATCTGGACTGCCCGTATGGGTGGGACCAGTCTGATATGCTTCAGATATGTTCTCTCTGTAATGGCACAAGATGAGCTAAAACCAGCTTGAGTTCTGAGCGGGGACCCACCGCAGGGCAGGCTATTTTAGCTGCTGTCCGTTCTCAGAGTACTCTTGCGATCCGTTTTTTGCTATCCTCAAGCAAAAGATCTATGAGGGTGGGAGGCAGTTTACATCCAAACAGCAGCTCTGGGAGGCTATTCTGACATCTTGCAAACAAATTCAAGCAGGAAACTGTCCAAAAACTCACAAGTTCAATGGATGCAAGATTTGTGAAGCTGCTATCAAATTAGGGGTCCTATGTTAAAATGTAACGTGACCTGTTAAAATGTTTAAAAAGTTAAAATGTTGTTATAAGTTTGATTGAAATAGCTTTTGATTTCAGTAAATATGCTGCAAACACATCAAATGACAATTTTCAGTTCTTTACAATCTATAAAGTGTTTTGAAACTTACTGTGTGTAATAATTTGGAACAGTGCATTGTATGTTTTTTATGTTTAAAAAAAATACTGTTCATTAGGAGGTTTGTTCAATAAAATTTGAATTATACTCTTAATAGTTGATAACATGAGAATTATGCTGACTGTTATTTACATCAATTATTTAGGTAAATGAGAAAAATATAATTTGCATTATAATTTGGAACAGGGTGTAAGAAAAAGAAGACACAAGTAAGGGGAAACCCCCCCCCCCAAAAAAAACAAGGCTAACTATTATTGCCCCCTCGGGTAAGAGGTGATGTCCTCAAGTTATTAATATGTCACTAGACAATATCCCGTAGGGCTGCTCCCTCTCGGCTTTACCATGGTAGACATTGTGAACACTGATAGATAACTGGAGGGAGGGAGAGGTTAGGGGTGCACCTTACGTTAAAAACTGCAGTGGGACAGCCGTGGGCAGCGTACCATAGGAGTGGAAGTGTAACCACTTTCGAGCTACATGGTTTCTTAATGATTAACCTAAGAGTAAGTTAACAGAAAGGGGTATGTTGGGAGAGAATAGGGCACACTCATAGTATTGATGGCAGGAGTCCGAACATGTAAGTCTAAGGTTTTTACTGCGGTGTTTGGAAGTCTCCGTTTGTGTACGTGGGTCTTCCCTTCAATCCGTAGCCTTTCAGGTTGCTGTGGGCTGATCTCGTATTTGGACAGTACAGGTAAGTCCCGAACATAGGGGTTTTGAAATAGCAAACTGCGAGACTAAGAGTAGGTTTACTTAGAGAAAAATAAAAGTAAAGGTGTGGAACTGAAATGAGTGTCTGCTTATACAGCTGTGGTCATGGTGTTTTGGCAGTCTCTTGCGGGACATGTGAGGGGTCCCAATAGGTAGTGTCCCTTCAAGTTGTACCTCTTGGAGGCTCCAGGAACTGCCCCGTGCGGGGAATAAATTTCGTCACAGTTGTGGGATCTAAGCGTTACAGGCCTGATCCAACTGCCCTCGGGATTTCCACGGAAGTCTAAGAAACACATTTTTAAGGACGTGCCTAATCTCTCAGTTCTGCTTGTCCTGCTTTTGTGGGGTTGGTATTCTGCCTCTGCTCTGCCGAGCGTAATGCCTCCTGTAAGTGATATACAAGTTTCATTGTGTCTTCTTTTGAGTGGTTTGATATCTTTATAAGGTAACCCCATATGACCACCTTGTGGGCTGCCAACACACAGTGGAGAGCAAGACCCCTGGAGTAGTATTCCTGGTAAAATATTCCCTTATAATGACTTTCAGGACTTCTACCATTTTTTGGTCTTTCAGTATGGAGGCGTTAAAGTGGCACGGTCATGCCGAACTTACCTTTCCCCAATCGATTGCTCTACTCTCCCTCTCTCAGGATCTGTTCTTCATTTCTTCCTGTCTGCTCTAGTTTTCTTTAAAAATTAAGAGAAAGTAGGGACTATTTCTCTTCTGGAGGTTTCCTACGCTATGATCAGCGGAGGAGCAAAGTGTGCTTCGTTTCCGGTGGTCAGAGCAATTTTCCCATGATCCTTAGCTTTCCTCCCTGTTCCCATGATGCCTCCTGTCAGTATTGCTGAACGTCCTGTCACTTAGACAGAACGCCGGCAAAACTGCCAAATTGCGTCCTAACAGAATGAGAACAGTGTCTCCATTCGTGTTAGAACGCAATTCGGGACTTTGTTCAGATCGCAATTTCATTCAAATGAATGAAACTCCGATCCTATTCGTGCTGTGGTTGCATCTTGCAGCCGCTTAGTAGATAACTCCCTAATTCCCACGGTATCAGGGAGCTATCTACTAAAAGGCTGAAAGACCTAAAATGGTCTTTCAGCCACATTTACTAATACTAAGTAAAGATTACTTAGTATTAGTAAATTCTGCCCCTACTCGCTATACGGCGAGTAGGAGCATGTCTAGTAAACTGCTCACTGTAAAAAAAAAAAACTATTGCCACCCCTCCCCACCCTTACGTGGCGGGTGGGGGCCCTACATAACAATGAGGGGGGACCTACTGTCCTCCCCCCCTGGGCGGTGCGTTGGGGCCATAAAGATAATGAAGGGGGGAACCTACTGTCCTCCCCCTGGCCCCCACCCCTGTGCGGTAGGTGTGGTCCATAAAGATAAGGGGGGGGGGACTTACTGTCCTCCCCTCTGGTCCCCTCCCCTGGGCGGCTGGTGGGGGCCATTAATATAATGAGGGGGGGGGACCTACTGTCCTTCCCCCCGGGCCCCAACCCTTGGCGGCGGGTGGGGGCCCTAAGACAAATCCCCCCCCTTCAAAGGTGACTAGGGGTCCTCAACATCCTAGTCACCCACCGCCCCACCCAAATAAAAACTATCCCCTACCTACCCCCCTCACCCTACAAATTGTGAGGGGGGAATAAAATAACAAACCTGTAAATAAAAATAAAACTTACCATTTGAGGTCTTCTTTCTTCTAAAATCTTCATTTTTCAGCCCCAAAAAAGGCCAAATAAAAAACCATCATACCCATCAAACTTAAAATGAAATAAAAAATCAGAGCCTTGCCCTGCCCTGCAGTTAGGCTAAGAACACTCTGATTGGTTGGTTTAAGCCAATCAGAGTACTCTTTGTCATTTTACACAGCGTGGGAAAGTTCTTTCCCATGCTGTGTAATTTGACTCATAACACTCTGATTGGTGGGCTTGAAATCCATCCAGTCAGAGTGCTCTGTGTCCCCCCCCCCTATTGTTATGTAGGGCCACCACCTGCAGCGCAGGGGTGGGGGCCGGGGGGGAGGACAGTAGGTCTCCCCCTCATTGTTATGTAGGGCCCCCACCCGCCGCGCAGGGGTTTAGGACTGTTTACTAGACATGCCCCTAATCGTAGTATAGCGAGTAGGGGCAGAATTTACTAATACTAAGTAATCTTTACTTAGTATTAGTAAATGTGGCTGAAAGACCAATTTAGGTCTTTCAGCCTTTTGCTAGATAGCTCCCTAATACTGTGGGAATTAAGGAGTTATCTACTAAGCGGCTGCAAGATGCAGCCACAGCACGAATAGGATCGGAGTTTTATTCATTCAAATGAAATTGCGATCCGAACAAAGTCCCGAATTGTGTTCTAACACGAATGGAGGAACTGTTCTCATTCTATTGTGACGCAATTCTGCAGTTTTGCCGGGGTTTTGTCTAAATGAGAAGACGTTGGGCAATACTGACCGGAGGCATTGTGGGAACACGGAGGAAAGCTAAGGATCATGGGAAAATTGCTCTGACCACTGGAAACGAAGCACACTTTGCTCCTCTGCTGGTCATAGCTGGACATGGGGTAGGAAACCTTCAGAAGATAAATAGTCCCTACTTTGTCTTAAAGGGACACTATAGTCACCTGACCAACTTTAGTTTAATGAAGCAGTTTTGGTGTATAGAACATGCCCCTGCAGCCTCACAGCTCAATTATCTGCCATTTAGGAGTTAAATCCCTTTGTTTATGAACCCTAGTCACACCTCCCTGCATGTGACTTGCACAGCCTTCCATAAACACTTCCTGTAAAGAGAGCCCTATTTAGGCTTTCTTTATTGCAAATTCTGTTTAATTAAGATTTTCTGACCACGTAATACAGTTGACCTCTGTTCTGTCCACTTTCATCGTGCCTAATCATTTTGTGAGATAAATATTTATTAAGGATTATGTGGAATGTGGTGCTGAGAAGAAAGTACAACCTACTTTATCTGGGTATTGAACTCTCTGTGTGTCAATTATCCCTGTATGCTGAAGGAAGCAGTGTAATAATGTGTCTTGATAGCTTATTATCCCTGTTCTGGAACTCCTACAGGCTGCTGGACAAAGGACCTGATCTAGAACTCCTATCAGTTGCTGGACAAGGGACCTTGTTGAAATCCGTTCCCACCAAGAGAATCCCTTGCAGCAAGGATCGAACAGTTTCTGCTAATTAATTACAGAATTTGGTGCATTTGATGCATAAATATTGAAAAGGTGGACCATCATGGAATAAATCATACCGAGACTATTACATGACGGCTCTCTAAATCTGAGGGGATGTTTGTGTTACCTCTTATGTAGCAATATAGACAAACCATTAAGTTTAGGTAGAGCTCTGGAGGCAAACTCCCTATCATATGTGTGATTTTTAATGGTTATTAATAAAATGTTTAGGCAAATTAATCTTTTGAATGAATGCTACAAAATAAAACAAATCAGGACACAGTTCAAAATGGAATAAAAACACTCAGCTTTATTTTTCACTTAGGACTAGCCCATATGCACATTACATTAAACTTACTGTGACAAACTCAATCTGATACAAATAACCAAATCATACAGGATGCCATAACAACATATTAAGATATTTAAAAAGGAGTGGGGAAGACAATAATTAACAAGAAATATTGTCCATGCCTGCAGAATTCATAGTATGCAAATTTACCTGTAATATGCAAATTAACAAGCATTGTTATTAAGGAAGTGCATATAACAGTTTCAAGATCCTTACAACCAGCAGATAGCGCTGTACAGACTCCATAGTCAAATCCACCAAGTTGGACATCAGCATCAGCATGATAGGAGAGAACACAAAACATTTAACAATTTACGATTACATTACACATACCCTGCACCTATAATGTGTACAGGGTGACTAAAACATAAGAATAATTTGATGACCTACATAAAGTGTCCATCTTCGGCTCCCCGTGATGGTGACTACCATCACAGAGTGTTTGTGTGAACCACAGTATCATTGTTGGCCTTAATGACCTGCTTCATCCTTAGCTCCAGTTTGTTTTCCATCTTCACTTCTAGGTGTTTCCTCTCCATCTCTTGTGTGAGATAGCTCTTTACCTTTGCATGTTTAGTGAGGATTTGGGATGTGTTACTTGACTTCTAGCTTAAGGTGTATGCTATGGCATTCTCCTCTACAGTGCACGGGATGGCGTAGCGGCCATCTTGTGGACCTGCCTCGTGGCTCGAGTCCACAAACATACCTGCAACCAAATATTCAGTGGTCTGTTTGTTCGAATTTATAGGTGTCCTCATTATGAGGCTCTACAAGCATAGTCAGGCTGTAAACGTGACTGCTTGTTATGCTGTTGGCTAGTGCTTATTCTTGTTGGCGGTAGAGGAGCTCAAATCTCACACAGATATCTTAGTCGATGGTCCAACCACGCACCGCTACAGACCACGTGAAAGCAGATTTTGAGGGCTGAATCATCTGGTCATGTACGTACAAACAGCTCCTACACAAAACTGACAGTTTAATTTGACTAGAAAATAATTTCTAATCACAATAAAAGCCAAGGTCATGGTTGAAATGCTGCAATAACAATCACTGTATTTTTACTAGCCCGATAAGTTCATACATAGAAATGGTTGATTTTTGCTAGTATAAATGTTTTTTATAACCAAGAAAAAATAATAAAATTGCTGCACATCTACCAACCTTCCACCCTTTAGTGACTTGTAGATGTTATATAATTTCTCACAGGTGCTCTTATAATGATTTACGTCTCTTCAGAGAAGAAGAGAGGCCTCCAAAAAGGATTAGACAACCGTAGTATGGATGTGCAGGCAGAAAAGCCCCTGTGGGCCTGGCCAGAAACCCCTAACAATAACACCTACAAGCTACACACAACTGCTATTTGACTAAAATCTTGACTTGATATCTGCGAGTCCTTTTGAACTATTAATGGTATATGTAAATGGGTAGCAGTGGTAACAGAGAGTTCAGTTGTAGGAAATTGCTAACCGCATTGTATACACAAACACATAAATATTCTTATAATACATTATTAAAATCAGTAGTAAAATGTTAGTCATTTGAAAACTAATAATCATAAGAAAGACACACAACATGCATCAAGCACATTTCAACCGGCCATATTACTGCTCAAGACACTGTGCTTCCGGCGTAATACAATTGTAGAGAGCAGACACAGCACGCAGCTTTTAAATGTCATCCATTAAAGATAAATACTGTGTGTTTAACTCTGCTAATCAAGGGCTAACTCTAAGGATGGTTGCTGGCATTTTTTTTTACAATAGTTGTCTATAGTTTTTCCATTTTGGAACTCACTATGGTGGCCACCGTGTGTATTGGTATTATACGTCTTGAGAAAATGGAAACGTAGGTTCCAACTGGCCTTTCTTTGAAGCTGATGATTTGGTCCCCCAAACGATGTAATTTGTCTTGGGGCGCATAGTCAATTCAATGTAGAGGTTTGTGTTTTTAATGGTTGTTTTTCCTATATGAGGTTGCAGTTGTTATATACCAGGTGGACAAATAAATTAGGGTTGACACCAAAAAATTAAAAAAAAAATCTAAATCATTGCAGTGTTACCAAGCAGACAGCAGAGGGCACTCTATGAATGACCCTTTTTCCAAAATCCTACCTTGGAGAATGTAGTCAACTCCAGCACAGCTTTAGAAAATGACTCTCCGCAAATATAAGGTACATTTAATGAAAGCATTGAAGATATATTCAGAAATTGAGGAAATGCGAAAAAAATAACCCAAAACAGAAAACAAAGTCCACATAATAATAATAATGGTGGAATTTAACTTAAAGGTACATTTAGCTTGTCAGCTGGTCTTCATGTACTGCCTGGTCTCTACATGTTATAAATACCAAATTCAATGGCACTCTTTTGTTAGTGTTTTTTTTTGTTTTTTTGTTAAACCATGAACACATATTTAAAGATTACACAACTGGGAATGAGACGTAGGTACGATCCATGAAATGGACAGTAATTTATAATAAAGCAATTTAAACATGTACAAGTGGAGGTTTAGTTTATTTATTTTGCTTGTGGTGCAGCAATTTTATTCCTTTCATTTTGCATATTGAAACGAAGTACCGTGTTATAGAATGGATTGGTATTTTAGTTTAGAGTAATTAGAATGCCATCAACGTTATTGTACAGTAATGTGAACTTACCTTCTCTCCACCTGAACTATAGAAGAATTCATCAGTCATTTCGTGTTGCTGGATAATCTGTGCATAGTGTTTGGACGCAATCTCCAGGACACCTTGCAAATCGGCAGAGTTGAAGTAATCTACTGGGGATTGCCGGCCTAGAAAGAATACTTTGTGTTAGCATTCTGAATGATTGAAAGTAACATCAACTTGTAGAAGTGTATTGGTAACCAACACACACAAAATCACTTTCCGTGTTTTAAAAAAAAAAAAATTTAGGCTCATGAGCTGAAATAAAAATATTCATTAATTCATGGTATTGTGGTCACACCCTTTTATACCATTTTTATCAATGACTACTGCCAAGAAAAACTGCTTAAAGGAAGCATGGATTGGCACCATAATTCAATAACCGAAGCTGGACAGCAGAGGCTGTCCCTCAGTTTTATGCCGTGTTTGGGATAGGGAAATAAAATGCTCTCGACCACACCTACAGACCACCTCTTTTCTAGTCACCCTAATAGTGCAGAATTTAGACTTCCACACTGTCAGTATCAATATTGCTCAACCAGGACAGTGATAGCCTGTGAGTGCTGGGGTTGGTTTAACAAAGCCAGTGGCGTACACACAACCCATGGGGCCCCGGTGCGAAAACTCTGCGCAGGCCGGGGCTGCAACACATGGCGGTGGGGAACCTGGTCGCAGGGCTGCGACCGCGGTATGTACACCAGTGCATGTAGATATACATACACTTAAAGGACCACTACAGACACCCAGATCATATCAGCTCAATGAAGTGGTCTGGGTGCCAGGTCCCTCTAATTTTAACCCTGTAGCTGAAAACATAGCAGTTTCAGAGAAACTGCTATGTTTCACTGAGGGTTAATACAGCCTCTAGTGGCTGTCTGATTGGCAGCCGCTAGAGGAGCTTCCGCGATTCTCACTGTGATTTTACGCTGAACGTTCATAGGAAAGCATTAACTAATGCTGGCTGGCGGGCGCGCGAGGGAGCACTCTTCCCTGAGTGCTCCCTGTTCAGCTCCCTCGCGCGCCGCGTACTGATGCCGGAGCCGGAATATGACGTCATATTCCGGCTCCGGTATCAGTACGTGGCGCGCGAGGGAGCTGAAGAGGCCGGCTCCTGGGCCCCCCGGTACATCCTGGGCCAAAATGGGTACATACCGGGTCGCAGGGCGGCCGGACCCCGGTATGTATGCCACTGAACAAAGCCATATATATTGGGCAGCATTGGTATTGATAATGCAGAAATTTTAATTTGTATTATCATGGTGGGAAAACCAGGGAGTGCCCTGATTTCTGGTCATCCGCTACCACATTTTGTGCCCTACAAGAGCATTTACTGTTGTGATTATAGCATTTAAAGTGGCCCTTTATGTAAAACCATTCTTTAATTAACTGGCCATTTAAGTTAGCACGTTTTGTTAATTTTATTGCTTGCTTCTACTTTTATTTACTTGTTATTTTTATTTATTTTTTTAAAACCTAACAACATTTCAAATGGCCATGGAAAACATAATCCTTATGGGGAGTTAATGGAGATATGGTGGTTGCAAGCCATTAATGAAAACATTCTGGAGAATTCAGGATCTAGCTCAGTGGCAGGTAACCTTCAGCACTACAGATGTTGTGTACTACATATCCCATAATGCTCTTACAGCAATAATGCTGGCAAAGCATTGATGTAGTACACTGCCGAAAAACTACATCTATCCTCTGCCCGTACTCCCACCTCTGATGCTCGCCTTCAAGACTTCTCCAGGGCTGCACCTTTTCTGTGCAGCTCCCTTCCAATACGCATTCAGACTTTGACTCAGTTTCCACTCCTTCAAAAAATCATTGAAAACTCACTTCTTCAGTAAAGCGTATCAATGTTATTATCTATTTTTTATATAGCGCCAACAAATTCCGCAGTGCTTTACAGTGGGTGGATGAACAAACATGTAGTTGTAACCAGACGAGTTGGACATACAGGAACAGAAGGGTTAAGGGCCCTGCTCAATGAGCTTACATGTGTCAAGGTTAGGTTCCCCAACACGTTAACTATAGGACTAACGGGCAACCCAAGCTAGACGTATTAGCGGTCCTTAAAGTAGCCGGACTTAACGTGAAGAAAAGTAAGGAGAGTAGCAGAATAATCAGACGAGCCGAGGTCAGGGCAGGAGAAGGAAGAACAAACGAGAAACTAAGCCATGGGTCAAGGAAGCCAGAAAATACGGATAACCAGAAACAAGCCGAAGTCAGATACCAGGAAACACACAAGTATACAGAACGCACTCTCGGGCTACAATAGACCACGACAGGGCAAGGAAGTGATGTAGGAGGGAGGTATAAATAGGGCTAAGAGAGATCTGATAGGCTAGGGAAGAAAATAGGAGAGATTCTAAAAGGGTTACCAGGATTCATGAAATTATGGTAGAATCGCTTTAAGAGCTCAGCGGCAAGCCACATGTGCATGCGCGTGTCCCTGCTCGGGCGCGTGTGTGCGCTGTCAGCCGGAAACCAGCAGAGCTTGGAGGAGCAGAGCGGAGGGAAGGACCGGAGCAGCGTGGGCTACGAGGAGGTATGACAACATGCTAGAGGGAGTGGGGTAAAGTGACACAAAAGGTAAGGATAGTATTAGACTAATGACAGTTGTAAGAGAGGAATCAGTCGGAAAATATTATCAGTTTAATTGATAAGCTTTTATGAAGAAGTGGGTTTTTAATGATTTTTTGAAGGAGTGGAGACTGGGTGAGCATCTAACGGAGGAGCAAAGGGAGTTCCACAGGAACGGTGCAGCCCTCGAGAAGTCTTGAAAACAAACGTCAGAGGTGGAAGTATGGACAGAAGATAGACGTAAGTCTTCAGCAGAGCGTAAGGGCCTAGACGAGATATACTTGTGTATTAGGGAGGACAGATAGGTGGGAGAAGCATTAGTTAGAGATTTGAAAGCAAGAACCAGAATTTTAAATTGAGCCCTATATCTTACAGGAAGCCAATGTAGGTAGGGACTGACAGGAAAATGATCCTCGCCGTCGCATTCATTATGGACTGTAACGGTGCAAGTTGGGAGCACGTAAGTCCACTGAGAAGCGGATTACGGTAGTCAAGGCAAGAAAGGACAGTGGAATGGACCAGCACCTTCGCATCTGGTGTTAAGTAGGGTCGGATGTGCGCAATGTATTTGAGATGGCAGCAGCAGGATTTGACGATAGACTGAACATAAGGCGTGAAGGAGAGGTCGGAGTGAAAGAGACCACCTAAGCAGCGAGCCTGCGTGGTGGAGCTGATGGTAGCACCACTGACTTGGAGGGAGACAGACACAGGAGTAGCAACACTTGAGCGAGGAAAGACCAGAATTTCAGTTTTGGTCAAGTTGAGTTTAAGGAAGTGGGCAGCCATCCAGTTAGAAATAGCAGAGAGGCAGTCAGAGACACTAATCAGGAGGGACGGGGAGATATCAGGAGAGGACAGATAGATTTGCGTGTCATCCGCGTATAAATGATATTGGAAGCCAAAGGAGCTAATGAGTTTACAAAGGGGGGGCAGTATAGATGGAGAACAGTAGGGGACCAAGGACTGCACCTTGGGGGACACCAACAGAGAGGAGTTGGGGAGAAGAAGCAGAACCAGTGAAAGAAACACTGAAAGATCACTGGGAGAGGTAGGAGGAGCACCAGTAGAGAGATATATCTTGTAGACCGATATTGCGGAGGATGAGAAGAAGCTGTTGATGATCAACAGTGTCAAAAGCCGCAGACAGGTCAAGGAGAATTAGGATAGAGTAGTGACCACAAGATTTTGCAGCTTGTAGATCATTGGATACTTTGATCAGTGCCGTTTCCACAGAGTGCTTAGCGCGGAAATCAGACTGAAGCGGGTCTAACAGAGAGTTGGACTTGAGGAAGTTTGTCAATCTCGCATACACAACTCTTTCAAGGATCTTGGATGCAAAAGGCAGTATCAAGATAGGACGGTAGTTGGATGGGGAGTTAAGGTCAAGGTTGGGCTTCTTTAGAAATGGCGTTATAGTTGCATGTTTGAAGGGCGATGGAAATATGCCAGAGGAGAGAGAATTTTAGTGGAGGTAGAGAAAGAGAAGAAGACAGAGTATGGATGAGATGCGAGGGAATTGGATCTAGAGAACAAGTGGTGGGGCAGGAGGACTGGAGCAGAGCAGAAACCTCTTCCGCTGTAGCACAGAACAGCAGTGGGAGTGAGGTTAGGGGAAGTGTTGTAAGGGGAAGAAGAAGGATGAGAGATCTCTACCCTGATTGTAGAGATCTTGTCAGTGAATTGAGTTGCAAAGTCTGAGGCAGTCAAGTTAGTAGGTGGGGGAGGAACAATAGGGCGAAGAAGAGTTAAATGTGTGAAATAGTCATTTCGGTTCGATTTGTGAAGCCGAGATCAAGAGTGTTTCCGGCTGTATGGGTTGCTAAATTGAACCAACTGCGTAAGGCCAAAGGAGGAGGTTACAGAGGGCAGACGAGAGGCATCAGTGCAGTTAGGGTTGTTGATTGGGATATTGAAATCCCCAAGTATAGGGAAGGAGTGCTAGATGAGAGGAAGTGGGGAAGCCATTCTTAAAGGAGTGGGTTTAAATAGGCGGACAGTGTGAACTTCAAAAATAGAAAATGGATAGGGCAGTGGGAGTTATGATTGGTTGAAATTCAACTGTTAGCAGATTTTTTTCATCCCCCCATGACTCCTCTCCTGCAACTCTTAAAAAAAACAAAAAACATACTAAGTCCACAGTAAATACTTTTCTAGCAACCTACTTTGTTACCCCTACTTCTACCCTTCGTGTCACTATACCCCACTCATTCTAGCATGTAAGCTCATCGAATAGGGCCCTCAGCCCCTCTTACCTGTGCGTCCTCTTACAATTACATGTCTGTCCACCTATTGTACAGCGCTATGGAATTTGCTGGCGCTATATAAATAATAATATATGGAGCTCTGAATGTTGCCTACTCCTTAATTTTAGCTGATAACACATAATTAAATATATATACATATATACACACACACACATACACACCATATACTTTGTTTACACAAACTGAATTATACACTTAGTGCAGCCACTAAAGAAAAGACATGTTACTCTGAGTTTTACTGCTGCAGAGCGCGCTGTATGTTAATTCCAGGAAAAGGTAGCACTGGGCCAGGAAAGTGGGAAGGATAGAGTGATTTGGGCCCCAAAGAGAGACTATCCCTCAAAAATAACAAAGCTTGATCTCTAGTTGAGTGATAATTTTTCCACCAAAAATAAACATTTCTTTGCATGCAATAAGTTAAACTTAAAATAGCATGATAGTGATTGTATAGTGAACCTTACATTAATCAGTACTTGAGGTACCACATCAACAAGGATGGTAAATTTAGAAGCAGTTAAGGCCTCATGAGTGAGAGATTCCATGCATTCCTGAGAGCAGCATTGCGGAGACCATCTTAAACCAAGCAGAGCTGGTAAACAAGCCCCCTCCATCTTGCAGAGCGTGTCTGGGGATAGGAGCCCCCTCAAGGAAATCAGGATGCTTCAGTTTATTTCAGAAGAACCCAACTTGGTCGTAAGAATACTATCTACACGCTACATAGAGATTAAAGCACATATGGCATGCATGGGGAAGCAGATCATATCGCAGTGCGATAACTTGTTTATCTTTTATCCAAAGCCTTACTGGCTGAAGCAATGGGCTGCAGGAGAGGGACAGCAGATAAAATGAAATATGATCGGTCATGTCTATGATATCCTTTATATGTTTGTTTTTTTGTACTTTTATTATTTAGTTTATTTGCTTAAAGGAACACGCTTCATTAGGATGAAGTTGTTATAGTACCTGGAGTGTTCCTTTAAATACATTTTTTTTTTTTTTTTAAGTAGAAAAGTATTTTCTGATCTTTACATCAATCCCAAATATACAAATTGCAGAGAATAATATGTATTATAATATCATGCGTATTACAGTAACATGGTTGCATGTCATCATTGATTGACACATATACTGCTCGCAAGCCAGGTTTACAGTGAATTCTTGAGATATGATACCTAAACTGGAGAAGGTCCCTACCTAATTTGTGCAGCAGGTGAATGCTGCTTTTTAATAACTATCTCTGCTGCATTAATAGGGCAAATAATAAGGTGAATAAACCATATTATTGTAAAATGTGTAAAATTGTAAAATGTGTAAGCAACATAAAAAGTACATCAACCAAAAAGAATTAAAATGAAAATCTATCTTGACTCAGCTTCACTTAAAGAGACACTATAGTCACCAAAACTAGCTTAATGAAGCAGTTTTGTTGTATAGATCATGCCACTGCAGTCTCACTGCTCAGTTCACTGCCATTAAGGAGATAAATTGGCACCCAGACCACTATAGCTCATTGAAAAGTCTGGTTGCAGCATCTCTGTGCCCCTTAAACTGGCAATGTAAATCATTGCAGTTTTTGAGAAACTGCAATAATTACATTGCGAACCAAGACTGGCTCTAGTGGCTGTCAGACAGTTTGGTTAAGCAACATTTGGTCACCTGACGCTGGACGTCCTCATGCTCTGACTTCCAGTTTTACAGGAATCCCAATAGCAGAGCAATGAATAATGCTTTCCTACGGGGAGGGCCTGATGTGCTCGGCCCCCTCCATCTGATGATGTCGGAGGGGTGAATCGGGTATGTGTTTAAAGTGTTTTACAAAAGTGTTGTATAAATACAACTTTGTATTCCTTAAACTACAGAATCCCTTTCTTTATACAGCACTAGTCACATCTCCCTGCATTTGACTTACACAGACTTCCTAAACACTTCCTGTAAAGAGTCATCTAATGTTGTCACTTCCTTTATTGCAAATTCTGTTTAATTTTGAATTTCTTTTCTTATCTCCTACTCTTTTGTTCATGCACAGCCAGGGAAGGTGTGGCTAGGACTGCATAAACGAAAACAAAAGTGACTTAACTCCTAAATGGCAGTGAATTGAGTAGTGAGACGTCCGAGAAATTATCTATACACACAACTGGTTCATCAAGTTAAAGTTGCTATGGTAACTATAGTGTTCCTTTAAAGATACACTCTAATTCATGGAACAATAAAGGGGAGGCCGTGAGGACCGGTCTGGAACCACTGATCTACACTGATGGTCTCAGCAAAAAAGAGGGGGAGCACAATCATGGAAACAGGTGCTTCGAGGGCTGAAAGATAAGCAATACTCACCTTTCAAACCCTCACACATGGGTTGAGGGCCAAAATAGGTGTCAGGACACTAATGCGTTCAGACTACATATTTGTATTCCTAACACTATAGTGTTACTTTAAATAAAAATAAAGTAGATACTTGCAGCACAACTTGGGGTGATTTCTCCCCTCCCCAGACCAATGAGGTCACCTCTGTAAAAATAGATTAAAGCGGCACTGTCATGACAAACTTTCTTTAATCAATCCCTCTTCGCTCCCTCTGTCAGAATCTGTTCTTCATTTCTTCCTGTCTGCCAGGCCCGGACTGGCCATCGGGCATACCGGGCAAATGCCCGGTGGGCCGCGATGGCCGTGGGGCCGAGGCCGGCAGGGGAGATCACAGGATCTCCCCTGCCAGCCCGTGCAGGGCCAGCGCTACCCGAGCGCCGGCCCCGCTGTGTGCCTCCATGGGCCAGTGGGGAGATCAAAGATCTCCCTTTACCGGCCCAGAGACACTTCCAGGCGGCCGCTTGCTGGGGTTTGAGGGAGGGAGGAGAGGACCGGCGGAGCTCTATCCAGCAGCTCCGCAGGGTCCTCTCGCGGGATTCTGAGCGTTGCCGCGGTTACCGCGGCAACGCTCAGATCTCGCGAGAGTGAACTCTAGCCTACAGGCTAGAGTTCACGCTCACCACTAGGACCACCAGGGATCAGGCAGCATGGCTCTCCCATGGCAGAACGGCTCCCCCCCCCAGGCAAAACGCCCCCCCCCCTCCCAGGCTAAAGGTAAGAAGGGAGGGGGGGGATATAACTTTTTTAAAAATTATTATTATTAATAAAATAAAAAAATAATTTAAATTAAAAAATCACACTCACACACACACATCACCCACAGACACACACAGTACCCCCAGACATACACATCACCCCCAGAAACACACAGCACCCACAGACACACACAGTACCCCCAGACATACACATCACCCCCAGAAACACACAGCACCCCCAGACACACACATCACCCTCAGACACACACATCACCCCCAGACACACATCACCCCCAGACACACACATCACCCCCAGACACACACAGCACCCCCAGACACACAGCACCCCCAGACACACAGCACCCAGACACACACAGCACCCCCAGAGACACACAGCACCCCCAGACACACACAGCACCCCCAGACACACACAGCGCACCCAGACACACACAGCGCACTCAGGCACACAGCACCCTCACTCACACACAGCACCCTCGCTCACACACACACACACACATATATATATATATATATATATTTACAGATATATATATATATATATAATATATAAAATAACCCTCAGTGAGTTAACAGACAAAGAAAATTAGAATGTGACGGCAGATAAAAACACCCTCACACAGCACCCCTCTTACATACACACACACTGCGCCCCTCACACATACAATACGTCCAAATATATATATGTATGTATATATATATATATATATACACACACACACACACACACTACAGCACTACATACATTACGCTCCAGATACACGCTAGATCCCTTACCTTATATGCACTCTTAATCCTCTATACACACACACACACACACACACACACAATCTCCTATACACTCTGGGTCCTTTACACACTAGATCTCCTACACACACACTGCACCACCTACACACACACTACATTCCTTGTCAGCAAACACATACAACATTCTCTAAACACACCCTCTCTACAACCCCTACACACACTAAGTCACCTATACACACACACTACAGCCCATATGCACACACTCGCTACATCCCCTATAACACTATGCCACCTATACACACACTCTCTACAGCCCCTAGCCACACATATTACACCACAAACACATATGAAATTGACCTATTTACACAATACCACACCACACTCTACACACACGCAATCCCACAAACAGGCTCCAAACACATGCACCATACACTTTCCTGGCCCTTTTGTCCTCTGGTATCCCACTTGTTGAGACACCAGAGACAATTTAAAAGCAAACACAGCGCAAGCATGTTATTAAATTTGCTTGCGCTGCGCAGAACAAATACAGGGCCTTTTTCTAATGCCAGAGCTCTTCAGCGCAGCTCTGGGCATTGAACCAACATGCTCACTTTGAGAGGAGGCGTGCTTGTCATTAGTGATGACAAAACACACCCTCTCTGGCCCCGCCCCCTTCTTAGGGGGCCGCTCTGATTGAAAAATGCCCGGGCCTAATTTTTTCCCCAGTCCGGCCCTGCTGTCTGCTCTAGTTTTCTTTAAAACATAATACAAAGTAGGGACTATTTTGTTTTATGTATTTTTTTCTACGCTTGACCAGCGGAGGAGCAGAGTGTGCTCCATTTCCTGTGTTCCGAAAAATGTTCCCACAATTCTCACCTTTCCTCCGTGATCTTGCGATGCCTCCTTTCACTATTCCAGAGCGTTCTGTCATTAAGACTGAACGCCAGTGAAACTACTGAATTTCGTCCTAACAGAATGAGATTAGTTTGTTCATTCATGTTAAGACTGCATTCGGTACTTTTAGGTCGGTTCGAAATTTCATTAGAATTAATGAAATTCCGATCCGATTCTTGCAGCTGCTTAGTAGATAGAGATTACCTAGTATTAGTGATTAATTTGCTCCTACTAGCTATGACGCATGTCTACTAAACAGTTGCTGCTCACTGTTGTAAACCCCCCCCCCCCCAATGGTGGGGCATCTATTAACTAGCTGGGGGGGAGCATTGTGTCCCCCCCGAGCCCTGCGAGTGGGGGTGTAACGGAGCTCCCTGTACTCCGACCGAGTACCCTCCGTTGATGGATGCTCCTAGCGCTTCCTGAGGACTCCAAACACTGCAGCCGACACCACAACCACCGCAGACTCCACAACCGCCGTAGCTTAACTGGAGTCTCGCCGTCTTCCTTCCACCCTGGATCAGCTTCTGTCCTCCAGGACCGTGTGGGGAAGACCTCTCCTCCAGGAGAGCGTAACAGGAACAGCTCTTAAAAGAGCTAAGTGATTAAAAGCTCAGGGGAGTATGCAGAGCATAGCAATCCCCAGTGTGATATAGCAGTTCCCTCCAATAACGAGACAAGGCTACGTATTGAGGGTCAAGAAGATCTGATGTTTAATGGAACACACTCTGCTTTTATGAGATTCTGCCCATGCAAGGGAGACACCCACATAATTAGCAGTATAACCAATCGGAACAATATACATTCGGGGAAATTCCCATCCCTCAGATAATCACATAACATAATTAAAACAGAACAGTAAAAATACAGTTTTTATACATGTACTATAACTTCCAAACTACACATCCAATCTTCATAAAAATTACATATTTGGAATCAATCCATTAAGGGGAGCAACATATTAAAAAATGGCACAAATCAGACAAGGGGTTCAAAAGTTAGCAAAAGTGTCTTTTGGGGCCTGGCTGGCAGCATGGTTTTCTGGCCCAAACCGGTTTTACAGAGGCCTCTATCCTGGACAATGGGGAAAGTAATCCAATTATCCAGGGATAGAGGCAGACTCCATTAACCACATGTTAGCAAAAGACACAAAAAGACACAAAAATACATAACTCCTATTGAACTGAACAGAACCCCCACATTCAACCTATCCCCAGATGGCTTGGATCTGAGCGCTCAATATATCCAAACAGCGCTCAGATCCCACAAATACAGTCAAATCGCCATACACACTAGGTCCATAGTCATGGGGCAGAAGGCTGGCAATTAGGCTTCTCCATAACACAGGGAAGCAGGGCAATTAGTCAAATAAAATAACAGTTACAAATGGCAGTTTGTAACAGGGGGCTATTCAAATAAACGGGGACAGACCCCCAACCCTCACCCATGAGCAGTGGGTAGGGGTCCTAAATGAAAATGGATGGGGAGGGGGGACACACACCTATTGTCCTCCCCCCTGGCCCCCACCCATAAATGACGGGTGGGGACCCTAAAGGAAAATGGGGGGGGTGGGAGTCTATTGTATTCCCCTCTGGCCCCCACCCATGAGCGGCGGGTGGGGGCCCTAAATAAAAATGGGGGGACCTATTGTCCTCGTCCCCCGGCCTCCACCCATGGGCAACGGGTGAGGGCTAAATTGATATAAAAAAATAAAAAATACTTACCATTTGATGTCTTCTTTTTTCTAAAACCTTCCTTTTTCAGCCCCAAAAAAGGCCAAATAAAAATCCATAATACCCGTCGAACTTACAAAATAAAAAAAAATCTTCACCCAGCGAGGACACGGCGCAGACTGAGCTCCGCAGGGCGGGGAAAGGCTTATAAAGTCCTCTGAGTCATTTTACACAGCGTGGGAAAGTTCTTTGGCATTTTATGAGTGGTTGGATTCCTGGCCAATCAAAGTGCTGTGACAGGGAAATGTAGAGACTTAAGGTTTTAGAAAAAAGAAGACATCAAATGGTAAGTATTGTTCATTTATTTACATGTATTTAGTTTAATTGTCTCCACCCTCACTATTTTTAGGGTGAGGGGGGTAGGTAGGGCTTATTTAATTTTTGGGGGTGGGTGGGGTGGTGACTAGAGGCTTGGGGACCCCTAGTCACCATTGGGGGATTATTTTTACATTTAGCCCCCACAGGTGGGAGAAGACAATAGATATGTCGTCGTCCCCCCAATTAAAAAAAACTGGATATGGCCATGGCAGTGCCACTTTAAAGATGACGGCATGACTAGTTTGGCAGAGAAGCAAAATTTGATATTTAAAATTGCGTCAAGTTTGAAACATTTTAGATTATTAATTTCCATCAGTGTTTTTTTCTTTGGCATTAGTTTATACATTAGTTTGTATAACATTAAAACTAGAGAATTTTACCCATTTCAAATTAAATAGCTGAATTAAACAGGTAAATAGACAGTAACTATAGGAAGTAACTATACATAGCTGTGCAGAAGAGAACCTATGTAAACTTATTTATATATAACAGTTTAGACATAGTTCGAAGGCACACACAAATTCAGCAGAAGATGGCAGAATAATGAAAACATTATATAATGAAAATAATAAAGCAGTAATAAAATAGATTATAGGAAATGCCTATAGGCACCAGACCTAGTTTAAATTAATATTTTTTTTTGTGAATATATTTTTATTTGACTTTTTAAAATTTTTCATAAAGTGAACCAACAGTGTGGACACGCAGGTCCAATCATTTACAATTTCCTTTGTTTTTCTGGGGATACGGTGTTACCTTGTATACTGTAGTGGCATACAAGTCACTTTAGGGCTTTTGTGGTTCTTTTTCAGTGGACTCTCAGGTTCTTTCGTATATACAATAAGACAGGCATAGCTCTATAGTTCCCAGTATGTTTACCATGTCTGGTTCTAGTAGTCTTAATGGGAGTCTTCGTTGGTGTCTTGTGTGCTAAGTGTAAGTGTCGTTTACTGTGGGGGGGCGGGGGGAGAGAGAGGTGGTGTGGTCTCCCTTCTGAGGTCTGCCGGCAGTGATAACTGTATTTAACGGTCTATGTCTTGTGATCGGTTATCGTTGTCTGCCTGCCTCTTGTATGTGGTAGCCTTCTCTGCGGCCAAGGGGGGTTACCTACCAGGTGTCCCTTTCCTCTCTATTGCTGGTGTGTTTACATTTCCCTCTTTTCCCCTCATCTGTATCCTCGTAATTTATGTTCCTTATGTTCTGTGCTCGAGCCTGCCTATCTGTGGTGTCTCGTCATCTACTCTTATCTTATGCGCGTCGCTGCTCTCCGGCCCACGGGGGAGGTGGGGAGAGATGGGGGGGGGGGGGTTCTGTTTCCTATCCTGTCCGTCTATGGTCTTGTCCGTGCCGTCAAGGTTGGCGTAGCATGTCTTGGAAGTCCGGGCGCTCAGTAGCCAGGATCCAGTGTGTCCATATCGTCAGGTATGTCTGTGCCTTCTCCTCTGCCATTAGGGAGAGCTCCTCTAGTGCTCTGAGTTCCTCCATGCGTTGGTACCATGTTCCCAGTGGTGATGCGGATTGTTTTTTCCAGTAGATAGGGATGAGGCCTTTAGCCACATTAAATATTCTAAGTGTGAGGGATGTTTTGTATATTGATGCCCTTGTCGTGGTGTGGTGGATGAGGAATGTTGCAGGGTCCTTTGGTGGTGGGGTGTCAGTGAACCTCTTGATGATTTTATATATGGTCTCCCAGTATGGTCGAATGAGTGGGCATTCCCACCATATGTGGAGGTAGGTGCCTGTGTGTCTTGTGCATCTCCAGCATGTGTCATCAGTCGTGGGGTTATATATATGTGTTTGATATGGGGTGCAGTACCAGCGTTCTAATATTTTGTAGGCCGTTTCCTGCGTCCCGCTTGACGGTGTGCAGTGTAGTGTGAGAGTACATATCTTGTCCCATTGGTCAGGTGTGAAGGTTGTGTCCAGGGCTACTTCCCATTTCCCCATGAAGCTTGGGTGCGGTGCGGTTGTCTCCGCATCCGCATGAGCATGCCATAGAGCGTGGAGAGTCCTTTTGCTAGGGGATCTGGGTTCATACAAGTTTCTTCGAATGGTGTTAGTGGTCTGGTGGTGTTGTGTGTTTGGAGTATTGTTTGTGTGAACTCTTTCAGTTGTCGGTACCTAAACTGAGAGGGGGCAACCCGGTCTAGTCCCATTCTTTATCGGGAAGGGGTCGGTGAAGGCTCCGTTTATGCAGACTTGTGCAGTCGGTCGTGAGTACAGCGCTTTGATCCAGGCTAGCATAAATGGTCCCATCCCTAGCTCTTCAAGTACATGGAACATAAAGTCCCAGGATATCCTATCGAAGGCCTTCTCTGCATCTGTAGAGAGCAAGAGAAGGCCCTCTTTGCCGGTTATTGCGGTGTGGATTAGGGCTAGTGCCCTGATCGTGTTATCCCTCGCCTCTCGTTGTGGGGTGAATCCCACTTGATCCCCGTGTATCAAGTCTGGGAGAAAGGTCTGTAGCCTCTGCGAGAGTATCTTGGTGAAGAGTTTCAGATCGCAATTTAGCAGCGATATTGTCCGGTAGTTTATGCATAGTTCAGGGTTCTTCCCCTCTTTGGGAATTAAGGCAATGTTCGCCTCTAGGGTTTGTGTCGGGATCTGTGTCCCTTCATGGATCGCATTGAGCGCTGCCAGGAGGCGTGGGATGAGGAGCTCCGCGTATGTTTTGTAGTAACTTATTGAGAGGCCATCTGGTCCCGGGCTCTTGCCCGGTTTGGCCGTTTTAAGGGGCCCATGCCACTTCCTGTGTTGTGATTGGTTCGTCTAGTTCTGTGCTTGCCTCTTGTGTGAGGCGTTTGCCCATGCGTGATTCTAGATATTGTGTTATGTGTGTTTTTTTTGTCTGCTGTCCATTCTGTGTGTTTCCAGTGTGTATAGGTCATAGTATGTTCGTATGGCGTCTGCCATGTCCCTTGGCATGCACTGAATCTTCCCCGTTTTGTCTCTGATTTTTGGGATGTATGCTGATGCTCTCTTTTTGGCTATCATGCGGGCGAGGAGGACACCACATTTGTTAGCGTTAGTATAGAAAAATGCCTTGGTGTGTAAGCAGGCCCTGTGGTAGTTGGCGTTAAGAATAGAGGAAAGTTCCCTGCGGAGTGCCGTCAGTTGCGCCCAGTCTGCTGGGAGGTGGGTCTGTTTGTGTTTGTTTTCTAATGTCTATATTTCGGTCATTAGGGTTTTGAGTCTGGCGGCTTTTTTGAGGGCTGCTCCTTTAACAATGAAGTGTCCCGTCATCACACTTTTGTGAGCTTCCCATAGGCAGAAGTGCGTGACGTCAGGTGTGTCGTTTTCTGTGAAATATTGCGCAAGTCTTTCTTTGGCCTCTGTAGTCACGACTGGGTCATTAAGGAGGGAGTCGTTGAGTCTCCAGTTGTTGCATGTGGGTCTGAATAGCGGGGAGGTCAGTGACATCGAGACAGGGGCGTGGTCAGACCAGGTAGCCGTGCCTATAGTAGTCCGTCAGATTTCGGTCAGGAGGTAATGTGGCATGAGAAAATAGTCTATCCTTCAATATGTCTCGTTGGGAGCAGAGTAAAAGGTGTAATCTCGGTCTACTGGGTGTGTCGCCCTCCAGCAGTCTACTAGTCGTTTTTCATGTAGGGTCTTATCTATGTCCGTCAGGATGTGTTGGGGCAATGTTGAGGTTCCCGTTGACGTGTCTATATTCGGCCTCAGGGCCACGTTCAGGTCGCCCCCTATGATCAGGCAGCCCTCGGCGAACCCCTCTATGGTCCTGGTTGCTGATAGCAAGAAATGGTGTTGGGACCTATTGGGGGCATAAAGGCACGCAAATGTGTATGGTTGGTCAGCTATTGTTCCTTTGACACAGATGTACCGTCCCTGTTTGTCACTTAGTACGTCGGTGGGGGCAAAGTGTAGCGACTTGTGAATCAGTATTGCTGTTCCTTTGGTTTTCCCTTCTGGATTATTACTAAGAAAGCACTGAGTGTATCGTCCGTCTGTGAGCTTTGGGGTCTGACCCTCCTTAAAGCGGGTTTCTTGTTTCTTGGACTAACACTATGTGTGCCCTCTGACTGTGGAAATGGCGTAGCGCGTTGGAGCGCTTTTCTGGTATGTTCAGTACTTTAGCATTAATGGTAAGGAGGTTGATCTCCGCTTGTTTGTGTGTGGTCGGTGCAGGCATAGTAAGGGTGCGGCTGGGTTGTTGGCTCTTTGGAAGGGGGGGGGAGGGTGGGATACTTGGGGTTGGTGGTGGGTGTTTGCATGCGTCTTAGGCGCTGTTATGCGGGTATGGGATTTTTCCCCCCCGCCTCCGGGGACCCCACGGGCGAGAGCAACGCGCTGTGAAAAGTAAATTCAACAGTAACAGTTAACTGTAATTCAAACTATGTAACCAAGTAAGGCAAAGGTGTGAGTAAGGCAGGAGTCGGCCCGGCCGTACCAGTCGGCCCAGTCGAGTCCCCCTGCCGCAAACTTTACACCCTTGTCCAGTGGGAACGTGGCCTATCTCCTTGTCGTCCCTAAGGGTTGGTCCCTTTCTCTCAGTCGGGGTCTAAAGGACGGTGTGACACTTAAGTGTGTACTTCTAGTGGGCGGTGTGTGGGAAACCTTTTCCTATCTAGGGTCACCTGTGTCCTCCGCCCCCTCCCGCTCAGTAGTTTGTCTAGCCAGCATCAGTTGGTTTTTCAGTTGGGAGACCCGAACCTCAGTCGTTGTAGCGTGCCCTGGGCATCATTCTGGGCCTGTGTGGTTTGCGTGGTCTGGTCTTTATTTTTTGCTTTTTCTACCCCTCCGTTCCTGAGGGGTGGGTGGGGGCCATAAATAAATATTGGGGGGACCTAATGACCTCCCCCCGGCCCCCACCTCTGCTCGGCGTGTGGGGGACCTAAATAACAATAAGGGGGAGGTACCTAATGTCCTCCCCCTCCTGGCCTCCACCCCTGAGCGATGGGTGGGGGTCATAAATAAAAATGGGGGTTCTTTTATGGCCCCCACCCACCGCGCAGGGGTGGGGGCCAGGGGGGAGGACAGTAGGTCCCCCCCTCCACATCCTTATTTAGGGCCCCCTCCCGTCGCACTGGGGTGGGTACAATAGGTTGTTTTTTTACAGTGAGCAGCCACTGGCTGCTCACTGTTTACTAGACACGCCCCTACTCGCGGTATAGCGAGTAGGGGCTGAATTTACTAATACTAAGTAATCTTTACTTAGTATTAGTAAATGTGGCTGAAAGACCAATTTAGGTGACCAATTTAGGTCTTTCAGCATTTTGGTAGATAGCTCCCTAATACTGTGTGAATTAGGGAGTTATCTACTAAGCGACTGCTTATTTTATTTTTAAGTTACTTCCCTATCCACATTTGTTTGCAGGGCACTTGTCCTACTCTTACCCCCATTTTACTTCCTTTTCCAGCCCTCTAGCCCTTTCCAGGAGTTTTTTAGAGCCATTTTTGTGGCCAAAAGTTCGGGTCCCCATTGACTTCAATGGGGTTCGGGGTCAAGTTCGAGACCGAACCCGGACTTTTTTTCAAAGTTCGGCCGAACCCACCGGACCCGAACATCCAGGTTTCCACTCAACTCTACTGAAGAGCATTCCAGGTACAAGTTTTACTCACACAGAAAATGTAAATAATGCTAGCATATACGCAAATGTAGAAGCATAGACATGCACATACCTTACAGTTTTCAAGTTTTAACTCCATCATCAAAATCAGATTGGAGCACTCCAGGATTCTACAGTACCAGGAAAAGGGGTTTGTCTTCCCTGGCACTAGTGAATCCCTTTAAATTAAAGGTTTTGAGATTGGATGTTCCGATTCCTAAACAACAATGTAGTGCAGGCTTCGAAATGAAGTAATGCTGTGTTACTCTATTGAAATGATTTACAGGTTTATTTACTAGAGTGAGAATGCAAAGTGTATTCACAGAGAATTTCAAATTAAAGCAGCACTGTCATGCCTAACTTACCTTTCTTTAATCGATTCATCTTCTCTTCTTCTCTCAGGATCTGTTCTTCATTTTTTCCTGTCTGCTCTAGTTTTCTTTAAAACACAAGACAAAGTATGCAGGTTTCCTACGCTTGACCAGCGGAGGAGCAAAGTGTGCTATTAAGTTATCTACTAAGCGGCTGCAAGATGCAGCCGTAGCACGAATAGGATCATTCACGCAAATTTCGATCCAAACAAAGTCTCGAATTGCGTCCTAACATGAATGAACAAAATGTTCTCATTCTGTTAGGACGAAATTCGGTAGTTTCACCGGCGTTCTGTCTAAGTGACAGGACGTTCGGGAATACTGACAGGAAGCATCGCGAGATCACGGATCAAAGGTGAGAATTGTGGGAAGATTGCTCTGACCACCGGAAATGAAGCAAACTTTGCTCCTCCGTTGGTCAAAGCCGGTCAAGCGTAGGAAACCTCCATAAGACAAAGTAGTCCCTACTTTGTTTTATGCTTTAAAGAAAACTAGAGCAGACAGAAAGAAATGAGGAAAAGATCCTGACAGAGGGAGAGAAGAGGAATCGATTAAAGAAAGGTAAGTTCGGCATGACAGTGCCGCTTTAAAGATCAAAATAGCCAAACTGGATGAAGTCTCTACTATGGTTTCAGTTGAGTTACTCTGGCCTTAAATTTGGAATTCACTTTGAATTCTCACTTTAGTGAATGACCCTGGCTGTCAAATAACGTTTCGAACTTGCTATGGATCTTCAAACGTATGTCAAACCATTTGACTTAAAAAAAAATTTAAATTTAGAATGACAAAACACTTAGGGAGAAACACTGTATACTTGGAAACAAAACAAACATAAATGCAAGCAAACACACAATTAGTGTGAGGTTAAACTATTTCAATTCACATAATTGTAATAATAGTAATTTCAGAGGAAAATAAAATCTTTGCTAAATCGAGGGGTGGGAGCTATACCTAGGCTGTTCTTGTTGCTTGCTGTTATTGTGTATACTTTGCACAGTGTGTTTTACATGTGATCGGTGGATTGTTATAATGTGAACAGCAGCACAAAGCTTGAGAACTATTTACGACAAGGCTGCTCTCCAGTTGCAGGTTTATTGCAGAAATAAGAGAACATACACTGCGGGATAAATCCAGCAGGAAAATCCATTTGACACCATACACATTTACTGAAAGGAGGCTAAATTAGCTTCAAATACATTTTACTTCACCAATCTCAAAAGTGTTATTAATATTTTGTCCGTATTCGAGTGGTTTATATTTTATATCGGATAGTGGTTTCGGGGTCCGATAAACACATCTCTCTATCCATCACATAGATTTGCCAGTTACTCGCTGCTATACATCCCTTTAATAAAACTGGAAAACACAGTGGAGTGTGTTAAAGCTATAAAAATTATTTTAAAGATGTAAAATAATCAGCCTATAGGTATGTGGCGAACATCATGTTAACAGCCTTAAAGGGAGACTGTAGGCACACAGACCACTTATTGAAGTGGTCTGGGTGCAGTGTACCTTTTACACCTTTTCCAGAGATACTGCAATGTTTACATTGCAGCACTAAGTCAGCCTCTAGTGCCTGTCTACCAGCGTCAGATTTCCCCCCATAAGAAAGCATTGATTCATGCGCATTGGCGCCTGCTTGACGCGGGGCGGAGCGTCGACCCAGCGCAGAGGTAAAGTAAATAAAGGATTTTTAACATTTTATTTACTCGGTTGTGGGGAGCTCGAGGGAACAATCGTGCCAGGAATACAGTTTTGTATAGTATCCCTTTAATGATAAGATGAACAGACAGACAAATATCCAAATAGTTAAAGAATTGTAACAGAAGGGTTAATAAGCAAGTGTGTGCTCAGCAGTATTATTATTTTGTAACAAAACTTTCAATATTTGTAGCGAAGGTTTTCAAGGCCAGCAGGTGTGAAGAATTACCCTCCTCCCAAATTAGAAGTCTACTTTCCTGTTAGGCGAATAGGCAAAGAACAATGTATGCTAAACCTGCCATGATAAAATTATTTTCTGGGGTTTTGTGTGCTTTTTTCATTTTCTTTCACGGATATAATGTATATATTCAAGATCTTAATGTGTGAGCTCTCAGAATCAGTTTTGACTGCTTCTATTCTACTGCAATAAAGATGTGATCCTATATTTTCACTATTCCAGCTTCGGACTGGCTCATTGGAAAAGGCTTTTTAGAGGGTATTGGCAATAAGGCTAAGAGATATGAGTGATGTCTGAACTTGCTAAAGCGATGTTGCTGTAATAATTTGGTCGTAATAAGGCATCACATTCGTGAACCTCCGTACCGTCTTTGAGCATTTCTTGTTATTTCTTATATTCTGGGTTGCTGGGTGAATTTATCACTCAATTTAACCCCTTAAGGACACATGACATGTGTGACATGTCATGATTCCCTTTTACTCCAGACGTTTGGTCCTTAAGGGGTTAAAATATAGCGAGGTGTTATGTACAATAAAGTGGGTGTTTTAAAATAAATAAATAGTGCTAACTTGGAAAAAGGACAGGATCACCAACGCAATATTCCCGCTGGTTCCACAATACATTTTATATATAACCCCCATTGTTTTTAAAGTTAGATATGCTCTCTGTCATTTTAGATTCAGGACCCCTATAGTTTAAGATGATAAGTATTATAATATAACAATCCAGCGTTCTCATTCACCTGGTGTCATCATGCTGTGAGTGGCGATAGCAAAAGTGACGACCTTCAAGAACAGATAGACTTCAATGAGGAAGCACATCTAGTGGCACTAAAGGTGTGGTTTTGGACAAATGTTTAACATTGTCCAAAACAAAAAGGGAGCATGGTCTATGCACCAAAACTACTACATTAAGATGTTTTAGTCCTTACAGTGTCCCTTTAATTATTTAGAAAGGATATTATGCAATCAAATAAAAAGTGCATGTGACAAACATGTTTGCAACAAACTCCTGGAGGAGTGTGGAAGCTAACCTCCTGCCCACAGACTATGGTCCAGGTTGGTGACTCCGTTCGGGTGTTACCCTGCCCAGCCACCATTAGCAGCTTTCCCTCTGTGCCCCTGGTTCGGCACCTTCCCTTCTCTGGAACTGAACCGAACGCTGGCTCCCTGGTGGCCGTTCGCATGAATAAACCCACAAACAGTCCTCAGCGGTACTTAGTCACGACAGCTATGGGGCACTGATTCAATGCATCTCTATGAGAGATGTTGATTGGCCAGGACGGGGTTTGGCTCTGCCAGCAGCCTGCCTGCTTGGCTGAGATCATCAGAATTGACAATCTCAGTCAATCTAATGGTTTCCTATAGAAAAGCATTGTGATTGGTTGAGATCATCACTTCTGATGATATCAGCCAAGGAGGCAGGTCAGGGGCAGAGCAAGCATCAGCAGACTGTAATAAAGGTAAGATTTTACTATGTAGGAGAGCAAGGGGGAGGCTAGATAGTGTTTTTAACATTGTAGGGTCAGGAATTCATGGGTGTTTTCCTGACCTTATAGTGTTCCTTTAAGGATACTGTCCCAACCTCCAGATTTTGATGACCTGGTGTTCCCAGGCAGCACAACGCTTTTTTAGTTTTCCTCCCCATTGATTTGTGAACAAAATGGAGAGAAAATGCTCCTATCAGAGTAATATTTATATGTTGCAGTACATTAATTGTCCCATTTTAAAGCCCTTTTGGTTTGTCCAAACTGCTTTTTTAATATTTATCATCTGCCAACCCGCCAGAAAGACGACTATCCAAAAAAAACCAACTTTTGGAACAAAGTGACTTGGCTGAACCAAATTTTTACGCTGCAGACATGTCTAATTAATACCAATGTTTATGTGGCCTGAAAGCCCACATAGGAATCAATGCTTTCAAACCACATGAACAAATTTACTTACCGTCAGTGCAGTGGAAGCGCTTAGCTGTCAGTAGTGGTGGATTTAACCTTGCAATTTCACTAAAATGGCAGTGTTTTACATTGCAGGGTTAAAAGGGACAGGGACACTGCACCCAGAACAACTTACTGGAGACAAAGTGGATTTATCTTTTTAAATAGTTTGGATTTTATTCAAGTGGCATGGAGTTCGGCTAAAATCCGGGCCCAATAGCGTGAATAATGTCTGGATTTTGCAGCACGAATGGCCCTGAATGTAGCCGAATGGTTTTGCCATATTTGGTATGAGGCCATTCATACTTTAGTGAATAACCAGAGACTGGGGGAAGGTAGAGAGTGAAATAATCAGGGTAATTCAGAAAACTGCAAAACTGAGGCAAAAATAACCATATTGTGACTATAGCATAGTTGGAGAATTCTTTCATGATGAAAACATAGATTGGGCTACCACTTTAGTTTCTTGAACAAGTAGATTATTTTAAATAAATGCCACAGCCCTGATCCACTACTAGAGAAATAGAGTGCTTGACTGAAGTGCTTTATGAGGGATATCCTATTGTAACCCCAGTTTTTATGAGAAATCAGCACATTTATAATTAGATTTTGGAACCAGGGAGATTTGCTTCCTCCTTCGTTAGCTCCCCATAGCTTATGAAAGTGGCAGGCGAGCTCTACATGAGCACTGCCAGCGAGCACATATTTCAGATTTAAGCCAGTTTGCATCCCATGTCCATTCAGTCATTCCCTTGCAACATCCAAACATTGACAAATACCGTGAACAATGTCCAAATGTTTTCCTACAAATGTCTCTGATTTTTGCCAGAATATTTTTGCAATACGGGATAAGGAACATTCAAAGTTACATGAATAACCTTTTCATATATATGTATCACAGGTCAGGAATCACTTGAAAGCCACTACTTCATATTGTGCGTATAATACTTACTTTAAACCCCCATTAACTACTATATCAAGTGCAAAATAAAAGTATTTGCAATATTTAAATAAAATTCCTAATTTACTACTACCTACTAGCCACAATCTGCAATTTTTCTCAGGAGCAAGCATTTACTCTGGGCCATTAAAGGAGCACTATAGTGCCAGAAAAACAAAATTGTTTTCCTGGCACTATAGGGTTATTTGGTCCACTCAGCGGTGTACATACTGCGGTCGCAGGGGTCGCAACTGCGACCGGGCCCGGCACTCCAGGGGGCCCGGCCGCACTGGACACCCATGCGGCCGGGTACCAGCTGCCAAGTTGTGCGGCCCCAGCCCGTGCGGCAAACCACCGGGGCCTATGGAGGGGTCCATCGGGTGGCCCATGCTGTCAGGGACACCCGATGGATATGGATTGTAAGGGGGCCCGGTCAGCGCTGGGCTCTTTAACAGCACGACCGGGCCTCCTGTGATTACATCATCGCTGGGAGGAAGTGATTCCCCGGTCACTCCTCCCAGCTATCAGCCCGCGCGGGAGGAAGGAGGAGGGAGTCAGAGTGGGAACTCTGACTCCCATCAGACTGAGCCCCCACTGGACCCCAGGGAAAGTCACAAGGTAGGAAACATTTTCTATATGTGTGTGTGTCTGTGTGTCTGTGTCTCTTTGTGTGTGTCTATGTACGTGTGTGTCTGTATGTATCTGTGTGTCTCTCTGTATGTATTTGTCTGTGTCTCTGTATGTACGTGTCTGTGTCTCTGTATGTACGTGTGTCTGTGTCTCTGTGCGTGTCTATGTATGTGTGTGTGTCTGTGTCTCTGTATGCGTATCTCTGTGTGTGTGTGTGTGTGTCTCTGTATGTGTATGTCTGTGTCTCTGTATGTGTGAGTCTGTATGTATTTCTGTGTCTCTCTGTATACAGTGGCGTACACACAATCTATGGGGCCCTGTATGTATGTGTGTGTGTCTATGTATGTGTGTCTGTGCCTCTGTATGTATGTATGTGTCTCTGTATGCAGTGGCATTCACACAATCCATGGGGCCCCGTATGTATGTGTCTGTGTCTCTGTATGTGTATGTGTCTGTCTCTGTATGTGTCTGTGTGTGTGTGTATGCAAGGCGTGGGAAGCTCAATCTGTACCGTGCCATCCATGGGTGAAGATGGATTTTTTTTTTCCCCGCCTTATTATTATTTAAGACCCCCACCCGCCGCTCAGGGGGGAGGACAATAGGTTCCTCCCTATTGTTATTTTGGGCCCCCATCCACCGCTCAGGGGTAAGGGCCGCGGGGGGAGGAAAATAGGCCCCCCTTATTATTTAGGGCCCCACCCACTGCTTAGGGGTGGGGCCCGGGAAGGACAATAGGTCCCACCACCCATGGGTGGGGGCCAAGGGGGACCCTATGTCCCCAGTTTACTTTAAAGGGACACTATAGTCACCCAGACCACTTCAGCTCAATGAAGTGGTCTGGGTGCCAGGTCCCTCAGGTTTTAACCCTTCAGATGTAAACATAGCAGTTTCAGAGAAACTCGCGGGGGCACAGGTGAGGGCTCGGGGGACACACAATGTTGTCCCCCGCAGGGTAGTTAAGAGATGCCCCACCATGGGGCCATTTATTGAGGGGGAGGGAGGGGTTATTTTAATTCTGTTAGGACACAATTCGGTAGTGTCGCCAGCATTCTAAGTGAAAAGAAGCTCGGGAATACTGACAGGAAGCATTGCGATATCACAGATCAAAGGTGAGAATTGTGGGAAAGTTCCACTAACCGCCGGAAATGAAGCACACTTTGCTCCTCTGCTGGTCATAGCTGGTCAGTCGTAGGAAACCTCCATAAGACAAAGTAGTTTTTTTAAAAGAAAACTAGAGAAGACAGGAAGAAATGAAGAACAGATCCTGGAAGAGGGAGAGAAGAGGAATCAATTGGGGAAAGGTAAGATCGGCATGACAGTGCCCCTTTAATGCACAGTCATACTGTGTTATGCAAGTTCACCTGATGGCATTATATTACTTGGCAAAAGAGTAGCCAAAGACTTAAATATATTATCATTGGTGACAAACTGTGCTCTGTTCAATATAAGCCAATGCAAGGCAAGACAACCCTGGCAAGCTGCAGATTCTAGCTGGGAAATACAAAAAGTTGCAATTTAACAGTTGAAGGGCAGCAGGTGGCTACACAGGCTCTACAGCATGAGTGTCCAAAATCAATGAGTACCAACTTATAAACTACAACTCCCATAATGCTTTGACTTGGTATAAAGGAAAACTCTATAACATTATGTGTATCTTAATGAATAATTACTATGTAATAACATAATGCAGATCTAATCCTCACACTGCATAGAATGGCTGCTACAATTATGTATACACCAGTATAAGGTCCTGGTATTCTCTTAGAACTCTGAATAAAAGGGTAGAGAATACAGGCCGAGGCTGCAAGTCCCTGAAAGGAAGCTTTATAATCCTGGCCGTGCAAGGACTGTACCTCCTGCTACAGCAGCTCTGTCACCTGGGCTCGGCAGCTCCATCATATCCTGTCTGGGGCCTCTCTCGGATTTCCAAACACACCCTCCTTCCTACCCCGCCCCGCTCAGACTTCACTTCCCATAGGCTCTGGTTAAGCCCCATGTAATGTAGAATGTTCCAGTACAACAACAGAGTCAGAACACAGAAGTTCAGGGTGCTGCAGGGTGGAAAGGGCATGCAAGAACTTGCCATTCAGTTCAATAAAAAGGGGTAATTCACTAAACCTTGCATTTTAGCAAAATAAGTGAATGATAAAATTGAGTGTGAAATATCAGATTTTGAAAAAAAAAAAAAACATTGTGGTATTTTCCTATTTTAGCGTATTTTATTCACTGTGGCAGTTTGATGGGGTTTTTTTTTTTTTTTAAATTCCAGCCACGCTTGATACATTTGATACTTTCTACAAAGTGTTTGTAAACCCAATAAGCCAATTCTAAAAACTGCTGCACATAGATCTTCAAAATAAAAAGTGAACTGCTGAGGTGGCCCTAAATGAGAAATTAACTATTAATGTATCTTCCGATTAACCCCTGCATTGCCAATATCAGCCTTTCTACAACAATACTAGCCTCTCTTTCTTCCCTTACACCTCATGGTCACTGCATTCCATAAATTACTCATTTCCATGTAGCAATAGTCTTATCACACCCCCTGTGTAATCTTAGCCATTCAGATTTTATTAACTCAAATTTGGAGTTTTCTGACTAACCTTGTAAAAATTCTTAATTCTAGTAAATTAAAACGAAAATCGCAAAATTCAGGCTAAACTGTTGCTTTAGCTGAGTTGGAGAATCTCTCACACCGAGTGTGGCGTCTCCAGGATTCATACTTAGGGGGCAGTTATAAAACGTGTGTGTATATATATATATATATATATATATATACACACACACACACACACAGGGCTTGACAAATTCCAGGTCACCATGGTCACTAGACATTTCGCCCTGGCGCCTGGCATTTCTCAGCCCTTTGCTAAGCCACGCAGGAAACATGAAAGCCGGCTGCCGCGGGGAGCGTGGAGGCGGGACGTGAGGGAGCAGTAACCTTCCTGCAGCTCCTCTCTGCTCCCTTACGCGCTGTTTAATGACATCACATCACTCTATCAAATTTACCTACCCGTGAAAATCCCCTACCCTCGTCACTTCCGGTGCTGCACATGCATGCTAGCACTCCTGCTACTACTCCACAGCAAGGTCCTGGAAGGTAAGTAAAACTAGTTTTACACTTTCATTATAGTTAGTGCATTCACTAAGCTTAGGCACACGGGACATTTAGGGTTAAGTGAGGGTTCAAATTAGGGTTAGGTAAGTGATTTTAACCTCTCACACACTCTATTCTTACCCTTGGGGTAAGGGTTAAAAAAAAGTGTGAAAAAGCACAATTTAGTGATATTCCCCTAATGTGAAATATGACTAAATATGAACAAGTCCCTAATCCTAACCCTAATTTGAACCCTAACATTAACCCTAAATGTCCCATGTCCTAAACTTAGTGAATGCACTAACTATAATGAAAGTGTAAAACTAGTTTTACTTACCTTCCAGGACCTTGCTGTGGAGTAGTAGCAGGAGTGCTAGCACGCATGTGCAGCACAGGATCCAGCTGATTCCCCTCACCAGAAGTGACCAGGGTAGGGGATTTTCACAGGTAGGGAAATTTGATAGAACACCGGCCCTGACATCATTACAGAGAGTGTGCAGATGGGCAAAAAGAAACTGCAGGAAGATTGAGAAGAGACGCACTGGACGCCAAGGAAAGATCCACTCAGCTCTCCCAAAGGCTGGGTGGATTTAAATAAAAATAGCAATTTGTGAGTGTGTGAGAAAATGTGTGTGTGCATCTAGGGGCTGCATTGTGAGTGTATGTGTATTGGGGTTGCACTGTGTGCTTATCAAGGAGCTGTAGTTAATATCTGTGTATATATATATATATATATATATATATATATATATATATATATATGAGATTTGGTGTAATGGGGTGAATCATGTATGTATGTACGTGTGTGGGGGTGGGGGTGAAGTTATGTGAGGAAGAAGTGTGTATGTGGGTGAAGAGATGATGTGTGTGAGGTGTCACAATAAAATCCGTTCAGGTTGAGAATGCTCCCAGGGCCGGATTATCAGGTACAGGGGAGGTCACGAGATGAGAGGTATCTCTCTTGGAGCTCAAGCACTTGCAAAGACTGACCCATACAAACCCAGACTGGCCCATACACACACAGACTGACCCCCCACCCCCGACTGACCAATACACACACACACACAGACTGACCAATACACGCTCTTGCGACTTGTATTTTTGCTCTCCTTAAGCTTAAAGGGTCATCCAGACGTGGACCCTTTGCTCACGGTGCCTAGGGAGATATCAGCTATGCCTCACTGATGATGCCTAACAAGGCTGAAACGATCGTCTGGCGTTGCTGTATCTCTCGTACAGAGAGAGCCGGCATGTATTTTGGATCTGTTCTGCCCTTTTGGGTGGAATCAGTCTGAAATGCATGGTCTGGTTCTCTTTGTAATGGCATAAGATGAACTAAAACCAGCTTGAGAACTGAGCGGGGATCCACCGAAGAGCAGGCTAATTGAGCTGTTGTCCGTCCTCAGCACTCTCTTGCGACTTGTTTTTTTGCTCTTCTTGAATGTTTTTTTGTCTAAGCAGCAACTTGTATTAAAATGAAAACCAAATTGCAGAATGTAGGATAAAATACCCAAACTGCGGCTTTAGAGGCTTTTTCCAAATTAGCCATTTCACTAACGGGAAAAAATGAGGTAAGATTAGCCAAGCTGTGACTATTGCTGAGTTGTAGAATTTTTACAGATAAGCTATTTTTTCTGATTTCCTCCTGATTTCCATTCAGATTTAATCCTCAAAAATTTGGAATTTAGTGAAAAGCCCTGTAAATTTTGCTATATGGCTTTAAAATCCCCCAAATTTGCTATTTAGTGAATAAATCCCTAACTATCTTTAGCAGCTTTTAATTTAGCAGATATACTAGACACATCTCTCTGTTTATTTCTGATAATGTTACAGTGCAAATCCCAAATAAAATCCAACTGAAAATTCTGGCCTGTGCATTGGAGAAACTGAGCAGTTGCAGAACAAGGTAAAAAAGCAATAGCGAGAAGTGAAGTGACCATCCAGCTATATATGTATTTATTATTACTTTTAGTATTAGTTTGGCTTTAGTGCACCAGAATACCAAGCTATGATTTTTCAACTTCCATGGCTATAGATTTTATTTTTGACATAACAGTAGTGTGACAGACCACCCGGTTACCTAGGACTGGTAAATGTCTCCCAGCCACCACCTTCTCGTAAAAAAACTATAGCACTACCATTTTCCCCCTCCAGCCCGTGCCTCCCAGGTCAACTCTCTCTTTCCCCAACCTGAGAGCATAGAGAAGTCGCAAGGAAGTCACTGAGGCACGGGGATCCTAACTGGGAGCAAATAGTCTGGAACTGCTGATCGGATCGCAGAGTTGTCGCAATCTGGTAAAATTTTGACTTGGGCGCTCTTGTTCCCAGAACTACCAATCAGTGCTTTTTGAAAGTGTGACAGGAGGTGGTGAGTCATCCAACGATACCAAGGACTTAAGGGAGCTCCATGTGCCAACTAAAAGTGCCATCGTTTAAGGTGACCAGGAAACTATACCCACCCTCATGGAACTCTGTGCCGGTGTCACGTTCCCACTTACCTGGGACTCCCTCACCTCGTCTCACATCGCGGGAAGACTTAGGCGGATGCGCGCCACGAGGACCACCTCTTAAAGGGGCATAGTGTCTGTGGCGAAACCAACCTCGCCACTGTGAACTGGAGAAGCCTGGTTGCTCGCCTGCTCCCTTTGGACTATGGCCCTGCAGGTTAAACCGTTTCTTTTCCCTGCAGAAAGGCTTATTCGTGCCTTTCTGCTGGGGTGTTCGGTAGATTCTAACTACCGAACGGGGGACCACCGGGGAGCTGGAGTGTGCCGCCAATTGACCGCCCAGAAGCTGCGGTTAACCGCAGCTTAATTGATGAACGCTGGGTGGCAGCGGCCATTTTAAGTCCCGAAAGGCCAGCGGTGCTCAGCACTAACACAGTGGAACGGAAAACGGACACTTCTTTGCGCCAACACAGCTGAGCCGTCCGCCCCCTGGTTCCTATTCGTGCCCTTGGTGTCGAACACCGGTTCAGTCGGTACTTTGGGATATGTGAATATGTTAACCTAGATAGCTAAGCCATGGAGCCCATTCGTATAACGAAGGACTATGTGAAAGACTTTGGCTCCATGGCATTTAAACTGTATGTATGTGATCTGAGTGCCATTCATCTAATAATGTACGCTCAGATCTAAGCAATCTGGGGATATGTAGAAATGTGTGTCTTATGTACTAAATGTATCAGTATGCAATTTTATGTATTTTACTGTCTTTTTGTCTGCCATGTGGGTAATGGAGTTTTACCTCTGTCCTTGGAGATAATTAGATTCCTTCCCCAATTATCTCCAGGGCAGAGAGGAGGGATTGTGAGGCATTGTGGGAGGTAACTCTTGTGTGATTGGTGTATTGGGTAATTGTTGTAAATCCCTCCCTTGCATGGGAGAATACTTTATAAGCCTGTAGTGTGAATAAATCAGTGTTGTTCCTGTTTAACCCTCAAAGTGAAGTGTCGTCTCATTCTTGGGGGGAATTTGATTGTATGCCGATTGCCAGGAGTGTAAGCTGTTCGTAGGGCTTTTCCTGTTCGGCTGCTTCCAGGGTTCGGGTGTCTGCTGTTCGAGAGTTGGTGAATACGTGCAGTTTGGAGTTCGGGAGGTTGGTGATTACAGTAGCTGCTGGTCTATCTGGAAGGGGATTATCGCCTAAACGGTTTTTATCCCCTTGTGAGCGAAACGGTCCGTTACAGTGTCCCACAACAATTAGAGAGCCGGATCACTGAACCAATATATACCTCTCTCCTATATAATCAGAGCTAACCCATACTGTGCTCCATGGTGCATCTACATCTGTGATTCCTCTTACCTTCTGACCTGACCTGTTTTTCCCTGTT